ATAATTCAAATTAAAATGTGTAAAAGTATAACCATAATTCATTAAATAAAAATAATAAACACCAAGTACAGTATATACATATATATATATATATATATATATATATATACAGTACAATGGACATTAACAACAAAGAAAACTCAATATAAAATGTTCAAGATGAGTTAGACTGCTCTATAAAAGAGTATACTACAGCAACAGAATTAAGTAAACTTAAGCTACCCAGCATATGGAGTAATCAAAATTACTTTTCTAGGAGCAATATTAAGTGATTAATATAAATATAATAACATATTGTTTTGAAATGTGACACTGCATAATTCGTTTTGTTACTTTTTAACATATATTTAGATTATAATGCTTTTTTTACTTGAACTTGTAAAGTGTTGAACTTTTACTTATAACTGCGTAGTACAAATACTTTTACAGAAGTAAAATATCTGAGTTCTTTCACCACTGCCACTGTTAAAAATGTGAAAAAAATATTCACAAGTATTTATTAAATTGTGCTTTTGAAGGAATTAAAATGTTAAAAGTTACAAAAACAAGTTACAAAAACAACTAAAACGTTTTTGAGGTTAAAAAAAAAGCTTAAGCAACTGTAACCACGGTAACTAAGTAAGTATTTTTTTAGGTACATTAATTTTACTGCATAAGTTACCCTGCAGGGTAACTTCACTTTTACCAGCTGCAGCATTAATGTTGCTTAAACATTAATGCATAAATATTGATGTACCAGTTATATAATATATTTAGCTCAAAATAACTAAATAAGCCCTTTTACTTTTGGCACTTTAAGGTTTATTTTATTTTAATTAGCTTAGCCTATGCCTTAACTTGTAATACTTTGAATGTATGTCCGTTGTGTTTACACTTTCATGTTTGGCTACACTACATTTACAAAAGGTTTTGAATCCAACTTGTAAAAGAGGCACCAATATCTATTTTGTAATCTGCTGCTCCACTGACCAGTGGCGAGCCGTGACTTTTATACCTAGGCCCTCTGACCCCCCCTACGTCTCAACGTAGACTTCAGCGGAATATCAAAACAGTGGTCCGGGGTGCAAAACGCATCAATGACAGCGACCCTCTACCACACAAAACAACACCTTTTATATAAACACTTATCATGACAGGGCACCCACAGCCAAGTAGCGATTACAAATGAATTAAGTCGGCACGGCGGCCCACATTGAAAATGACTTAGGCCTACCTTTGATGATCAAATCACTGAAACACAAAGTCCATCCTCCTGTCCTTTTGGATGAAGCACTTGATGGCGGGTCATGCAGCTGATCCTATGCCACTCCAGTTTATCATTGTAACTCAATCTTGAAAATGACTCTGTTAATAATTTCGCAACGATGTCATCACTATCACTGATGTCATCACTATCACTGAAGTGAGCCATCATGAACGAACTTATGCTAATCATAAATCTATCGATTAGATTTATGATTCAAAAATAGTAAAAGTAGGATAGACATGTGGATATTATCCGGCTGAACACAACGTGCATTTATCTAACAGGTTCGTTTTCCACAGACCTTATTTCCAGCTATTTTCCAAAACCCTATGGAGAAATCCCACTGTTTTCTGTCGAGGGAATCCGAGCGCAGCTTACTTCCGTGTTTTAGGACGCGTCACTGCACCACTTGCATAGACCTCACAGCGGGCGGAACTTGTCATAAAGTCCGCGAAAATAAAGCCCGCCCATTTAGAGGGAAGATATGATTGGTCAATTGTACTGTCATTTGACATTATCGTTGAGTTACTATAGCTGGCCCTCTGTGAATGTAGAGAGGGACCAACAAGCCCTCCCGTTACATTACATTGCATTTGGCTGACGCTTTTATCCAAAGCGACTTACAATAAGTACATTCGACCAGGAAGACACAACCTTGAAGAAAACAGAATCATATAAGTACATCAGGTTTCATAGAGCCAAACATTTCAAGTGCTACTCAACTGGCTTTAGGTAAGCCAGTCCTTTATTTATTTATTATCCTTTATCCCGTCTTCACATAACTCGCAGAGACGGCATGTAACCCTTCACATTCCAACAGAAACTGAACAGGCAGATTCGAAGGATTTATTTCTTTGGAAATATTATTTTAAATACAATTAAATCAAGTTATTTTGGTAAAACTAATGAAAAATGTAACAACAACAAAATATTAAAAAAAATATTTTAAAAAAAGTGTTTTTTTTAATGTTTTCAAATATATTTTTTTAGAATATCTTAGGCCCTCACAGAGGGCCTAGAGGGCCCTGACGGCTCGCCACTGCCACTGACACACACATGCACGCACACAAAGAGGAGCTCAATTCAAAGTGAAAGAGGAGTGATATCCTTTCAGCAGGGTGGTGAATGTTTCACTGGTCTGACAATCCCCTCAAAGTACAAACACACACACACACACACACACACACACACACACACACACACACACACACACAGAGAGAGAGATTCCACTGGCTATGTGTGATCAGACGGAGTTGAGAGAACAGCAGGCGAGAGACGTTGGACTCAGAAGAAATGTGTACGATGTCTTATCAGAATGATAAGAAGACAGAAGATCTGCTGTTCTCTTTTTAGACAAGTGGCATGTCATTGGTGTCTAAGTCAAAGTCTAGTTGGATGTATACTTTTTTATGTTGTTTAGCCTCAAAATGTCACAAATGACAAGTCATTTTCTCCCAACAACTCTGGCATCTATTATATTTTAAGATAAGACACTTTAATAATCCAGAGGAGAGAGATGTGGTGTTATCAGTTCTGCTTGATTAGCAATATTTTAATTGATGCAAATACTTTTTTGTTTTTAATTAAATAAGATTTAAAATGCAGGGCTTTTACTTGTAAAAGTCCTATCTACATTATATGACTGTATATTCAAGTAAAAGATCAGAGTACTTCTCCGATCACTGCTTGAGTTTATTCTTAAGTACTATATAGCCTACTAAATATATACATGTATATACAAATAAGCACAAAATAAGAATCGAGCCACTCAATACAAAAAAACACAATGCACACATTATATCCTTCAAAACACTGGGCCACAAATCATTACATCTTTGGTAACTTCTAAATAAAGACAACATGTCACCTAAGGAATTTAAAGTGAGGTAGTTTGAACATGAAGTCATTGCTCTTGTATTCGTGTGTGAAGTCACGGCAGTGTCAGTAGTGAATGAAGCAGTTAATGATAGTAGATAAAATAGGGTGACATTTGCATTATAACTCATGAGCTTAACATGTTTTTGCATGGGAAGCTTATCTTTAGTTCAATGTTTTCAGATACATGTGTAGGAACGGTAAATGTTCAAGGCTGCAATGAAAGTGTGTCAAGGCAGAATAACAACAGCCGTTGGTGTGTAGAACATATCTGGCACGTACTGTGGCACTTTCTCATGTATCTAATTCCCCTCCTCGACTCCTATCCTCGTGTCCTAGTCCCGCCCACAGGAGATGCGTTTCTGCCATGGTTTCTGCATGGACCTCACAGCTGTTCTCACTGTAAACATTGCGTCGCGATTCAAGCAGTTAATAAAATAATATCCAGGGCAGGGGATGCATGCAGAGCTGTCATTGGCTGAGATATGTCTGGCAGTGCGTCACGACTCTTTTAAACATCACTGTTGCCGGAAATACATCCGCGGAGGAGCCATCAGTGTATCCTCGATAAATAGCTCCTCCAGAGAGCCTCGTCGATTCGAGGAGGAAATTAGTGAAATGAAAAAGGCTGGGTGTGTGTATTGGGGATACACATGAGGAAGTGAAACAGGAAACCTGAGCATCTGATTGGCTGTGTCGGGACACACACAGTTCCATAGCTGCTTCAGTGACGTCGTGTGCAACAGAAGTCTTCTTTCTTTTCCTTCCTGTCTTCACCCTCCAATGAACACAAAAATGCACTATGTTTCAGGAGCAGCCCAACTGCATTCTCATTACTAACACTAAATAACCTGTTGCTTTTGCATAGACTTTGTTGGAGTTATTGATAAGGAATGACGCAAAGCAGCTAATCCTGAGGCTGAATGTAGAGTGAATTACTCCTCAAAGACAACATTTAACATGGATAAAGCACTAATACGTACTTATAAGCTTTGAGAAAGCTATACGCAGTTCTGTTTGGAGGTGTTTCTCTTTTTTTTCACAGATAAAGGAAGAATAATGTTCTACTCAGGGTTATTAATAACCACAAACTCTAGAAGGAACAAAAATGTTTCAAATACCAAAGCTAAACGTCTCCATGTATGATCTAAGTAATATGTTTCAGAGTGAAGGAGTCAATTTCCTGTAGTAGTCTGGATCTGACCTTGTGTTGATGTGGAAAAACTCACAGAGACACTGATAAAGAAACACCTGATCAGCATGCAAACACACACTATTCCATACTGAAAGAAAGAATATAAGCAACGGCTAAATGTTCCTCTATACCTGCACTAAAGATAATATGCTTAAAGGAACAAAAATAATTATAATTCCGTACATGTGGGGACCTTTATTTTTAATACAGTAACCCTATTCTCTTGCCCCTAAAGTGAACCTAAACCTATATGAAGGAAGTGAGGACTGGACAAAATGTCCTCCATTTCAAAAAAAGGTCTTAAAAAATGTTGTCACTTTTCCACAGTGTGTCCACTTTTAATAACTTTCTTAAAAGTCTCCTCACTTTCTCCACTTTACTTTTCAGAAAATGTTTTCTGTCTGAAATGGTTTAAACTCAAACTGGTCCTAACAAGTACAGAGAAAAAAGGACGTGCACAGAGTTGAGTTCTAGTTCCTTGTTTTATCTAGTCTCACTCGTGTAAGGGTTAGAGTTTACTGCTCTCTTCTCCCTGCTCACACTTTGTGTTGTTCAAATCATGTGAATGAGGATTCTGACACATAAAACTACAAAACAAAACATGACTTCCACTTACTAGGTGAACGTCTTCGGACTTTATGACTTGCTATTGAGTCACATCGTGAGGAGCTTTAATAATTCTGACATTTCACTCTGTTTATTTTCAAGTTAAAGATAAACATCCGCACTGAGGAGAGCAGTGGAGCAGTTAACTGGTTTATCATCAATGTTAGTGTAGAAAAAAGGACTCCGACACCCCCTGCTGGTCATCCCTGTACTTTAAATATCCTTCAGAGGAGCAACAACTGTCCTGACGTTTGGTGAACATCTGACCACAAATCAGTGAGGCTTTTAGTATCAGAGCTTCCAAAGATGTGCTTTAAGATGTGTAAAACATTTCTATTTGAGGAAATGTGTCATATCATTTGTGCAAATGTCATTTAGGGTGCATTCACACCTAATAATCAGTTTTCTGGTGCGCACCAGACGACAGTTTGTTTCATTTTTCAGAAGGTTCGGTTTGCGTTCACACGGGCAAAACTCAAACGGACTATAAACTTTAAACACAAGTCATGTGCACGGAAATGCTGTTCAACCATTGGTCAGACATTAAGGGGATAAAAACGCAAATCCCGGCAATTTCTACCGGAGCCTCCGCCATGGAGCATCGGCACTTTCGGCAGGTTATTCTCATGTTGCTGTTAATCTGGAGATCAACAGACAAAATACAAATAAAAGAAGTTAGGGATCAAACAGCCATCCATAGAGTGGAGATCTCCATACTTATTAATCCGACCCCCCCATTACGTAGTGTTAACAATTCACATGTGTTTATGTAACACTTGTTGTGCTCAGTGAAACCATTGTAATACAGTTATCATTCGTTATTCCTGCTAATAATAATAAAAACTGATTATTAAACAAAATTGAAGATTAGTGATTTTTATGTTTAAAGAGTTTCCTAATGTCACATCCAACTGTAGAAAATGTTTCCGCCCTTGTAAATATTTGTAATAGTGATTAAAATCACTAATATATGACGAAACCGATTCACTGTGAGAAGCAGAGCGTGTGTCCCTCATGGAGCTACAACTAAAAACAGATTTTATTATTTTTTATTATTCTGACCAGTATTACTACATGAATAGTTTTTGACTATAAATGTCAGAAAGCATGGAAAACACCCATCCTAGGTTCTAAAAGCCCAAGCTGTTGTCAGTCTACAACCCAACAGAAAAACAGGATAACTCCACATTTGAGATGGCAATTCTTGCTTGAAAAATGATTGAAAAACCATCGGTACGTTTTTTTTGTCAAACGACTAATAGATAAGTCAGGTAAGTTGCAGCTCTAACCCCTCATGCTCACAATATTATTTAAAGGCTTTCAAGAGAAACATTTATTTTAAAATCCAACACTCTTCTTTTTTTATATCATTACTTACTTTACATGTTCAACTCTAGTTGAGCCCTGCAGCAGTGATAAGTCCTCTGTGGAGCGGATGATGAATCACAGTGGCTCTCTCAGAGTCCTGTAATGTCTGAATAAAGCTGTAATAAACATTTAACTGTCTGAATGTCACAAAGCCGTTGCTTAAATAGATGCAGTGGATGAAACCACGTCTGAAAGCTTCATCGTATCAGTCCAGCCTCCTGTTCTTTTTCCGACCCCTCTGTGTCACTCCTCTTTTTCTTCTCTTCTTCCTCCTCCTGTTTCATCCTCTCCTGCTCCTTCTCCAGCTCCTCCTGTTCTCTGGCGTCTGCCTTCGTCAGTTTCTCCTCCACCTCTTCAGGAATGTCCACCTCCAACAGGTTCTCCATCCCCGGCTCCGGCTCGTCTCCTATCAGCACCTGCAGGGAGGGAGACAGAGGGGAGATCATGAGACACGGGCATACAGAACCAGAACACTTTAATATCCCGGGGGGAAAGAGGGCTTTGTTACAGTTGCTCCTCTATGATACAAATATTCACATAAACAAAATAAAATAATAATGTGCAATAAAAGATCAAATAAAATAGAATAACAAAATGTATATCAAAATAAGAAATACAATTTTATATATGTGCAATCAAAGGATAAAATGGAATAACAATATATTATATAAAAATAACAAATTAAAATATGAATGCACAATAAAAGTATAAAATAAGATAAACATGTTGTATAAACACAAAAAGGGAAAGTAAAAAAGTGCACATTGTTCAAAATACAACAATAGATATTTAACAATGTGTGTATTATATTATATGTAGTGGTGTGTTAGTATACAAAATATACTTAGTTAAAAAAGAATATATATTATATATTTTTTTTTAACTGTCTCAAACTTAATTAACGGGAGGGCTATCTCTGTATAAGCTATGCTTTCTGTCCTCCAGCTTCTATTAATTGTGTTTGTTTTTCGGATGTATAAACTGTCTAATTGTTGAAATAGTAGAATACATTTTTAAAAAAAACGTAATTTACACCAGGATAAATTTATATTTTGACTCTTATTCAAAAGAGATTACAAAAAACACACAATAGCCAATTCAGAATGAGGTACACCTAGGTGACGCAGTGTAATCCACCACTTTTAAGAATACCTCTTTAACTCATGAGTTTGAGGGGAAACTGATTTAGAGAAATGTTGATTTAATTTTACGGTCATTTAAAAAATTAAGTTCTCGCTGCTGTTGAATACAGCTTTTAATAGCAGGCATTTACACTTGTCATAGAAGGGAAAGCAAGGGAGGATCGAGGGATACAAAAAATCTAATTTGGGTGCCAACTTTTTCTAAATAAAGGACAGAGAAACATTTCAAGAGATTATTCGTTACATGGCATTTTGTATTCTCGTTAATGTATTTGATCGTAAAAACAAGATGATTAACTCTTTCCTACCTCCACAAGTTTCTCACAGGCCGCTGTAACGTGGACATCCGTCTCCCATTTGTGGAACTCCCTCATGATAGGATAAACGCTCTTCTTCTCGAATATGTCCCGGCCCGCTTTGGTCGCTGTCAGCTGTAAAAGAGAAGAACAGTGAAAAACCAAACATAAAAACATGAGTCTATATGTGCTGTTGTCTTTGTCGTGTTGTACCAGTAGAAGAGTCTCCAGCAGCATCTTCCTGATGTCGGGGTCTTCTTCTCTCTTCTTGTCCTCGGGGAGGTACTGCAGGTCCACAGGCAGACCTGAACATCACAACACCTCTGTTAGAGTCAGTGAGTCGTCTCAAACTGTCTCACCTGCCTGCCCACTCAGCCCCGAGCCCATTGGTGCAAACTGAACACACAACATGGTAATAGACATTCACAAATATATATCTTTTTAGTTTTCAAAAAAAGGGCTCAGTGGTTTAAGAAATGCAACAATTTTGCACACTTGTCTAATGTAGATATCATTGTTATCCTACGTTAACATTGTAGCTGTAGTAGCATATTAAAGTGTATTCAAATTTTTATTTTATGTTGTGCATTCTAGACTTTATAGAAATACGTTTTTGTAATGTTGATATGTACAGTATATATTTTTTGTGTATTTTGTTTTCACTTTCTATGCCATGATAACTTGCTGTTGTAAAACAAGAGTTTTCAACTTTAGGGTCCATCCATCAACCCTTTGTAAACTTTAGTAAGCGTAACTCTAACAGCTTGAAATACTGCGTTTGTCTGGGACTATTTTCACTGGCGGATTAATCCCCATTTTGGTGTAATAGTAATAGTAAGTAAGGACAGCACAAAACAGTGGTAAACATGAGTTTTTTTTTGTATTTGGACAACATTGAGCTCTCTGGCACAGAGGAAGAAGATATATCAGGATTTAGATCAGGTGTCTCCAACACGTCAACACGTCGAGCTACTTATTGAGGGCTCGCGAGCTACTGGTAGCTCGCGAGCCCTCAATAAGTAGCTCGCCAAGCAAATCCAAAATGTAAAAATGACACACAAAAAAAAAGGAAATGTAATTAAAAGAATCTACCCTATGCATAAACGAAACATCAATCATAGCGAACTCTATCTACTTACTACAACTCTATATATCTAACGCCCCTCCTCCCCCACCCCCCACAATGAATATCGACCAATCACGTTCTTGCTTGATTTGCGGGACCAGCGTTGTAGTCGGGAAGAAAAGCAATGTGGAGCGGCACCTCACCGCTTCATAAGGAGTGTGACCTTTCCTTCTGGGAGAATCTACTCAACACATCAGCCCCACTGAACACAGCCTAGTCGTGCCAGCCTATACAGCACATGAGGGCCAGAGTTTTACTGTGTGTGTTGCAACTTGCATATATATTTATTGCACTTGACGCACACGCATGGCGTAATTTCCACTGGGGACAGGGGGGACATGTCCCCCGCACTTTTCTAAATCCTGTTTGTGTCCCCCCACTTTACAAATATGTTTATTATTATTTTTTTAACGCAAGCCGTCATCGCCACGGAGGAGCACTCAGCCTCTGTGAGCGAGCGAGACAGAGAGAAAGAGCACACCTTTATCTATGGGTGCACCGAATGGGAAATTCTTGGCCGAAACCGATACCGAAAACAGGAAACAGTTGGCCGAAAACCGAATGCCGAAAATGATTAATATAAATATATATATATAATGTATACATTTTTTACCAATGTTGTTCAGCTACCTGATTATGGAAATAGACATGATTATGGCAAAACTTAACTTAAATAATAATCACTATTATGGGTCCATAAAACATTTATTCAGCACTTTTGAATGCATACAGTACATTTATTTTCTCTGTAGGATAACTAGAACAAAGTGCATTCAGAACCAAGCCAAGGGGCTTTAAAACTGCATAAACATCTAGGCCAGTAGGCCTACAACAAAATAGTGTAAATAAAGACTGTAACAGCCAGGCCTTCAACAACAACAAATGCACCTATAAGTGCATGCATACAAATGTGCTAACTGGATAAATCCACATGAATGTAACTATAGTATTTACAAATGAAATTACAATTGAATTTCAAGAATCTGTAAATAAGGCCTCAAACAAAGTAGTAAACATTGTATAAAGATACATAAAGTGAAAACTGGATACAAAATCCACAATCAATTACAAATTAAATTACAATTTCAAGAATCTGCAAATAAGGTGGTCTGTCCTCATGAGCAATGTAAACAACATTGTATCATTTAGATACCGAAAGTATAATATATTGAACACTGTGCTGCTGTCATTTCCCCCTAATGATAACCTGAGATGGTGAATTATAACTCACAATGAAAATTGTTCAGGAAAGTGGGTATAGAGTAGACATGTAGAACTAGATAAGCTTATGATAAGCCTATGATAAGCCAGCCTTGTCTACTTATTAAGGAAAAGTGGGAGGTTATTTTTAATGAACAGTAGATTCTCTGCTTTATCAGCCATAAGTCTGTTCCTCTTCTCATCAAGCACATGAGAGGCAGCGCTGAACAGTCTCTCGCTGTCAGTGCTTGTGCATGGAGCACTCAAATACTTGCGTGCCACCTTGGCCAGGTCAGGAAAGCGGTGTGCGCTGGTGATTTCATCATACTCCGCATATTTGTCCGGGTGTTTAGATTTCAAGTGGTGGAGTAATCCCGAAGTGCTGAAAGTCTTTGCAGTTACACCCCCTCGAGAAATGTCAGCTGAACACGTTTTGCAAATCGCAATCCGCGCCTCTTTCTCTGATATTGTGAAGTATCTCCAAGTGGCTGTGAGCCAGCCGCGAGCATGGTCGCCGCGTCTTTATTACGTCATCACAACAACACGTTAGGTTACCAAATAAGCCTGTTCTGACATTCGGTGATATTTTTTCTCGGCCAAAAGCCGAAAGGGCCTTTTTAACCATTTTCGGCCGATAATTTTCAGTGCATCCCTACCTTTATCTATTTAATATAGTTGTAAAAAATAAAGTAAGAAATCATTCCAATGTGTACTATAGGACAGTAAAAAAAAAACAGTTTAAAAATGGGAGTGATTAGTAAAATATGCAGAAATAAAAAGAAAGAATGCTAACTAGGTAACATAGTGTTGAGAGCTGTATCCATACATTCATGTTGTGCTCAAAGTGCACCAGATTGATGCTTTTAACTTCAACATTTAAAAATAAACCTCCCCGGGGTGCATGCCCCCGGATCCCCCAGAGGATGTGAGGTCCACCCCCAAATAAAGCAGGTTAAAATAATTAATTGCATACATTTTCTTTTAGTAAACACTGAAAACGGGTCCCACAGACCCAAACAGCACACAAAGGTTAAAGGTAAGAATATCATAATGTTAAAATGTGCTAAATATATACACTGCAAAAAACAAAAAAAAGGGCGTAAAAGTAGCTCACGACTTGTTTTATTTTTTGAAAGTAGCTCACATCCTAAAAAAGGTTGGAGACCCCTGATTTAGATACATACACAATACTTACTGGATTCATTCATGTTTTTTGTTGTTGGGATTTGTAGACATAAAGGAATCAAATAAATATCACCAGACTTGTTCTACGCATAAATGGTAACCTAAATGGACCAGAACAGTTTTCTAATGAGAGCCTCACCTTCGTTTTCTTTCTCCGTCAGCTCCTCTGGTCCGGCCAGCGGCAGCATCAGGAAGGGCAGGATGTCCACATCGTCGCTTAGCAACCACTCATGATGGGCTGCACAGATAAAGAAGAGGGCCAGATGACAGAAAGCAATGTTTAATACAGAGCTGTTTAAAAAATAAATCCAAAATGTTCCTGAATACCTTTGTCTTATCATTATCACTTCGTTCTTGAATCCAAGGTTACAATTGTGACAAATGTAAAGAATATTCCCTACATGTGTTCCCGATATATTTTCTTAGAAGCATTTCACTTTTTATATTAGGTAGCTATCAGATCTGCCAGTAATTCTTAATGGCGTCTCTCTGTGTCTTACCGTGGTCAAAGCAGCAGTTGCGCAGGGTCCCAACAATCCCCCCCCTCCTCACCACTGATGCCTGGTACTGAGTGTAGGAAAACAACCTCTGGATCACACACCTGCAAAACAAACACAGCTAATTATGACATGCTGCAGCAGCTGTGAGGACAAATGATGTCATTATGGGTACATTTCATTAAATGTACTGTGAATATTAGCGGATTAACGACTTGACTGTCATGAAGCTCTTTGGTTCAGTATGACCCATCAACCAAATGAAAATTATATTTCAGAACTGTGTCTATTTACACATGATGCATTCAAGCACATGTTTAGATGTGGTTCACCTCATGGGTTTGACACACATTTCACTCCAGAAGAAAATAGACTACTGTCTTGTAGTCCATTAACACATCCCTTAACTGTATACTAGTAGCAGAAAAACATATGAAGTGCATTTATTGGTTAAGCATTTATGAACAAATATATTAGTTTTTGATGAGGACTACATTAAATCCTTTGAAAGGTTTTCACATGAAGTCATTCCTATTGGATGTTCACTGAGGATTTAAAGAGCTTTAATCTCAAATGCTTTCTGGATCTATTGACCTTATGTGGCCCAACCACTTGGACCCATTTTTGTTTATTTTTCTCAGCTTTTATTTTACATAGTAAACACATAGTAAGCAAATAAAAAGTCGTAACATCCTCATTGATACAGATAAAATAAATATCAATCGCATAGCAAGCTTTGATGGTGGTATATGACAATTTAAATGAGAAACCAAAGCTCACACCAGCTGAAGCTTCAAAACATTTTGGTCTCATCCGTTTCTTCTACACATTTTTTCGAAGCCTAAATTCCCAGCCACAGGTCCTCCTCTGTCAGACCCTCAGTGCTCGTCCTGAGATCACTCACCGGTCCTTGTCCATCATGAAGCTCCGGGCCTCGGGCAGCTGCGTCAGGTTGGACAGCAGAGGACCCAGGTGGTGGAACTTTGCCTTCTTGTTGAAACTTTCAGCGCAGAAGATCTCCACCAGCTTCGCTACACCCACATCCTCCTGCAAGACCTGAGACAGAGAGGAAACACCCGTCAGCACCCTGCAGGGCTCAACCAGGAGCGCTTCATTTGATGACCTGAGAGACTCTGTGGACCTGTACGGGAACAGCTCACTAGAGATGGGTATCGTTAAGGTTTTAACGGTACTACTACTTTTATCGATACAGCTTATTGATCCGGTCTTTTAACGGTACTCTTATCGGTTCTATCCGATAGATATCGGTAAACTAACTAAACAAATTGTGAACAAAACGAACATTGCTTTTTATTTAAGTTAAATAAATAATATTTCACATCAAAAGAAACAACAGTGTTTTAACAAATCGTATTAAATAATCTGATGACAGAACTGTGAACAGAATAGCTGAAACTTTAACAAAATAAATAACTCAGTTACCTCTCATCATTAACCCATGTTTGTATAATGTAGTAAACTCCGTGTGTTGCTGCTAGCATACATAACACCTGACGTGGAAACGTTACTCGTGGATGGGGGGGCTACAGAGCTACTAGAAAGACGGTGGAACCCGGTGCATTTCTCCGTCTGAATGTGGTGCACTTCTGCAAGATGTTTCGACAAATTGCTCGTGTTACCGTCCTTACATGCTAAACTCTTATTGCACTTTTGGTAACGAGCATTGTCCACATCGAGACGGGTAAAGTTTAACCACACCTCGGTGCGCGTTCTCTCCGCCATCTCCTCTGTGTGTGTGTGTTGCTAAATGTAGCAGCTGTAAACTGCCCCGCCCCCTCGCACACAGACGGGAGAAGAGAGATCTCTCGAGAGATTGACAATACTAAAAATAATCATAGAAGCTTTTTGCGTATTAGAAACGGAGTTGGCGACACTAAAACTGCAATATAATGTTTGTGTAGCAATATATATTTTTTACATGTCTCCAGTACCGATAAAAAGACCGATAACGTCGGAGCTTAACAGTACCACAGTCTTTAATAATTCAGCCCCGGGGCTCGGTACCCATCCCTACATCCCACTGCAATATGATAAGTGCATTTACAATGTCCACACTAACAGACGAAGAGGCCTTAAAGCTGTGAAATGTGAGGGTGTTGTTTGGACATTTTAAACCCCTTGACGCACACTTTCCATACATCCCCATTTACGCAGACTTTGCCTGATTTAACTACCCACAGTTCATAGTGCTGTGATGTTTTAAACCCAGCCATAAAAACAATAGACACATTAACTGATGTTTTGACACATGTGCATTTAAAAAAATATTGCTCCCCTGATTTGAACATTTTAAACGTTGAATCAACAAACCTTGAACATGATCTTGCAGGTCTTCAGATGGCGGGTCAGGTTGGACAGGATGCTGCAGATCTGATCTGAAAACACAAACTCAGGATCCAGAACCTTCTTCATCATCACCTGAAGAACTTTGATATCTGTTAACAAAACCTGCGAGAGACACAAACAGAAACACACACCTGTAAGACCGCACATTTCACAGCTCAGTTAATAAATGTGCATTGTTATATCCTGCACACATTGTTTCTTTTATCAAACAGTTGAGCTACTTGTGAATAGTTCATCACTAATAGGTGAATTTAGACCGGGCTCTGCTGATCACCTGGTGCAGAGTCTCGTCAGCAGACAGGTTGATCAGGGTGAAGTAACAGTCTTTCGCAATAGCAATGGAGGGGTCAGAGGTCAGAGCAAACAGGGCAGTAATGATGTCCGGTTTGGTGCGGAGGAAGCGGCAGCCATCCCTGAAAACAAACATTAAAAAAGAAAAGATGGAGTAATCCGTTATCTGCTGGCAGGAAATCAGCAATATAAAGTATTTCATGTCATATTTAGTCAGGGTGATCCTACTTTCTTTATATTACACTACAGGGTTTCCCACACATAGACTATACAGTGGGGCAAAAAAGTATTTAGTCAGCCACCAATTGTGCAAGTTCTCCCACTTAAAAAGATGAGAGAGGCCTGTAATTTTCATCCTAGGTACACTTCAACTATGAGAGACAGAATGAGAAAGAAAAAAATAATCCAGAAAATCACATTGTCTGATTTTTAAAGAGTTTATTTGCAAATGATGGTGGAAAATAAGTATTTGGTCAATAACAAAAGTTCATCTCAATACTTTGTTATATACCCTTTGTTGGTAATGACATAGGTCAAACGTTTTCTGTAAGTCTTCACAAGGTTTTCACACACTGTTGCTGGTATTTTGGCCCATTCCTCCATGCAGATCTCCTCTAGAGCAGTGATGTTTTGGGGCTGTCGCTGGGCAACACGGACTTTCAACTCCCTCCAAAGATTTTCTATGGGGTTGAGATCTGGAGACTGGCTAGGCCACTCCAGGACCTTGAAATGCTTCTTACGAAGCCACTCCTTCGTTGCCCGGGCGGTGTGTTTGGGATCATTGTCATGCTAAAAGACCCAGCCACGTTTCATCTTCAATGCCCTTGCTGATGGAAGGAGGTTGTCACTCAAAATCTCACGATACATGGCCCCATTCATTCTTTCCTTTACACGGATCAGTCGTCCTGGTCCCTTTGCAGAAAAACAGCCCCAAAGCATGATGTTTCCACCCCCATGTTTCACAGTAGGTATGGTGTTCTTTGGATGCAACTCAGCATTCTTTCTCCTCCAAACACGTCTAGTTGAGTTTTTACCAAAAAGTTCTATTTTGGTTTCATCTGACCATATGACATTCTCCCAATCCTCTTCTGGATCATCTAAATGCTCTCTAGCAAACTTCAGACGGGCCTGGACATGTACTGGCTTAAGCAGGGGGACACGTCTGGCACTGCAAGATTTGAGTCCCTGGCGGCGTAGTGTGTTACTGATGGTAGCCTTTGTTACTTTGGTCCCAGCTCTCTGCAAGTCATTGACTAGGTCCCCCCGTGTGGTTCTGGGATTTTTGCTCACCGTTCTTGTGATCATTTTGACCCCACGGGGTGAGATCTTGCGTGGAGCCCCAGATCGAGGGAGATTATCAGTGGTCTTGTATGTCTTCCATTTTCTAATAATTGCTCCCACAGTTGATTTCTTCACACCAAGCTGCTTACCTATTGCAGATTCAGTCTTCCCAGCCTGGTGCAGGTCTACAATTTTGTTTCTGGTGTCCTTTGACAGCTCTTTGGTCTTGGCCATAGTGGAGTTTGGAGTGTGACTGTTTGAGGTTGTGGACAGGTGTCTTTTATACTGATAACGAGTTCAAACAGGTGCCATTAATACAGTTAACGAGTGGAGGACAGAGGAGGCTCTTAAAGAAGAAGTTACAGGTCTGTGAGAGCCAGAAATCTTGTTTGTTTGTAGGTGACCAAATACTTATTTTACCGAGGAATTTACCAATTAATTCATTAAAAATCCTACAATGTGATTTCCTGGATTCTTTCCCCCCATTCTGTCTCTCATAGTTGAAGTGTACCTAGGATGAAAATTACAGGCCTCTCATCTTTTTAAGTGGGAGAACTTGCACAATTGGTGGCTGACTAAATACTTTTTTTGCCCCACTGTACTTGGGCGAGCCGCCCAGGTATATTAACGGCCGCCCAAGTATATTTCGCGACCCATTTCGTTTTTTTTTATAATTTGTTTTTCTTTCTGCGATCGATTAACTTGTGGACAATGATCCCTCGCTCCCTTGTGGCCTGCCTCACACAGGGTGACTGGCTGTGCACATGATGTGGCCTGCCGACATGGCCACTGTCATACAGATCATTAATCTTAGCCCTTGATTGGTCTCTGTGTGTCATTCAAGCTCGGGATAACCTCAGCTCAGGTGAGGTAAAGGACTCTCTGAGTGTTTAGATAGTTAACTTAGTCTAAGTTCTCAGTGGGTCTCAAACGGTGTGGTCACCATTTATGTAAACACATATTTCCATTTGAGAGGGTAGTGATTGATCTAATGGATAGTGAGGTGGGCTGAAGATCGGAAGGTTGTGAGTTCAAATCCCGCCAGGAACACCACCACTAGTGTGCCCTTGAGTAAGGCACTTAGCCCTTAGTTACTCCAGGGAGAATGTCCCTGTAATCGGTCATTATAAGTCGCTTTGGATAAAAGCGTCGGCTAAATGAAATGTAATGTGATTAGTAAAATATGCATGAATAAATAAATAAAAAGTTAACTAGGTGAAAAAAGGTAAGATACACTTTTAAAACTTGTTGAGAGAAAACTAGTCTTTGCTGCTGCCTCAAAGAGGAGCAGGGAGAGAGGAGGGAGACAGGAGAGGCTGATTCAGGAGCACAGACACACTCACAACTATAAATGAACCAAAAATAAATTAATAAACAAGTTTTAGTGTTTTTTTCATATTGGAAATGGGATGTTGTTGGTTATGGCCATGATTTTATGATTATTGAAATGTATACAGTTCTGTTTAATATAGGTGTTTCCATAGATCTAGTCTCTTTATTTTCCCCTCAAAATGCACCAGATTGATGCATTTAACTCCAAAATAAAAAATAAAATCTTACCGGGGGGGCATGCCCCTGGACCCCCCTAGAGGATTTGAGGTCGACCCCCACTAAAAATCACATGGATAGGTTCCTAAATACATTTATAAACACATTTATTTTTTTAAATAGTAACATATTTCCATATGTTCATGTGTGGGTAGTAGATTTAAACTATAGGGCTATCATTATGGACCCTGCCTGTACCTGTTCGCTCTGCCATCGCGTGAAGGGTCTGCTAACAAGCGACCAACAGAAAGGTTAATGTTAATGTTGCTGCACGTCACCTCAACCCCCCCCCAAGTATATTTCAGATCTGTGGGAAACACTGGCAGTTAATGGACCAGCACCAGAGGCGTTCCCATACACACAGGAGTTGGAGCTGTTCTTCATGAAATCCCAGAAGGATGAAGTGCTCTGACAAACAGTGCCAGCTTTGCGCAAAATGATTATACGGGAATGAAAAGTCAATAAATAAACATGTTGATAAAACTTTTTTTTTTTTTCTCCGCACCCCCCCCATAATTTAGTGTTACAATGAAGTGGCCAAAATAAGAATCACCCACCATTGATGAATGGATAGAAATATATATATTGAATATATATTATGGAAAGATTTTGCTTCTCCTACAAGTCCAAGAAGATTTTTGTTTTCTGAATTTAAATAAATTAGACTAAGTGCAATAAAGACTTTTTCTGAGTTTGTCAAATATAAATAAGTGAGAATTTAATGCGAGTCATATCATATTACCAGCCCACTGTTTTTTATATTTTTGGATATATAATCGATAAGAAAATGTTCCATTTAAAAAAGAAAGTAATTTAAATAATACAAATCTAATATTATAAAAACATTTGAGCTAGGCTGTAAAATGGAATTAAATGCATTTAAAAAAATATGTAATTTGTGAAATGACTGTGTAATAGATTATATTCAAAATATAAAGAGCATTTAAAAAAGAAAACAATCATTGATATCATCATCATCAGCCTCCTACCGGTTTCCAGAGAGTCCCAGGATGTAGGAGGTGGTGTGACCTTTGACATCGGGACGTGCTTCAGGGGTGAGGAAGGAGAGCAGCTCTGCAGCCTCAAAATCACTCAGCATCTTCACACGGTTTCTGATTTAAGACACAAAACCAACACCAGCCATCAGCTTGGACAACACTGCAGCATAGAGTTACACAACTAATGACAGCACTTATTAAAACCAAAGTCCTCCGTGTAGAAATCTATAACATTAGATCTTCTGATCCTTGACACAACAAAGTCAAAGTACTGCTGGGTCGGGCTAATATGCCCAACATGTATAGATATGTAATTTCATATCTCAAAAACAATACAAACGGGCTCTCAGGATAGAGGTTCGTTAGTCCTGTTGGATACATACAATGTTACCTACAGCAGCTTGTTTAATCAAACAAATAAAAAAAGACAGGTTTCTTCATTTTGATAAAGTCGTGTGCTCTCTTCTACGCTGAAAAAGATAAAGACGTTTTTAAAATAAATAAAACGATCTTACCTTTAACCAGCTATATTACTTATCGACTGTTGATATGGCAGTTTAAACTCATTTATATCACTTAACTAACATTACAAATGTTTACAGTGGTGATACATGTGGACACCACAGACATTCTTTTCCGGGTTATCTTGCTCGGTTTCCCTTTTCCGGGTTATCATGCTCGGTTTCCCTTTCCAGTAGATTAAACAGCACTGCGAGGACGCTGCTGCCCCCTCGTGTTGAAAACAGGTAACTACAGGTGGTGCTCTTCCACGTGTTCATAATGTACAAAGAACCCATAAATAAAAAAAACAATAAGAAAGACACAAAAGAAGGAACAATTACACTTTACATGGATTACATAGTATAGTTATTATATATAATAACTTACATGGTAATGTTTTGCTGAATCCTGAATGTCTGTTCCCTTCTTTCTTGTCCTAAATGTTTTTTCCTTGTTGATGTAGCAAATGGAGCAGCAAAATTCACACTTCATCCAACAAAGAAGTAATGTATCGTGTCATATGTCATAATAGTTTTTCTTGTTTTCAACATAAGTTAAGATGGTGCTTTGCTGATTTAATTGATCATTAGGGTGAGGGTCTAAGGACAGAGGGTGTCGTATTGTCATACTGATATTCTGTACAAACTGTGAAGTCCACTGAGACAAATGTAACATTTGTGATATTGGGCTATATAAATAAACATTGATTGATTGATAATTAAGTGTAGGAAAGTTGGTTTGGTTTCATCAAGTTGAGCTGAATATTAAGTCAAAGTCAACTTTATTGTCAATCTCAAAATATGTTTGTACTCACAGAAAGATCGAAATACTACTAATAAAACTAATAAAATAAAGGATAGACAATATGAATAAAATATGTATATACATACCTATACCCCAACTTATTTACACAAATATCAGCGTGACTGGCAGCGTAAAAAGTGACTGGTGCTGGATTTATGTGTGTGTGTGGGGGGGGTCACGGGTGTTAAAGTCCCGGTCCAGTGGGGGCAGGGTGGAGAGGTGGGAGAGCGTTCTGCCTCCTGATATTATTAAATATTGAAAATATAGAATACTATTCACATTTCAGAAGCTAAAATTTGAGAATTTTAATGTGTTTTTCTTTAAGAAATGATGTGTTTAATTAAGTGCATATCAAAATAGTCAAATATTCAATTGAACTTTGCAACTCTAGTTGTATGAGAAAGAAAATAAATAACAAACTATTCACATTTAAGAAGCTGGAATTAGAGATTTACTCTACAAATAACTCAAGCAAATACATTTCAATTAAAGTTACCAATCAATAAAATAGTGGACCTCTAATCAACTTAACTATGCAGCTCAAAATGTATGAGAAAGAAATACACCCCACACAAATAACTTGTTTCAATAAAAAAAACTTCACAGAGCAGCTTTAAACTTTGAAACTACTTTATTGATATATTGGGAAAACAAAAACACATACAAGACATTCACATTGTTCACTCCCATCAGCAACAGCTCCCATTCACTCCACATGTTGCATTGAAATGCTGATATTGCATATACACGTTCACGCATGTTGCCTGCACCACAGTTCCTGATTAAAGGCACAGTTCACGGAATGAGAAGTTCAGACAACACTTTGAAACGTTCCCTCTCAAATAAACATTTAGTGATCAAATGCTGCTGAATGTTTCCTTAAAGTCAACTTTTCATGGTCAAACACATATTGAGAACAAACATGTCAACAATGTATGTATCTGTGGAAACGACCTGAGCCACACGCTGGTGTGCTTGATTGTATCTACAGTCAAATGTTTCGGCAGAGAGAAACTCCGCCCAGGGCTCCTGCGGAGGATTAAAGGACACAGTGAACATCTGCTGATCCCTCGCTGCAAAAACACTGAAACATTTTCATTTTTATCAACACACACATTTCAAAAGTACTTCAAAAGCTTAGAATCAGCATCTTAATTCAGAAGAATATCACTAACTATATGTAAAGAGAAGCAAAGAGGACAGCGTCAGTCGATTGGATTGCAAACAGATACAGATATTCATGAAGGCATCCACCACGTGTTGAAGTCCATATGATCTGCCTGGAGCAAAATAATCACTTCCAGGCATACAGAGGCCGCTCGATGTGGAGTTCTGTATGAAGCGTTGTATGGGTTGCCATGTTATCGTTGAACTGCTGAATGTCTCGGTGCTGAGTGTAGTGTGTTGGCATGAAAGTCTGGACCATGTTCAAGCCAGAGAAAGGCGTCAGAAGGCACAGAGGAGTTTGATTGGCAGACAGATCAGCTGACAGTATCTCTCTGTTGGCTCAGGGCGGGGCAAGTCTATCATCATCATCTTCATCATCACTCCGCCTTGTCTTTCCTCTTGGCTGTGAAGGGGACTTTGCTGGCGACCGTCGAGCCCATCGAGGACACGCCCCCGGCCACGGCATACACCCCGCCCTTCACCAGCCCCACCCCCATGGAGGGCACGGTGGTCACGGCTGTCTTGGTGAGCTCCAGGCTCTTTCCGCCCACCCAGACCACCCCGCCCACCGCTGCACCCACCACCCCCTTGGTGGCGTTGAAGAGGCCGCCGGTCACCCGCCACATCATCCCAGGAGCAGCAACCACGTGGTCCTTACCGGGATCTGAAGACATACAAGAAGCATCAATACCAAAGTCTCTGCCGACACACATTGGATACTGAGTATTATGTTGCTTTATTCGACCGATGCTCAAACGATAACTTTAAAACTCTTAATGCAGAATCTTTTGGAAACAGGATTTTTGGTATTGGTTGTTATTTGAGTGAGATCGACTAATCATGTTTGTCTGAGTTTTGGTTTCAAGCGGGTAAAAGTCAGTGTTGTGAGTGGGTTAAAAACCAGACTTAAAGAAGAAGAAGATTGGTTGCGTCTCTGTGATGTCACCCATTAGTTTGTTGTGAAGCTGGAAGGTAACTCCTGAATAATCTAAGAACAGGCCCCATAGACACGAGACAGCATCCAGAGGCCCCAACCCTACCAATGCATGAGTTTAGGCTTTAATGTATTTAAAAAAAAAAGAACCACCCCATTGAACAGTTGTCATAAACAGGGATATTAGCTATAGTTAGCTACCAAAACAGTTTTTGGACCAGTCTGTAAATGTGTAAACTTCTACTGTAAAGTTGGCCATGAAACATCTATGAAGTGACCATTGGAGGAAATGCAGGTTTCAATCATTGAATGTTCAAGACTCCTGCAATAGTCCTGGTTAAATCAAATGTTAATAAAGTCAAAAATATCTCTTAGAAGTATTACAGTACCAATAAGAAAGCATGGTCTCAGAATACTCATTCTAAAAGATTGCTTAGACCTGTCTTTGCGGTTTGAATAGCAAAAAAACCTCAGGGAGCAACGTTTTGAAATGCAGTCTGAAAGATACAAATCTGTTCAGCCGCTGTCAAGATATATTGCTGTCAAAGTCAAGAAAACTATCTTGGTGCTAAATCTGACAGAGAAGGTTTAAGTAAACATCTCACCATCAGTAGGCTATATGCTGGGAAGATAAACTTAAATATATGGTTAATACGTCTCATCACGGGGACATTAAACACGGGATATATGATCATTTCATATAAATAAAAGCGGTTCACTTTGATCAGGTAAAATATTTGATGTGCCAAATACTTACTAACAAAACTAACAACATTTCCTTCAGCCGCACCAAACTTTGTGTTTAGAGTTAGTTGGCATATTTGAGCATGCTTACACGCTAAACTAATATGGTGAACAGAGTCAACGTTAAACCTCCTGAGCATCAACATGTAGCTAATGTCTCACAGAGCTGCTATGATGGCTGTAGTAAGAACAAACAGTACATGACATAGAACCGTAACAATAGCAGCATTCATTAAGAGGACATGTGCAATTAGTGGTCACAGATTGTCTGGGATTTTTCAACCACTCCCCAGAGGATTTGATCTCTAAACTCACCAGGTGAGTAAGCTGTCCTCAGACACTGAAAACACAACACTCCATGAACAGCAGAGGTGTTTACTGAGAGAGGCATCGGGGAATGAAGAGGAGCAGAGGGTCTCTCGTTGGGACACTAATAGCAGGTTTGGAGCTGCAGCCGCTCACACGCAAACAGAAATACTCCCCTGATAAACCCTCAGTTTCTGAAATAGCAGCGTGAACACAGATTGGAGCATGTTCCCAGCGGTGGGGGGGTGATCTGCTTACCCTCTGCAGGCTGACTGTCAGCGGGTTCAGCCTCGTCGGGGGCCGCTGTGGTCCCTGGCTGTGGCTCCACGTTAACGGTGTTCACATTCTGCAAAACAAAGAAAAACCCAGGATTCAGGCTTTTTTGGCCATTTCATTTTTGACAGAGCATGGTTCAAACTTACAATAACAATACCAAATCTGAGTAAAGAAAAAAGGGTACAAATAAACAACAAAATAAATGTTCCCAGGATCATCAGTATTGTAAAAAGAAAAGAAACACCAGGGTATATATTTTTTTGCATTTTAGGAGATGATGTTGTTACTAAACAACATAACATATGGCTTAAACTCCCATGCAATTTAATCATCAAAGAATCAGGGGAAAAGAGTTTTAGGGTTCATTTTATTCAACACGTACTTTATTGAGAATCAAAAACAGTCATATACTGACATTTCAAATAAATGTCTTTTCTGGGAAGATATAGTAAGACTAATGGGCAAGAGATAGAGATCAATCTTCCTAGAAAGGAATGAGTTATACGAGTTATGCTTTTAGATAGTTCTGAAAATTAATAAGTTCACATTCATTTTGAACAATATGTTTATTGGTATTATTTATCAAGAAAAATGTATACTTTTTAAAATAAAAAATACTGTTATAATCTCAAACTGAAATCCCATATCTCCTTTTATATTTATATATAAGATAATGAAATATGTTTTTTAAATAATTGACATTTCCAAAAGTGGTATGTATAGTCGTCTTTTTCAAAAATAATTGTTAAATAAAAGTTGAGTCATATTCATTACCATGTTCCCTTATTCCTTGATCAGATAGTTCTTGACTTCAATATGTTATTAATTTAGACAAGCAGCTTCACATGCAACGCATTTAGTCCTGTGGACACGGTTTTATAAAGTTCTCCAGTGGTAATTCTTTCAGCATGTGAAATAACCCTGTGATGTCACAGGGATGTCGTGAGCGTTATCTCAACTACGCTTAGAGAAAATGTCAATACGTTTTATAAAAAACTGGCCCTAGAAATTAGAGGTTTGAAATATGTGTGTTACCTCCAGCTGTTAACATGCATGGGTTTAATGAAAGATTCAAGTCAGCTGCATTGTGGGAAATGTTGGACTAGAAAAAAAGGCCAGATACCGCCGTCTCCGTTTCACATATGACTATTATTTTTATAGAAGTGCAACACCAAATGTTTAACTGTCAATTTAACGTTAAAAGATGATGTTCCTTTTGTTTAAGTAAAGTAAATGTTTCGATTTATTTTAAGCATGGTATCGAATAGAGGCAAAATGCTGGCATTGGTGTCAGCACTACACCAAACTCAGCTCTCCTTACATTTATTTGAAGTCTCTTAAGTAAATGAATACAGTGTGTGAATATTCCTGAGTCAGTGCTGTGTGTTCATGGTAAGCCCCTTTAATTAAGTCCTTAACCAAAACTACACACTGGTCACCTCACACATTGTTGTTCATGTTAAGTCTTGTCTGTCATGCTGTTAAAGAAAGCTGTACATTTCACTGAATCAGAGTCATATTTGGATAGATTGATAGAAATGTAGGGCCCGGTTTTTTATTTTATTCTGCCTTATTTGTTTGACAAGATTTAGTTGTATTGTTATGGGTACATATTTAGTTCATTAAATAATTGTCTTTTTATCTTGTTGAATCACTGATAGTGAAAGCTGCAATGATTAGTAGAGTAATCGGTACAAAAATAATGAACTTGTTTTTCAACTACAGAAATGCCTTTCATATATGGAGCTTTCTCTTTTTACATCCTATTCTACTGAATATTTCTGGGCTTTTGACAGACAAAACAATTTAAATGTTGAGATATCTAACGACATGACCTTGGACTTTGAGAAACTGAAAATTAGTTTTTCTATTTTTTATTCATGGATACATCTAGAAAGTAATCAGCAGGTGAACAGATGGTGAAAATAACCGTAGTTGCAGCCTAACTGATGATGAAATGATAAGACGGATAGGCATTTTACTCGTGTTTTTTTGATCATACATTTTGATGTAAAATAAATGGCTGCCACACTGAACATAAGCAGGAGATTGACCTAATTGGTGCCATGTCACTATGGGTCAGTGGTCTTAACCTTTTTGACTTTAAATGAACCCTCTTTTAACAGGCGAGAAGCTGAATTGAAACCATGATGACTCCTTGATGAGAAAATGACACGTAGAGGCTTCAAATCAATGCATACTTTCACGTGCTTACAAATAGACGTGCTATATCCTATCATATGAATAATTTCGCAACATATCACCCCACCCCCTTAATTGTCTTCTTCTTGGAAGCCACAAAAAATGGTCCAGATCCAAAAAGGTTAGGAAGAAGGGCTGCAAGTCTTCTGAAAAATGTTGTTGAGTCTGGAAGAATCTAACTAATGTAAAAGAAAGGGGAGTTTTAAAATAGGATGTGTCACTGCTGGTTAAGTGTTTGATGAGTAAAATGAGCAGCAAGCTGTGAGGCCTCACTTTAATAATGCTAGACATAAATAAATACACTTTTCGGAAGGGAAGAGGCCACATTTCCTGAAGGGGAGAAAACTAATAAAAAGAGCTCTTGTCATTTTGTATTTCCTCATCATTACGCATGTAGCTTGTTGCTAAAAAAAACTAGTCACATAGCTCGCATGCTGTTACACGTTACACCATTACACGTAGCCTAGTATTTTTGACACGTTTCCAGATATGTAACCGTTAATAAAGATGCTGGTTAGTCCTTACCTTCACCATTGTTCCCAGTGCTTCTCCCACTAACACACCTGGCAGAGAAACTTGAGAGAGGAGCAGCTTCTGTATCAGCCTCCGAGACAAACTCTGAGGAAATAAATGTGTTTTCGGTGAGAGTGTGCTGCTCTGGCTGTTTAACGATCTCTTCTTCTTCGGTTTTTCTTCTTCACGCCTTTATCGCTTAAAAATCTGCTGTTTTCAACTTCTCCTCTCACACACACATACACACACAGTTACAGGCTGTGCTACGCAGCTCTCTTTTTACCCTGCTGGTTCTGCCGACGTGGCGTCTTCACCGCGCGTGCACACAAACGCACACACGCACACACCGCACTGTACTTCCGTTCAAACCCTTCAAATTAAAACCTGTAGTAGTGATGAGGTGGACTATCTTATGCAATGTACAAATACTTACATTATACTTCTCTGTTAGAACGTGATTTTGTTTCCATTAGTTTATTGACTTATGATTTTAAATGTTTTACTTATAGTCTAAACTATTTATTTTGGGTTAATCTGTTGATTATTTTATTGAAAAAAAGCCATTAATTGTTTGTTTTGTTAATTTTCATACAAGTAATCGTAGTTGAAGTACCCTTAAATATGTAGTATTAATCGTGATGAACAAATTAGAGTCTTTCCTGACGTGGCCTTCAATGCAGCAGCAGGTGTGTTCAGACAGGGACACACCTGCTGCTGCTGCACACACACACACACACACACACACACACACACACACACACACACACACACACACACACACACACACACACACACACACACACACACACACACACACACACACACACACACACACACACATTTTCATTAGCTTTGAAATGACAGTTAGACAACATATACTAAAGTACTGGTTGGATGCTGATAGTTATAGCGGCCATAATTGATCCTAGTTGAACAGCAGGCCTTGTGAAATACACAGAAACACTAAAATGATACAGAAATAAAATAAATCTCTATTTGTCTGATTTGAATAGTCAGTTTTATTTTTCTCTTTGTAAGAATTGTTTTCATCTAGAATTGTTCAGGTAGCCACAGAAAAACCATTAAGTACAGCAGATATCTGCAGATATCAGAGCAGATGGTTGCCCTTTTTGGATTTTATTTTTTTCAAACAAAACGTTTACTTTCATCTTGATATAGTTGTAAAAGATTGTGGCTGAATATGAGGATATATTTGCACCTGATTTGTACAATACAGGACGAATAGAAATGTGTTTGTGTGTTAGATAATAAAAGAAAGTAACATTAATATAGACACATACATTATTATATATATATTTCCAACTAACATTAATTTATAAATGCAGCTTTATTTTCATTAAGATAAATACATAATCAGAAATAGGAATTTTTAGGACTTTACTTAAGCTGTTTTCTGTTGCCCTGCACATTGACTCAATGTCTCCATGTTCATAGATGAACTCAACTTAACTGTTATTTGACTAATATTGCTGAATAAATTAAAAACCCTATATCATTTAGGTATAGATAAATATAATTACATTATAATAGTAATGCATATTTTCAGAAAACTATGTTGATTGAGATAAGAGTCAAAAGTGAATGAAATCTAAAGTGTGTTTTAACTTCACACTGATTGTTTTGAAACTGTCTGTGCTGGGATAAGTTTAAACATCTGACTTCTTCCATTCAAATACATATTGTAAACAATATTTCACATATTATTGTCTTTAGTTGTATAATTACTAATTAGCAACCGATCCCAGTCCCCCCATAAGAAAATTGACTGCAACAGTCATGTTCTTTAACCAAGGAACCTATATTCTCCTATTTATCCAGTAATGTCGTATATGCATTAAGTTATATCAAGTGTCTTTTGGGGGGTTTTCAATTGCATAATACAGTGTGTTTTCATCACCTAGGAGGGCACATTTATTTTGAGCTTTCATTGTGAAAACAGGAAGTCTCTTGTGGGCGATAGTTGATGAAGCCCCGGATCCTGAATCAGCAGCAGTCACAACTGGTTCTTTCAGTGTGAGAGACTTACATATGCTAGACAAACACACAAACACAAACACACGCACACGCACACACACACACACACACACACACACACGCACACGCACACGCACACACACACACACACACACACACACACACACCACACACACACACACACACACACACATAATTACATGTAGGCCTGTATATAGTAGTCACATATAGAAGGTAGTGTACAGATAAGAGTCAAGGGCAGGTGCTGCATGTTGATATTGGCGGCAACTTTTATCCACTCATAAGAACAGATTAGAATGAACACTGTAGGTCACCTGTACCCATAGATACAGAAAACATACTTGATTGATGCCTGTATCACTTTAATGTTGTAGCAAGTAAAAGTTGAGGTCATTTAAGTTACTTTAGATTTTAATGTGCAGCTTAAACAATAACAATATATCCCAAATTCATTCGCTGTTTTATATTTTGTAATAATAATTGTAATATGCAAAGTAACTAGCAATCAGTAATTTAAGTTGTCAAATGTAGTGAGTAGAAGTAACCTATAAAGTAGTATACATTGGAAACATGTAAAAACAGTAAAAAGCACATCAACATTGTATTTGATTCGACTTTCTTATTCCATGTGTGGTCGATCATGCAACTTACATTGGTTTTACCAGAACATTTTTGTTTTTTTATTGTATTTATTTTAAACCAGTTAACAACCCAATGGTACAACACAAATATATACATACTAATTCAACAGATATACAGTTACATATATATCAATGGAAATGATTGGATGAACAGAATATAAAATACAACATGCCAGGGCTTGACATAAATAAAAGGTAAAGTAGTCATCACATTTGGAGTTGAGATTAACCATTTAACGGCTCTTTTTCATTTCTTGATCTTATATTATTTATGTTTTAGTTAGTATCTCAATGCAAAGCTCCTTCTCTTTCTTGAAAACGTATAAGTGAGGTATTTACTTTAACAAATGTACAGTGATGGATGTTACGCTTGTAATAATGACATTTTGTTCAGGCATGTTTTACGAGGCATTGTTTGGGGTCCTCACTGGAGGCTCGGCGCCAGTCTCTCCGTTACTAGCATCAGAAATAAATACGAGTGAACTTTATTAAAAATATTCTGTGAAGTAAAGTATTGAAAGACATTGGGATCCTCTGTCGTCCAACAATGAATCTAGATCTGCTTGGTAAATACCACTTTTTGTTTTTGTTTGAAATAGATCCCACATTTCCTTAATCGGTGTCGCTCTAAGGCTACTTGTTATGGTTAGCATTGTACGTTAGCCTAGCATGCTAACATCAACACAAAAGAGGCAAATATAAACACATTTGTTAATATAATAAACCCACTTAGGTGTGTTGAATATGTTTATAACGTTTCTCTTTTTAAACTCTATGCATTGTAATATGTTTACATCAATGTAAACGCTGCTTTAAAAGATAGTAGCAGCTACATGTTGCTGCAAGCTAACATTAGCCTAGGTACATTGTCTCTTATTGTGTTTGAATGAAATGTTTCTTCATGTGATAGTAACAGACCGTTCCCTTACCTTGTAATAATAATAATTATATCTAATATTATTTTTTCCTCCACGGCTTCCAAGCTCTTACAGTTATTAGAATGATGAGGAAATAAACAATGCATAGCTGCTCCATCTGACAGGGGGTAACGTTACCATTCAGAAAGATGATACGCAGGAGAAATAAGTGCAAATTGCATAAATACATTTTGTTATTGAATCAAAGACCACATTTTACATACATGAATAACTACACTTAAAGAACCAGAAAACGTCTTCAGCTTCAGTGTCTTTGAGGAGAGGGTCAGTTTTGTATTCATTACTTTAACAAAGATGTATTGAGGATTAGCCAATATGAGCACAGTAACTGATTGCAGTGCTCTTGTTTTAATGGCAATAAGTGCACTCACATATCTATTCAAAAGATCCGACTCTTCCTCTTGTCCACTCTCCTGTATGCTCATTCTAAAGTTATGTTGTAAATTGGTTGTTTCACCGTTTTGTTGGTGAAAACTTTAATGCTAATATTGGGTACATTTTTTTTCTCTTGTAAATGTCCATCCATACAGTTCTTTCTTATTAATAACTGGCTCAGACTTTGGATAAAACTTGAAGAATTCTCTCTTTACTCATGGATAACTTCCTGCTTCTTTCTGGTGAATATGACATACTCATTTTCTCGATGCATATGTAATGAATATCTGTCTTTAATCCCATGCGTATGAAAGTGATCTCTGTTCAAATAAATACATCCTATTCCAAGGCTCTGCTGTAGCACACAGAATATGTGTGTTGTGTTTCTGAGCCAGCTGGCACTTCCTGGAGGACTGTTGCTCTGTTTTTTGAAATCCTTTTCTTTTTGTTTTTCCTTTTTGTAGAATCCTTCGGGCAGAACTACCCGGAGGTAAGCCACCAGCAGCTCCTAATGTACTACACACTACATGAGCTCAAAAAAAATCCTGGTTATATTTGTGCAATCAAATCAATCAAAACAATAATACACATGGAACCCCTAGACTAATGCAAACACTATGGTTGTGTTTCATTGTGTGTGTTGTTAGGAGGCAGATGGCACCCTGGACTGCATCAGTATGGCCCTCACCTGCACCTTCAACCGCTGGGGCACCCTGCTGGCTGTGGGCTGCAACGACGGCCGCATCGTCATCTGGGACTTCCTCACACGGGGCATCGCCAAAATCATCAGCGCACACATCCACCCGGTCTGCTCTTTATGGTGAGACACATACACTCACACACATCCACTTTCTACCTGCTTTGCCAGCTCCATCGTATACCCAAATGTTCTGGGCCGTAACATTTGAATGAGGAACTAATTATGGTATTTGTCTGTGTGTGAGCAGCTGGAGTCGAGACGGCCACAAGCTGGTGAGTGCCTCCACAGACAACATCGTCTCGCAGTGGGATGTCCTGACTGGAGACTGCGACCAGAGGTTCCGCTTCCCCTCACCCATCCTCAAGCTGCAGTGCCACCCCAGAGACATGTGAGTGAGCCGACAGCATCTGAGTGACAGTGATGTAAATACATCGACATACCCCAGACTGTGAAGCAAAGTTATTTCGTTTTTTAAATTAAAAACTGATAAAGTAATATTAGTATAAATATAATTTTTGCATTTTTAGAAGTTTAAGAAAATCTTCTAAACTAAAAAGTTGGAATTTTATTTATTTATAATTTACAATCTTAACCTGCACAAAAATAAACTGTCATAATCTTTGACATATCCCATACTGTGAAAAAATTGAATTCCCTTAGTATTTAATTTACAGAATGTGAATTAAACTCAACTTATATTGTTATATTTGTCCTTTAAGGACATTTGAGCAACTTTTGCACAAGGGTTAATACACCTTGCTATAACAAGAATCTGTGTGTGTGTTTTAGGGACAAAGTGCTGGTGTGTCCCATGAAGTCAGCGCCGGTCCTGCTGACGCTCTCAGACTCCAAACACGTCGTCCTGCCAGTGGACGACGACTCAGACCTCAATGTGGTGGCTGCCTTCGACAGGCGGGGGCAGTACATCTACACAGGCAACGCCAAAGGAAAGGTCAGACAGAAGTTATTGCACAGTTTTCCAATATGAATATTGAGAGAAAAAAGCTCAGTGCTTGAATATGTACATGTAGAATCAAGCAGATATCAATGCAGGCCAGAGATTTCTCCTGAATTGTTATTCTGTTCTTCAGAATAAATAACTTAATCCCAACTTTATACATTTTTCTCCAATGAAATGTTTAACCATAAGCTGTTCCTTTGTTTTGCGAGTGCTGTCCAGTGGTTTTTGCTGGTTTCCTTCACCATCATGTCCCTGTTGTTGCAGATCCTGGTTTTGAAAACAACCAATCAGGAGCTGGTGGCTTCCTTCAGAGTTACGACAGGCACCAGCAACACCACCGCCATCAAATCCATTGAATTTGCACGCAAGGGCAGGTGAGAGGCAGCAGAAGGTCTTTCAGTGTGTCGAGCTGGCTGGATACACAAAATGTGGATTACACATATTTGGTTCATAGTTACCATTCTAAAATACATCTAAAACTAAAACAAAAAGGTTCAGGTTATATTATTATAAACTGAAAATAGAGGAATATGATACCCTTTCAGAAAATGTAAGACTAAACGGAAACAATTAAAGATTCATAAAAATGATCGTATATTTTTTCACTTTTTGTTTGTTTGCAATGAAATGTCCCTACCACAAAATCATAAACGATGGCCAATTGAACCTAGAAATAGTTTAGACTTGATATTCCAGGAGATGGGGCTGTGCTGTTGTTTCCCACATGCAGTCTAGTATTATACACTTACATAATATTGAAATAATGTACTTACTGTAGTAGATTAAATGCCATTTAATAAAAATAATAATGCATTACATTTTTATTTTTTTTAATTTTTTTTTATTAGAGCGTTAATTTTTAACCAACTAGTTCAGGTGTTATGTTAATTGTAAAGACGAACTCAAGTTTAATCTTGAAATGTAAAGATTTAAACATGGCCACAGTTCTCCACAAATATTTGTTGTAAGAATATGTGGCTAAATACTCCTGAGACATTATACCTGACCATAACAAAACCAAACAAAAATAAATACATAAAAAACATAACCTTCCTGTAAAAACACAACATAATAAAACTAGTAAACAGACTCTGAAAACACATAAAGCTAATACAAAATAAAAGACTTGGTGTATCTAATTCCACATTCATATAGTGTATAGAATCTCAATTTTAAAAAAATGCGCTGTTTTGGCAGCAGAGCTCTTCCTGTGCTTCTCCCCCCCCCGGTCTCTTATTCTACATCTTATTTCGTTGTCCTGTTTTCTGCAGTTGCTTCCTCATAACACAGCAGACCGGATCATCAGGGTGTATGATGGCAGGGAGATTCTGACCTGTGGCCGAGACGGAGAGCCTGAACCCATGCAGAAGCTGCAGGACCTGGTCAACAGGTAGGTCAACTTTTTAACCAGTTTCACTGGTATGTGTATAAAAATGCATGAACAAAAACATTTTTAAGTTCTTACAAATATTCTGAATTTCACTGCATATAACAGGGTTCGTACAAAGTCTTCAACATGTAGAAAAGGCTTATTTTTTTAATTTTGAAGGCTGTTATTTATTTTTAAAGTTAGGAATATGCTTGAATCTTAATATATACCTTGAAACAAATGCTTCATTTCAACATCATTTGGTGTTACAATAACTGGTGTAAAAAACAAAAGTTTATTTATATAGCACATATCAACATAAGGCAATTCAAAGTGCTTTACAAAAAACAGAAATAGTTATTTTCTTGTAACAATATGCATCGATAGCTGTGGGTAATTCTGTAAACTTTAATTTTCCTAATTGCATTTATAGTAACAATTAAGATGTAATGATTTGTAATATTTTACCTTGAAATTCATTTAATTTAACTCGATAATCGTAGCGTGTTTTCCTCCGATCTATTTGTTTATGTACTCTATCTGTGTATTCTGCATTCAGGACTCCGTGGAAGCGTTGCTGTTTCTCCGGCGATGGCGAGTACATCGTGGCCGGTTCTGCCCGGCAGCACGCGCTCTACATCTGGGAGAAGAGCATCGGCAACCTGGTGAAGATCCTTCATGGAACCAGAGGAGAGCTGCTGCTGGATGTGGCGGTAAGGATCTCAAAAACTGGCTCACTGTTCGGAGATATAAACCTTGACAAACTATATTTCCATGGAATTTTAATAACATTGTGACGCAATGTTGTTTAAAATCTGACGATTTACCCATCTCACCTTTGACCTCTGTCCAGTGGCATCCTGTCCGTCCAATTATCGCTTCCATCTCCAGTGGAGTGGTGTCCATCTGGGCTCAGAACCAAGTGGTAAGTAGACAGTGACAGTAAAGGAAAATGAACATGGTCACAGATGGATTATTGAACAAGGACCATTCATAAAAAATCTGCAGTCGCATAACAATCAACAGACACTAAAACATGGCAATATTTCAGTGTTAATCTGCCATGTTTCTGATTTGGTTCCTATTCCATACTATAGCCGCTTTCGCACCGAGTACTTTGCTGTACTTAGTGCCGGAAATTAGTGCCCCGGCACTTAGTACCCCAGGTCACTAAGTACAGATCGCGTTCACACCGGAATAAGTTCCCTGAGGGAAGACTACTCAAATGAGCCGCTGATGTCACTTCGTCTTCTTCTGCTTTGGGTTTACTGGCAGGCCGCAAACCACTTCACGGCGTATACTGCCACCCGAAGTCCCCGGCCGGAAGTCCCCGGAGTTGGGGAAGGCTTCAGTAGAAGCTGCTGGGACTCCCAGCAGCTTCTACTGAAGCCTTCCGAGTAAATCGCCAGAACGCCGACACCTCCTCATCTCCACCGCTCCCATGTTTTCTTTTGTGTTGCCATAAGTTAGTCTCTCTCCGTTGGTGCGCGGGGCTAATGCTAATAATGCTAATAATGCTAATGCCACAAATACAATGGCGGCTTCACAAAACCTTTCTGAGTTTTACGGGGCGTGGTTTGCAATTCGCCCAGCCAATAGAAATTGGTACTTTTTTGGTACCACCTCTCTAGCAGGTGTTGTGGAAATATTTTCCAAGGCCCATAACTTTGACCCAGTTTATCAGTTCAAACTGTCCTGACTGAGCACACGCACCTCGTAACCTTGGCTGCTGTGCTCTCAGTGTTCTGTCTCCCTGTTCCTGCCTGTTGGCGTCAGCTGATAGAGGTGTTGTGATTTTATCTTGTTATGCAGGAGTTTGATGATGCTCTCAGAACTAGTTAAATACATGGGTCTGAGGTAGAGTTCTTTAGAATTGACGTGGCAACTCTACCGTGAAGTCAGAACCTCTGGCTCTTGGACTTGTGATGTGAATGCTCCGGCCGAAACTCCAATAAATCATCAGTGTTTTGACATCAAAGCTCCTGCTCTTCCCGTGTCTCCTTCCTGAGTCGGTGACTCCCACTGCATAGCTACACAGAAGTTTCCCTTACAGCAGGCACTAAAAATGGGGGTAAAAGTTCCCGGTACTAAGTACTCTTTTTGGTGTGAACGCAACTTAAGGGGTACTAACGGAACCAAACGGGAAAAGTACGGGGAAAAGTACTCCGGTGTGAACGCGCCCTATGGTAAACATTTAAGCACCACTACCAGGATATTTGATGCAAATAGTATTATGGTGTGATGGATGTGACTGATTGTTTTGTGTGCAGGAAAACTGGAGCGCTTTTGCTCCAGACTTTAAAGAGCTGGATGAGAATGTGGAGTACGAGGAGCGAGAGTCTGAATTCGACATTGAAGACGAAGATAAGAGTGAACCCGAGCAGACAGGTAAATCACACAAACACTAAACACTGGGTTGTAAGTATGCAGTGGACTCGCATAAAAAAATGAATGACTAAATGTTTAGTACAATTAAGTTTTGTATGGAGCCTTCCTGAAAACAGTCACTTGATTATTCCCAATGTCACACACAATCTCAATATTTATATATTTAATTTTTCCCATTAAAATTGTAACCTGCCCCGGTTTGGCTGTCAGGTTCACTGGTCTTACTGGTGTTACTGGTTTTAGGTACCAGGGTGGTGGTGGCGAAGTCCATAGGGACTTGGCTTGGCAGCATTCCCTACACTGCTCCCCGGGCGCCGTACATAATGGCAGCCCACTGCTCCTAACACTAGGATGGGTAAAATGCGGAGAAACAGTTTCGTTACATAGTACTTGTACTACGTACATGTAATGACAATAAGTTGAATCTTATTTTTTTTATAGTGGTTTTTACAGATTTTACTGGTCTTACTGGTCTTATTGGTTTTACTGGTCTTACTGGTCTTACTGGTTTTACTGGTCTTATTGGTTTTACTGGTCTTACTGGTCTTATTGGTTTTACTGGTTTCACTGGTTGGCCTCGGACATTACTCCTTTGTGTTACAGGTGCAGATGCTGCGGAGGATGAAGAGGTGGATGTCACCACTGTCGACCCCATCGTTGCCTTTTGCAGCAGGTGAGAAACAGAAATACAGGTTCCTACGTCAGGGAGAACAATGTTTCCTCCCTAATCTCATCCTCATTATTACCTTTAAGGGGACCTATTATGCAAAATCCTCTTCTTCATGTATTTTCTACATCAACATGTGTCCCCTCTGTGTAAAGAGACTGTGAAAGTTTCAGGAACAAAGATTCTCTCTCTTTTTGTCCTGATCCATTTCTATAAAAACCTGTCTGAAAATGAGCTGATCAGATTTTGGCCACTTTATGATGTCATAACAATGTTTTGGCTTGTGTAACCATTAGCCAATCACCAACCAAGGTAACCCCCCCCCCCCTTATCCCCTGAATCTCCTCCTAGAGCAACATTGTGTTTTTTTTAACCAAATATCTCTCAGAGGGGCGTGGGGAGGGGCTCCTTATTTTCATCTAAAGCAGGGGTGCCCACACTTTTTTGGCTGGTGAGCTACTTTTGAAATGACCAGCTCACCGAGGTCTACCAACCAAAAATAAAATCCAAAATTGCAAGGGTTGCTGAATAACACGTTTTATTTATACATGGGATAACTACAATTGGGCTGCAACAAACGACTAATTTGATAATCGATTAATCTATCGATTAATGAAACGACTAATCGACTATTCGGACTATTACTGTATGCCTTGCACAATTTCTCAAATGCTCTTATTTAGCCATCAACTTTTAGATTTAGCTTGAGGTTGTTTTAGGCACGTGGAAACTAACAATGAAGACAATAAAGATGAATACTTGATTCAAAAATACATATATTATTAAATTAACTTAACAAATTGTGAACAAAATTAACATTACTTTTTATTTAAATTAAATAAATAATATTTCACATCAAAAGAAACAACAATGTTTTAACAAATCGTATTAAATAATCTGATGACAGAACTGTAAACAGAATAGCTGAAACTTTAACAAAATAAATAACTCAGTTACCTCTAATCATTAACCCATGTTTGTATCATGGAGTTAACTCCGTGTGTTGCTGCTAGCATACATAACACCTGACGTGGAAACGTTACTCGTGGATGGGGCTACAGAGCTGCTAGAAACAGTCGAACCCGGTGCATTCCTCCGTCTGGATGTGGAGCACTTTTGCTAAATGTTTAGACACATTGCTCGTGTTACCGCCCTTACATGCTAAACACTCTTGGCAAGGAGCATTGTCCACCTCAAGACGGGTAACATTTAACCACACCTTGGAGCGCTTCTCTCTGCCATCCCCTCCGTGTGTTGCTGCATGTAGCAGCCACGTGTGTGTGTAAACTGCGCCGCCCCCCTCGCACACAGACGGGAGAGAGATCTCGTCTCGATTGGAAAGGTCGAAAATACACCGACCAAAGACGCATTTGTTTGTCTTTTTGCATGTTAGAAACGAGTTGGCGACACTAAGACTGCGAGATAATGTTTGTGTAGCAATAATACATGACCTTTCTCTTTCTCAACTCGCTACTCGGAGGGAAGTCATATGCCTTGTGAACACTCCGATAATGCCTCTCCACGTTACCTTTCTTTGGCAGAGCGACGCTTGCTTTACAAATAAGGCAAATAACCAGTGGCGGCTGGTGGAAAATATTTTTGGTGGGGCTGTTGATATAGTGAGTAAAACAATTTTTTTTTGGGAGAAATGACCCCTTAAATTAGGACTTCTGGTGATGTAATGGCGCGTTTCCAGTGCAGTGCGGAGCTCGCTTTAATGCTGCGTTCAGACCGGACGCGATGCGAATATTCGCTTCGCTCTAAACGCTCCTATCGCATCGCTCTAGTCGCTCGAGTTTCACCGCGGCTGCCAGCTGTGTTTACTCGCATCATTCAAACAAGACGCGCTGGCTCGGGAGCTACAACTACAACAAAATGAACATATTTTACCGTGATTAAATTGTAATACACGTTTCTAAATGATGCCGACGTAACAACATACTGATACCGGTTAGTAAAAACCATGAATTAATGCTTTGACAAGTCTGCAGACAGACGGCAGGCGAAAAACCTTTTAGAATGCTTGTTTTCTGAATGGAGCTTGGCTAAGCTAACGTTATATATGCTCCGAACGTCCACACTCACAACAACGGCCTATACAGACATAAATAAACCAGCGACTGTATTCTCCATGACACAGACAGTCTGTGGTTTGTACTTGTTTAACTTTTGTCTAGTTTCTGAACAGATCGTATCGGCTGTTTGAAGAGCAAGCATGGGAAACAAAAGATAGTATTTACCTGTTTGCATCGTTTGCATCCAGCTAGCCTCGTTGATACGTTTTGTCTTTTTCACGAGCTTGCTGTGATATATACAAATCGGGTTGGTCCGGTCCAAGGTCTTTAAGTATCAATGTATCTCCCAAACTTCTCCTTTGGGAAGGATTGGAGAGTAGCGGTACGTCCACACAGCAGCTTTTCAAAAATCTTGAAAATCTTGGAGCTGGGCGTGTCTGAAAGCTTGGGGATTTCGCGACCAACAACCAATCACATGAATCTCCCGCCCCCGACATACAAAGCAAAAAACCCCGGTTCTTCTCCACTATTTCTTTAAACATTTATGAGATTAATGTCTATGGTGCTATTTTATGCTACATTCCATGCTGGCTAATGATATTGTCTATGCTTGCTAGCAACGAAGTAAACTAGCAACGAAGTAAACTGGATATAAAATCCCCAAACAAGCGAAAACCTACCAGTTTCACCCACTGCCTCTGCCACCTCCCTCCATGCCTGGTTCCTCCGGTTTGTATCCCGGTAAGTAAATAGGGACTGGTCATAAAGAACCGGGTGATTTGCTACCGCAATAACTAAGTTCTCCTCCATTTTTGTGGAATATAGAAATGAACTGCGGGTCTGGTTCTCCCAGCTTGCACGCGGTTTGATTGGCTAGCGCTTGAACTGTCAGATTTGCATAAACGGATCTGATTGGCTGTCGCTTCCAGCTCAGCCTCAAAAGTTGAACATTGTTCAACTTTGGAATCCTGAACATCCTGGAAACCCTGGAAATCTTCGCCTCGCCCCCCCACAATGCAGTTCGGCGACAAGCGAGGGAAAGTGACGTCATCCCCATTCAAAGTCAATGGGCGGAGACGCGCTGGAAGCGGTGGACAAATCGCCAAAAGCTGCTGTGTGTACGGGCCGTAGCTCTTGCACGGAATTGGGTGCGGACCGAGGTCCGGCGACTCCACCTGCACACCATTCTCATCCAAATACTGCGTCACCTTGGTCACTCACGAGTCTAAAAAACAACTCACGTCACATAAGCAACGTGGGCGCCAACGTGAGCGCCCTCGTGACCAAAATATTTGACGGCGCTGATTGGCTGAAATTATGTTTCGGCGGCACAGTTTACTATTGAGACTTTTGCAACGTGCTGGTTGCTGCTGTTTGTCTCGGGGGCTCCGCCCGGTAATGATAAACTAATGCCACGGGCAAGGCCAGGCAGGAAACATGTGACTTATCAGTAACTTTAGACATCGTAACACAATTTTAAACGAGATTTTATTGTAGATTATACATTTTACTGATACCAATTGTATGATATTTACCTTGTTCATTAAATTTTTTTTTTTATTTAAAAAAAAAAAAAAAAATTTATATATATATATTTTTTTATTTAATATTTTTTTTAATATTTTGTTTGAATGTGGGAAGAGGTGGGGCGGCGCCCCTAGCGACCCTATGGGCCGGCCGCCACTGCAAATAACCTTTGAATGTGACATCACAAACAAAATATTCTTCCTCCCATTCTGGATGGAAGTGGTTTGTCTTTAGCTTTTTGCTCGGTCCCGCACTCATTTTGTTGTTTGTCTCTTGTTTGTCTCTTTAACTTAATTTGAGTTTTCCCGGCACTTGACTGATTTTGTATCGCTTTGCATTCTGGGTTAACAGACTGGAAAGCGATAGGTCGCTTTTTCTGTCAATCAAGTAAACTCCTGAATGAAGTGGCAGGGAGGCCAAGGGAGGAGGGATCAAAACCTGTTTTGTCTATTTTAACGGAGCTAGATATTTTTTTTTATGAATGACTCGCGATCTACCAGCATAGCCCCCGCGGTCGACGTACTGGGCACCTCTGCTCTAAAGTATCAGACAGAGAATCAGCACTTTTGAAACAGAGGGGATTATGGGATGCTGCAATGATCTGTTTGGTGTTTTGGAGCCAAACACTTCAGAGACATGTTTTGTATATATCTGAGACCTATAATATATCGATGAAAAAGAGTATAATAGAGGACCTTTAAATTTAAGTTGTATTACCACACAGTGAACATTTTCTGTTAGTAAAGCCCCTGATTTAATCTGTTACTTAAACGTTTAACTTGAACTAAATATTCCTGATTATACGTGCATACTTTTACGTATGCAAGTATAATCAGGAAAGTTCTCAAAGCACAACATTTTCACCCATGACTGTTACATTGTTATATAATTAGATTAGTTTTACTTAAGCATAATACAAAAGCAGGGTTAGTTAATTATTTATATTATGTATTAATCAATTATTTATTTAATTATGGATTAATCTATGCTATTTATTTTTTCATCTAAGAAATTGATTGAACATAACAAAAATGGCATCACAATGACCCAGAACCATAGACTGTATATATCAAACCCAGAACACACAATTGTCCATGGACTAATAGTCGTTGTTGTTCTTCGTATGTTTTGCATTATAAAAACCTAACCAAAGTTGTCAGACAAAGAAAGTGGAGTAAATATTACTTTCTCCCTTTCCCCTGTATTTTACTTGGAGAGAAATAATTGAGATACACTGAGATATAGTGAAGTAGAAAGAGGCATTAGAATAAAATACTTAACAAGTTCTTTGTACACTAGTACAGTACTTGAGTATATGTAATTAGTAACATTGAACTGCAAATTTTAGTCTTAAGTTTTATAACTGAAAGTTGGCCTGTGAATCGCTCTTGTGTTCAGATCTTCATGAGTTTGTGTTTGTGTGCTGCAGTGATGAGGAGCTGGAGGACTATAAGGCCCTGCTGTACCTGCCCATTGCCCCTGAGGTGGAGGACCCTGAGGAAAACCCCTTCGGCCCCCCGCCGGAGTCCGCGGCTCAGACCGGGGCCCCGGAGGAGACGCTGGCTGCCGGCGACAAGAAGCAACGACAACCGTCATCTGAAGGCCCGGCCAAGAAGAAGACGCGCACCACCACCATCGAACTGCAGGGGGTGCCCAGTGACGGTGAGAGAGTAAAACACAACATGAATAACAAGATACAACAACGGGGTCAGGTCTATATCAAGGAAGTTAGCCGGGCGTTAAAGTTACATTTATTTGTGGAAAAACAGTGGAATGATCGTTCTATAAATCAGCGTATGATTTTCTTTTAGCTGAGTCTTTTATCCAAAGCAACTTACACTTCAATAAGGCAGACATGTCTACAGGGGCATTTTGGAGTAATTATCTCCCCAAGAAAACTTCAACATGTTGACTCCAGAGGCTAGAGATCAATCCAGTGACTCTCTGATTGGTGGACACCCTATGCCTAAGCAACAGCCATGCCAAAGCTGCCCTAAATCAAGCTTCCCTAAATCAAACATTTGAGCTGTTAAATAAATAATTTGGTCATTAATTTTTCAAACATGCTATCGCTGAATCCAGAGCTAATTTCGCTCTTCATTAATTTGACTGAGTCCAGACCGGTCTTGTATTTGTATTGGCATGGATGCGTGGTTTAAGGGAAATGCAAGTCTGATACTCTATTGGCCCATAGATCCTGGTATTTTTTAACTTTCTGATCAGTCAGTTCACTGCTTTGATCCATAACGTAATATCTCAGCAGTTATTGGCAGAATCTGTCTGTTGATAAGCTCATAGGTATACATCTATGGAGCAAAAAATTTCAAACGTGACGATTTTTCGATTTTTCAGTATATGCTGTCTGCCATCTTGGATTTTTCCACTGGCCACAAATGAAAAAATTGGAAACAGGTTGTTTTGTGTTCAGTGTGATCCTAGAAAGTAAAAAAACACAAGTTTCCAGATTCTATATGAATCGTTCTCAAAATAACACAATGACCTATACTATAAACAGGCATTCCCTCAGGCAGTGGTAAAACACATGTTATACAGATACGGGAAATTGTTTCTCGGGGCGCCGTCTGAACGGTACGAAACGTATCCTCATTTTAAAATGTCTGTCTCTTGTCTTATTGTGAAAATCGGAACTTTGACCCGAGTCTGTCCTCTCTTTCCTCAGAGGTGCACCCCCTGCTGGGAGTGAAGGGCGACGGCAAGTCCAAGAAGAAGACAGCAGGCCGGCCCAAAGGCTCCAAAGGTAAAGACAAAGACTTCCCCTTCAGGCCCAAGCCCCACAGGGGGGAGCGGCCCTCCTTCGCTGGGGAGGCCCTGGGCAGCTCAGGCCCAGGAGGCCCAGGAGGCCCAGGAGGAGGAGGAGGAGGAGGAGGAGGAGGAGGAGGAGGAGGTGGATGAGGAGGAGGAGGAGGAGGAGGAGGAGGAGGAGGAGGAGGAGGAGGAGGAGGAGGAGGAGGAGGAGGAGGAGGAGGAGGAGGAGGAGGAGGAGGAGGAGGAGGGGGATGAAGGGCAGAGCAGAGGGGGCCTGGCCTCAGGTAAGCACGCCACCGCCCCTACTGCTGCTCACCTGGTCTGACTGAAGCCTCACCAGCCCCGCCTGTCTCCAAGGCAACCCTCCACCCCCCTTCCCTGTACTGCTTAAGGCCCTGACACACAAACCAGCGTCAAAGAACAGAGCAGGCTGTCGTGTCGCCCTCTGTGGCCCAAAAGTTCAACTTGAACACAAAGACTACAGCAAACAGCCAACCATCATGTCCGCTCTGCGCCGGTAGAGAGGAGATGACTCTCATTAACAGCAGGCGGCCGTAATCTGTATTCGTCTAGCCGTAGTTAACATACACATGTTAAAATAAAGAAGCGTTTGCTGAATTACTTTTTTACACCACTCTCACTGCCGTCTGTTTCTCTTCCCCTTCACTGATTCAACGGCCAATCAAAGTGATTTGTTTTGCCTACTACAGCTAAATAAATATGTCCCGCTCAGAGTTTCCGTTAGAATTTCTTTTTGCCGGTGTAGGTACCATATGTGTTCGGCCTACCAGATCTGTTCGGGGTCCGTTATGCTTACCAATGACGTCATGCATTGGCTGTACGGCAACCCAAGAGGACATTTTACATGGCCAAATTCCGCAAAGAATATTAAAAAATAACAATCGACAGTGAATGTATGTTAGTGGAAAGTGAAGTGTTAATTAAGGAATGTTAATGAAGAACTGAAATGCATAAAATAGAAAGTTAATATGTAGCATATCCCTCCGAAATATGGTCGTAGACTTTACTGACGATTTAGAATTTATTGAAACTCCAGACTGAACGAAAGAGCTTGTGTCATTTTATTTACGAGTATGGAATTATAACACTGGAGTTTGTTATTATTTACTATAACTTGATCATTCTGCTTCAGTTTGTGGGCGACAGCCAGTTTATGGTAGCAGCACGTTAACAGCTTCATCCTCTGAACGTGTGTATTGTCTGTTCAAAAAACTGCAGGAACCCAGAACATAGACAAAATACATGACCCCCTTCACATCTATTGTAAATGTTAGGGGTCCCCGATATGACCACAGTAGCAGTGATGATACCTGTATTAAGCAGGTGAAACAGGAGCATGAGCACACGGTGTGCTATGTTTCCTTGCTGATTGCTTCTCTGGTTGTTTTATTGCACAACAAAATCATGTAAACATATTATGTAAATAACCTAACTTGTGGCGGCAAAAGTATAGCGCAGCATTAAGCATTTGTTTACATGAGGGATAACAATTTCCCCTTCAGGAGGATACATCTCTTTCTCCACATTAAGGCCACGTTTACACGGATACGATAACGAAAACGAACCTTAGTCGATATCGAAAAAGTCTTCCGTCCACACGGTATCGGCTAAAGAAACGTGCCCGTCCACACGAGACCGCTGGAGACGCTGTAGTACATATGCCGGGCCGGGCCTGTAAGTGGCGCCACAAAATACACCAAAAGCAGCGAAGAAGACCCCCCGAGCATGGTTGCCATGGTTGCCATGGTTGCCTGGTTGCCCTTCTGTTTATTCTCTGAGGTGGATTTAGCAACATGTAGTTCATGTAGTTCTCCATGTCCACTTGTTGCTGATGGTTGTGGTAGAGGAGCTGTAGATTTTGCACTAACATCTGTAGCATGGTCAGTAGCAGACAGTAGCTACTGACCATGCTACAGCAGTGAGCAGCAGAGGTTGTTGGCGAAAACACATCAGCAATGACGTGGGGGTGAGCAGGAGAGGCGGGGCTATGGCGTCGTCGTTATCAGGAAATTAGCGTATAGGACGTCGTACACACAGAGTCGTTTGACCCCCCAGAGCGTTTCGTCCGCAGATCTACCCACCTTGGGAGCCGTTATCGTTTGAGGGCTCCGTTTCCGCGGTTCCGTTACGGCCTCGTGTGGACGAACCGTCCATACGATGGAGAACTGTAGCGGATACAACCCGTTTCGTCTCTGTGTAAACGTGGCCTTAGCATGGATGTATAATAAGAACTGGATTTAGCGTGGGAGGCGGGGCCTCGTTCATTCCTATGAGAGTTGCTCATTGGCGCATGAAGACAAAATGGCCCAACTTTTGAGAGAGCGAAACGTCACGAAAGTATTCATATAATCATATAAACCGTTCTTATTGTGCATCCATGGGTAAAGGTAAAACTCATGTAGTACTGAACACGTCACATGAACGTGCCTGCGGTCCCGTGGGTTAGATGCGCGTTCATAATGCCGAGGAAAATAACTCAGAATAACGTTATTAGCACATTTTACAACTTGAGGACCGAATGTTCATACTGGGTAGTTTAAAATAAATTATCCTACGATTTACAGACGTCTCCTTCCCAATGTTAGTCAATGGGAAAAAGTGTTTCCGGGCCCAGCGACTGATACGGAAGTGTACTACCGCTGTTTGGCCACAACGAATATTTCCCTCAGAGTCCGGCGCACTTCCTGGGGGCTTGGGCCTTAGTCAGTTACTTTTGAAGGCGCGGCCTGATGTCCTTATAGGCCGTAGCTCTTTAATGTTAAATTCGACTTCAGACAATGAGCCTCATTGCAAAGGTGTGTAACATCTAATTTCTATCCACATGGGGCGCTACAGTTACATTAAAACATCATATTTCTACAATTCTGTTGACTTTAAAGAGGCCCTATTATGTTGTTTGGGGTTTCCCCTTTACTGTATTGTTTTATAGTTTTTTGTTCATCTATGCTCTGCAAAGGCTAAACATCCATGTGTTGCACCTCTATTGGATAGAACGCCAACACATTTAACATGATAGGCTAAGGGGCGGGACATCTCTAAGCTGTAGACCAGGGGTGGGGAACCTCCGGCCGAGACCATTTGGTACGGCCCTCGAGGTAGTTTATAAACACACGCAAAAAAAAAAAAAATGAAAGAAATCTAGACCGCAAAAAAATTAAACAAGCGAGTGCCTGTTTTTCCTGGCCAAGGTCAGAGTCCTTGAACACAACACGAGCCTAACGTGTCATCACGTGGTATATGTCTCGTCTGACATGGGTGCAGTTCTGACGGAGAGCACCAGAACGCCGCTCCGGCACTTCCACAAATGTCAGTACCCATAAGGAGCTGTACACATGCCGCAGTTTTTGCGTGGCTGTGTTTTTAGTTGAAAGCCCGGTGGCGATCTGTTCATCCGTCATACTGATCTGACAGTCAATAACTTTGTTGTTATTAGCATCTGGTTAGCTAGCTATGCTAACGAATATAAGAAGCTTTTTCTACAACCAGTAGAGGCACATCTTTATATGATTATTATAGTTATACAAAAATAAGAGAATAAAGTAAATAGGTATAAAATAATATATGACAGTAAAAATAAGTTGTTATTAATAAACAAGAATACAGTTTGAAAGGAGAGTGATTTGTAAAATATCCATAAATAAAAAGAAATCTGCTTACAGTTCTGTTTATGGGTGTTGAGAGATGTATCCATAGATCTTGTGTTGCTCTCAAAGTGCACCAGATTGATGCTTTCAACTTCAATATTTAAAAGAAAATGTGGGTTCCCCCCCCCCCACTTAAATCATGTTCACATGGATAGGAAACTAAATACATTTGCACACATCTTGTGTCCAATATCTTTCTGTTTTGGTGGTCATGCCACAACCGTGCACGTGCATGCATTCTGACATTTTTGTGATTTTAGTATTTTTAAGCAGAGGTCAATAATTTGTACGGCCCTCGGGGGATGTTGAAAAAATTGAAATGGCCCTTGAGAGGAAAAAGGTTCCCCACCCCTGCTGTAGACCAATCACAACAGAGCCAGCCAGCTAACCATTCAGAGCAGACTGGGCTTTGGTTTCAGACAGGGTGAAAAGAGGTGCTGCAGCACAGGCCGTATGAGAAAAATAAGAAATGTTTCAACATTAAAGTAAACATGTCACAGCAGAGGCACCAAATATGAACCTGAAAATGAGAACAATAGGGCCCTTTAATACATATACATCTTAAAAACAAGTTCTCCACGAACAAAACTCTAAATTAGGATTCGGGGGGGCGGGGGGGGGGTTCATTGGATTTTCTAACGATTGCTACATTTTAGAATAACAAGATAAATTCAATATTTAAATCAAACTGAGGAAGGTCCAACTAAATGATTTGTTGAAAACCCCTTGTCATGATATCAGCACTGTTCAACTCAGGTAATTCATAAGAGAACTAACAACTCTCATTTTTGAAAACTTTCTCTGCCAGTTTTCCACTTATAGGCTGAACAGCTGTATGATTAGAACATGCTTTTTCTCCTGCTAGATTAATCCACAGTGACTCCTCTTGTACCTTCAGAGATCCTTCCAGACTGTGGCTTTATGACCGTATAACCTCTGCTAACCTCAGCCTCATTCTGACTAATAATTCATCATTTAAACTTTGGGGAAGTTGGACTGTAGTGGCAGGTGGGTGTTGACGTGGCTAAAGCTGCGGCTTGTTGGGGTACATCTACTTCCTGCTTGGCCTTTGACCCTCCTGCTCCCACCTCGCTCCCCAGGCTTGTCATGTGACATCGACGTGTGTCTGTAGCAGCGCTGCTCAGGTCTTTCCTGTTTCTGTGTGTGTGTGTCAGAGATGTGAGGCAATAGTTTTACTTGAAACTTTGATCAAAAAATCTGGTTTCCAACAGCTACATTTAACAATGTTAAAAATAATACCATATCACATCCATATTGAGCACACTTGTGTTTCTCAGTATCCAATGAACAAATACATATAAATCAATTATATTATTATATTTAATAATCACAAATAAGATTTTATTTCCTCTAAAATTAGTCTTTCATTTTTTATGTAACCCCTTACTGAGAAATAAGAAATAATGAAAATCTAGGGTGAGTTTAGTGTTGGATCTCTTCACTGTGTTTCTTTGCAGTGTCTCAGGTTGCCAGATCAGCGAGCACAGGTTTTGTGCTGCCTGCAAATCATCAAAATAATGTCCTATGTATTTTCCTAAGCACTTTTTCTTGACCTCAATAAAAAACGTAAGGTCAAGAAGAATTCAAAAGGACTTAGTTATAACACTATGGCAGATGTTTTTTATTTCCCTTCACTCAAATTATGCTTTTACTCTTCTCTAACTTATCTGCCTTTCTTTCTTTCACTGTTATCGATAAAACAACTCTTCCTGCACAGATATTTCACATTGAAAGCCTTCAACTGCAGGAATTGTAAAGTTTTATTTATATATATATATATATATACGATACAATAATGCTTTATTGGTCAGATCAAGTCTGCAATTTGACTTGCATCACAGCAGCTCCATGTGTAACATCAACATAGACAAATGTCAAGACACAATACATGAAAAACAAACATTTAACTGATACAAACAGAATTAGTTTAAAAATATGTTTCAGCCGAGTGTTAAGTATGACATTCATCTGTTATTGTACTAATGGAATGAAACATTTTGGTTAATTTATTTATTAGGCTACAACTAATTCCTCCCTGCTTCCGACATTTCTAACTGGCCTTTATTTTCGGTATATGGCTAATAATTCGAATATATTTGTACTTATTGTAAGTCGCTTTGGATAAAAGCGTCAGCTAAATGCAATGTAATATTTGATCATTATTTGTATTTTCTTTTAGAGTTCACAGTTGGACAGCTAAGTAAAATATTGTGTAAACGGTGTCTTATTGTCATGTTTGTCTGTCTGACGGTATTTTTTCCTTCTGCAGGGAGTCTGCTCTCACAGTCGTACAAGCAACACGATATTGGAGGGATGGACTGATCACTGTTAGTGAAGCAGCCAACAACAGACTCAAACAAAGAGACAAAGCCTGATGTCATAAAACAGACTGAGCGAGCAGTTTGACATGCAGACTGTTTTCTCTCCAAACCAGGGCTCACTTTACAGAAAAACTCCTGAGCCCGGATCTCTTGACAGGAGCCGTCAAAGAGAGCGTGAAGCAGTGGAGTCAGTCAAATGTCCTCTGTCTATGTAGGGTTCATCATGTATAGATCACGTGCGTCCTGATAGTGTGTGTGTCATCTTTCTTGTTGTTTTTATACGTATTAAAACATTTTGATTTGTAAATAATTTGCTGCGGTGTGGTTCTCTGTGCAAGCGTTAACCCAGCTGTAGAGCCTGACAGATTTCAGAGAGCATATTCAAAGGGATCTTAAACCAAAAAAACACAAACACTTGTGTTACAGGTAAGATATGCATTTTAGATTTTGGGGTGAACTGTCCCTAGCACTGTAAATGTTTGCAATTTAGACAAGTGGAGCTTGTTTGTACTATTCTTTATGCTGTTAGGAAGTTCTGTGTTCAACAATGCATGTTATAAGCTCATCATCATATGTTTAGTATGAAAGTCTTAACAATAGCTTTCAAAGCTGACAAATAAATGTAGATACTACATTAAAAACTGTGGAGTAAAGTGGAGTACATGTAAAAGTAGCATATAATAATGGAGTAAAGTACATGTAGGAGACCTTGAACTTGTACTTAGGAAGGTTAAAGTATTTGGGAAATACATCTAGCTTAGTCTACTTATTTTACGCCAATACTTACAGGTGGTTTGAGAAATTAAGCTTTTTCTCAAAATATAGTTTCTATACAATAACAGATATAAACTAAATTGTCATTTTCGTAGTTGCTGGGTGAGAAATTCTTCTGTGATTAAAATACCATCATCATTACTCATGATCTACTGTACGATTCCACTTCTGGATCCTCTGGATCCTGTCATATTTTCCAACAGTCAACACTGACCAATCACAGTGGAGTAGGCGGGGCTTCGGTGAACTGATTGATTGATTGAAAAGTTTATTAACAGCTTGTATATTGGGTACAGTACAGTACAGCTCAAAACATACAATTGTTAAGGGGATGCAGACCAGAGAAAGACTTTCGTCTTGTTTACATCAGGGTCCCCCATTTCCAATTCATCATGTCATTTAAGACATATTTGACATACAGATGGCTTATTTACAATTTACATACAGGTGGTTTTTTACATACAGATTGCTTATTTACAATTTTCATTTTAGATTTCGTTCTAATACATCCTAACCGGACATTTAAGACATACCAAGTCTACAGATATACAGTTAGTAACAGAGTCTAAAATGCGAGTATATACATAGATGGGGGGGGGGGGGGGGGGGGGAGCTGTCCATTGAACGACAGGTTGAGATTTGTACCATTACCGGGGCCAGTTTTGCAATGCTCTCCCCCGAAGGTGCTCTTTAAGAGAGGTTTTGAAGGTAAGTATAGTTTTACTTTCCTATTAGGGAGTGAGAAACCAGCTAGAGTAAGATAGAGGCCGTTTCTCAATCACGAGTACATGCTGCAGAGCAACTATTTCAAGTATACTACGTCATAGAGTGGCGCAGAATGCTTGGCATTTAACACATGGGCCCTGTCTCAGGTCGACTATTTTCATTTCCTCGCTCCTTGGTCCTCGGTCTCACCGGAAGTTGATTTGTCTGCGCCATGCCCATGGCTCTTATTTCTGCCGGAGGATCGAGGAGCGAGGAGCGATAATAGAGGAGCGATAATCGAGGAACCACCAGACCATCCTTCGATGAAATCCTCAGACACTCGCCCCCGCCCCCTTATCAAATCTTAACACAGCAAAAACCCAAGAAATAATCATCGACTTCAGGCGAAAGCCACAGCCCAAATCACCTATATCTATCTCCGGCAAACTCATTTCCACCACAGAATCACTCAAATTTCTTGGCACTCACATAAGCAATAACCTCAAATGGAAGACCAACACAGACCACATCTATAAAAAAGCCAACCAAAGGCTATTCTTTCTGCGACAGCTCAAGAAATACAGAGTGAGAAAACATCTCCTAATCCAGTTCACAGCCATCATCCAAAGCATCCTCACATCATCCATCACAGTCTGGTACAGCAGTTCAGACAACCTCTCCCGGAATAAACTTCAACGTATCATCAATAAAGCATCAAAAATCACCTGCAATCCCCTTCCATCACTCGAATCACTTCATCACCAAGCGGCAAACTCTGGGGAACAGCCGGGACGCCAATACGGAAGTGCCACACACTGCAGTTCATACATGGGCCGCTAGGGACTGGCTGCAGAAAGGAGCAATTTCCATAGACCCCCATGTTAAAATGCCCAGCTTTACAGCAGAAAAAAACATGTTTCTACCCATGGATGCAATAAATATTATTATCGATACAGTTAGATTCCACCTTCATGATTATGAATCTGTGAGTGAATTGTTTTCTAACATGACCCTTTTATTTATATTAGGTCTTAAAGTTTTTGCATAAATTAGGGCGTGGTCACTTTGATGGACACGTACATGCCTCACTGTCAGCTAACAGCAACTTGTCCACTCTGCTAGGCTACAACCATAGAGGCTACAACGTTAGTTAGTCATAGTACTGTACTTGACCCTTTAGCTTTAGCCGTGTTCATGGTGATTGTGCCTTTTAGGGAATATTGTTACAAATACCAGACAATTAAAATGTCGTGCTGTGCGCTTGAATGGACTAACAGAACTTCCAAGAAGTCTAAAATGATAATATTATACATGTTAACCCTGTTCGCAGGTGTTTGTGTGCTTGGTAGCTTAGCTTGTTACTTATTAGCCAGCTAAGGACGTAACCCTTTATGCATACATATACATTTTAGTTTATGATTCAGCCTTGGGTAAGACTTTTATAGTCTATAGGCGCTTTCACACTGCGGTACTTTTCCCACAAAGGTTCATGTGAACTTAGTTCATGTGAACTCTTTTATCGCGTTCACACCAAAAAGAGCCGGTACTAAAATTAGTTCATGTGAACCTTTTTACCCCCTCGAAAGTCCCTGCTAGAGAGCAGGGACTTTCGAGCGGCTCTTTTGTGAGAAAAGAGCTATATTTCTGATTGGCTGGAAGGATTGCAAACCACGCCCCGCAAAACTCCCAAAAAGTTTTGTGAAGCCGCCATTTTATTATCCTCGCATTAGCATTATTAGCATTAGCATTAGCCCAGCGTAGAAACGCAGAGAGACTAATTTATGGCAACACAAAATAAAACATGGGAGCGGTGGAGATGAGGAGGTGTCGGCGTTCTGGCGATTTACTCGGAAGGCTTCAGTAGAAGCTGCTGGGAGTCCCAGCTGGGAGTCCCAGCAGCTTCTACTGAAGCCAGTCCCTAACTCCGGGGACTTCCGGCCGGGGACTCCGGGTGGCAGTATACGCCGTGAAGTGGTTTGCGGCCTGCCAGTAAACCCAAAGCAGAAGAAGAACAAGTGACGTCAGCGGCTTAATTTGCCTAATCCACCCCCAGGGACTTTTTACAGTGTGAACGCTAATAACGATAATAAACGATAACGATAACGATAACGATAATAAATTATCATTACACCTGGGTAACCTGAGTCCATTCTCTTCGGTTCGAAACATAATCTCAGCAAATCCGACGACTTCTCAGTTGCAGTGGGCAACATTATTGTCACAAGTAAGAAGGAAATTACATATCTAGGATCTATTCTTGAGGCAAACCTCTCCTGTGACAAAATGGCATCCAATGTAATAAAAAAAGTCAATCAAAGAACTAGATTCCTATACCGGATCTCCTCTCTGGTAAACAAAAACACCCTGAAAACTCTGGCAGGAGCACTCATTCAAGGGTACTATGACTATGCTTGCACGTCATGGTACCATAGCACCTCCAAGGCGCTAAAAATAAAACTTCAAACATCGCAAAATAAACTGGTCAGACTACTGCTTGACCTTTCATCTAGAACCCACCTCACCTTTGCCCACTTTGACAACCTAGGATGGCTTAGAGTAGACGACAGAGTACAGCTACTTGCAATGGGCCTGGTCTACAAGATCCACTACACCTCTATGGTACCCATGTACATGTCAAAATTCTTCCCAAAGGTCAAGGAATACCATGATCATAACACCAGAGGGAGCTCCACAAATCATGTGAAACCCAGATTTGGCACAAAAAAGGGGGAATACACGTTTCGCAATTATGCCACATCAAGGTGGAACGCTCTTCCCACAACTGTAAAGGAAAGTAAAACTATACTTACCTTCAAAACCTCTCTTAAAGAGCACCTTCGGGGGGAGAGCATTGCAAAACTGGCCCCGGTAATGGTACAAATCTCAACCTGTCGTTCAATGGACAGCTTCCCCCCCCCCCCATCTATGTATATACTCGCATTTTAGACTCTGTTACTAACTGTATATCTGTAGACTTGGTATGTCTTAAATGTCCGGTTAGGATGTATTAGAACGAAATCTAAAATGAAAATTGTAAATAAGCAATCTGTATGTAAAAAACCACCTGTATGTAAATTGTAAATAAGCCATCTGTATGTCAAATATGTCTTAAATGACATGATGAATTGGAAATGGGGGACCCTGATGTAAACAAGACGAAAGTCTTTCTCTGGTCTGCATCCCCTTAACAATTGTATGTTTTGAGCTGTACTGTACTGTACCCAATATACAAGCTGTTAATAAACTTTTCAATCAATCAATCAAACGCGATCTGTACTTAGTTCATGCGAACTAAAGAGTTCACATGAACCTTTGTGGGAAAAGTACCGCAGTGTGAAAGCGCCTTATGGCTATGACGCCCATAATGCTAAACGGGAGCAAATGTTTATAGGGGACCCAATTATCCCAGTGGTGGCCGCCGGAGCCAGAGCCGTATAATAGATTATATTCTATTCTATTATACGGCTCTGGCCGGAGCTAACGGAGACGCAGGGGGCTAGCTCCAGCCGGTGTTCCGGAGCTAGCCCACTGCGGCTCCGTTAGGTCCGGGCGGTGGAGTCCGTCTTTTCTCAACGTGTGAATGACAAGCATTAAGAATAACAAAATATAGCTAATTCTCTTGCAGATTGTCTCATTTGATTATGAATGTAACGCAGTGGCGAGCCGTCAGGGCCCTCTAAAATATTTTGTTGTTGTTACATTTTTCATTAGTTTTACCAAAATAACTTGATTTAATTGTATTTAAAATAATATTTCCAAAGAAATAAATCCTTCGAATCTGCCTGTTCAGTTTCTGTTGGAATGTGAAGGGTTAAATGCCGTCTCTGCGAGTTATGTGAAGACGGGAGAGCTTGTTGGTCCCTCTCTACATTCACAGAGGGCCAGCTATAGTAACTCAACGAGAGAGTAATGTCAAATGACAGTACAATTGACCAATCATATCTTCCCTCTAAATGGGCGGGCTTTATTTTCGCGGACTTTATGACAAGTTCCGCCCGCTGTGAGGTCTATGCAAGTGGTGCAGTGACGCGTCCTAAAATCCGGAAGTAAGCTGCGCTTGGATTCCCTCGACAGAAAGCAGTGGGATTTCTCCATAGGGTTTTGGAAAATAGCTCGAAATAAGGTCTGTGGAAAACGAACCTGTTAGATAAATGCACGTTGTGTTCAGCCGGATAATATCCACATGTCTATCCTACTTTTACTATTTTTGAATCATAAATCTAATCGATAGATTTATGATCGATAGATTTATGATTAGCATGATGGCTCACTTCAGTGATAGTGATGACATCAGTGATAGTGATGACATCAGTGATAGTGATGACATCGTTGCGAAATTATTAACCGGGTCATTTTCAAGATTGAGTTACAATGATAAACTGGAGTGGCATAGGATCAGCTGCATGACCCGCCATCAAGTGCTTCATCCAAAAGGACAGGAGGATGGACTTTGTGTTTCAGTGATTTGATCATCAAAGGTAGGCCTAAGTCATTTTCAATGTGGGCCGCCGTGCCGACTTAATTCATTTGTAATCGCTACTTGGCTGTGGGTGCCCTGTCATGATAAGTGTTTATATAAATGGTGTTGTTTTGTGTGGTAGAGGGTCGCTGTCATTGATGCGTTTTGCACCCCGGACCACTGTTTTGATATTCCGCTGAAGTCTACATTGAGACGTAGGGGGGGGTCAGGTATAAAAGTCACGGCTCGCCACTGATGTAACGTTTATATAGGGGAACTACACTGTTAGCAGTAACTTGGTATGCATGTATTTCATGTTAGCTTAGCTTCTTAGCCTGAGCTAGCTCTGTTTACTTCCAGTTCGGAGGCAGCAGGTCCCGCCTCGGCTCCGCCTCTTTGCCCTTATTTGGAGCAGGCGGGATTAGACTCTGACGTCACAGTCGAGCCGTTAGTGGCCGACTCCGCCTACTAAGGGCTTCACGGCAACTCTGCAGAATCCTATGGGTGACGTCACGGACACTACGTCCATTTATACAGTCTATGTTCACCACCAACGAACTGTCACAAGCAGTAGCGTGGCGTGGGGAAAAATGTAGGGGAAGCCCATTTTTTGGGTCGGGGGGCGGTCAATAACGTAACCAGATGAGTGATTACAGCGCCCGGTATCATTTGACACACATTTGTATCACACAGATGCAGGACTTGCACACGCCTGTTATCTAACCGACAGGTCCGCTCTCCAGATGAAACTCTCTCCTTATTAATTTAAGCATTTTACTTATTAATGTATGCAGACAATCACACAATCTATGTGATTTTTGGATTTACCGTGCCTCTCAATTGCCCATGACAGGTTGGAAAGGTCGATGAATCCTGAAGTTGCCCAAGGATTGTTCAGGGAGCACGAATCCTTGTCAAAAAGAAGACATGGCCAGCAAAATAGACGCTGAAGTTTAGCGCTTCCAGTTAGCCACTCCGTGCGGACATAATTGTCCTCATTGAACGTCCGTTTCCCTCCCTTTTTCCTCTGTGTACACACAGCTCGAGTGTGGGCGTTGGCCTGTCATCTGATTTAATTTTTAGTTGCTGCTGTAGCGGAAGTTTAGTAAAGTTATGTTTGATTAAGTACGCCAAATCTCCACCCTCCATAATGCTTCATTTGCTTGATAATTTCTAACGGCGGTGATGACAGTTACAGTATTAAAACTGATGTTGATGTGATTTGATTGGATGGCAGTGTCCAATCAAATCGCCAGCCGCCAGCCGCCTCTGAAGGGAAGCAAGAGGCGGCTGGCTTCCCTTGGCATGGCCCTGACCAATCACAGGTTGGCAGGGGCATCACGTGGGCCTCATCTGATTGGTCAATCCCTCCATTTTTTTTCACCAAAGGAAGCCAGATTCGGCTGGCCTCCTCTCGCAACAGTGAGTGCAATCTACTGTTTCACCATAACATCTAGAGGGGCGCTGTTTGTTTCACTCTTTGTAAAATACTCAATGAGAATGGGGGAGAGACGGGCCGGCAGCAACACACAGCAAAGGAGAATTATCGAAACAAAACAAAGTGTTTTTATTTATTTATTTAAATTATAACTACAATCCGAAAAAACAGGGGAAGCCTGGCTTCCCTTGGCCTCCAGGAGAAAACGCCACTGGTCACAAGGGCAAATCAAATCATTTCTGACCCCTCCCACCCAGGTCACCATGTCTTCCAACTTCTGCCCTCAGGGAGGCGCTACAGATCACTGTCCGCCAAAACCGCCCGCTTCAAAAACAGCTTTTTCCCCTTTGCAATACGGACACTAAATGGACTCTAAATAACCCCAATGAACAACAACAATCCACCACACCTTGAACTTTATGTTATGATATGTCTTTGCCCTGTGCTGTGTGTTGTACTTTTTATTGTCTGTTTATTGTATGTTGAATTGTATGGAACAAGCTGTAATACTCTGCACTGAACACAAATTCCACCAGCCTCGCTGTGTGGTCATTAAAGATTATAATCTAATCTAATCAAATCAAATCAAGTTTTATTTATATAGCCCATTTATAAACGTTCATAATGCAGAGGAAAATAACTCAGAATAACGTTATTAGCACATTTTACAACTTGAGGACCGAATGTTTTTAATAAGGGCTATACAAATGTTCATACTGGGTAGTTTATTTAGTTAAAAAAAAATTATCCAACGATTTACAGACCACTCTTTCCCCATGTAAGTCAATGGGAAAAAGTGTTTCCGGGCCCAGCAACCTAACGGAAGTGTAGTACCGCCGTTTGGCCACAACGAATATTCTCATCAGAGTCCGTTACACTTCCTGGGGGCTTGATTTAACATGCATTTAAACCATTTAAACATTAAATCCTTCGGCGCCACTCGATGACGTAGTATACTTGAAATAGTTGCTCTGCAGCAGTTTTACTCGCAATTGAGAAACGGCCAGAGGGTGTTTCTCAATCGCGAGTAAAGCTGCTCCAGAGCCACTATTTCAAGCATTGAAAAAAAGCATTGAGGTATGAAGTGAGGAGGGAAAGTGCAGAGCCTGAAACTCCAAGTGCTTGGAGAGTGCGAAGGAGGATCTGATGATTCACCGTGTCGAATGCAGCAGACAGATCCAGAAGTATGATGACAGAGGAGAGGGAGGCTGCTTTAGCCGTGTGCAGTTCCTCCGTGACAGCAAGGAGGGCAGTTTCTGTGGAGTGACCTGCCTTGAAACCAGGCTGGTGCGGATCCAGAAGGTTGTTCTGATGGATATAACAGGAGAGTTGTTTAAAGACAGCGCGTTCAAGTGTTTTAGACGGGAACGGGAGGAGAGAGACAGGCCTGTAGTTTATAACATCAGACGGGTTGAGAGTGGGTTTCTTTAGGAGAGGGTTTACTCTTGCCTCCTTGAGACTGTTTGGAAAGTGACCAGAAGTTAGAGAAGTGTTGATGAAATGGGTGAGAAACGGTAGAATATCAGGAGCGATAGTCTGAAGGAGGTTTGAAGGGATAGGGTCCAGAGGACAGGTGGTAGGGGCGGGCAGAGGTAATGAGGGTAAGAACCTCACTTGGAGAGAGAGGGGAAAAGGAGGTTAGTGTGTTGGTGGAAGGAGGGTCTGGTGACCCAGCGGTGAGTAAAGGTGAGTCAGAAAAAGAAGAGCGAATATCATCAACCTTTTTTTCAAAGTGGTTAACAAAGTCGCTTGACAGAAGGGAGGAGGGGGAAGGGGCTTTGGGGGGGTCCAAGAGGGTGGAGAAGATGTAAAATAGTAATACTTTTCTCGTAAAATAACTTTTCTTTCTCTTCAAAAAACGTCTTAATGACAATGTCATAAGCACAACAGCTACAGCATCGTTTTGGCAATAAAAGTCTCAAATCCCAACCCTCATCCACTACAACTGAACATAAGGCATGATAAAAATAAATTAGTACAATAAACTATTGCAAGAGAAATAACGGTGCGAATAAATAGCAGGAATATGGGACAAAATGTTATAACATGGAACAGATTGTAAAACCAAACAATGTACAGTAGAATAAATACTGTATACAGTAATAATATATAGATAGGCCTATGTGGATATGTGTAATGAACATATTTGTGTATTATAAACACACATCAGATATCACATATTATGTATTTACCCACTGTTGATATGTATATATTTACTGTTTTTCTATTAATTATTATTCATTTGCAACGCTGGTACTTTATCAGCTCGGGATGTGTTCTGATTATTATTATATAGTATTATTTTCATAATACAATATTTCCCCTACTTAATTAGGAAGACATGCAATGTTTCTCAAAATATTTAAACTTTACTTTCCGAAATCTGAATTTTTCTTCTTCTTTAACTTTCCACTCAATGGAGCTTTTATTTCGAAGTCTTAACAGGAAGTGTTATTTTGGTAGCTAACTGCCGGGGCCGGGCAGTATAAGTAAGTCTGTGGTACTTCAGAGTTATTGCTAGCAGACTGTAGTGCCAGTTGGACAACTTGTATGTGTCCGTGCAGTCGTGTGTAACTTTCTGGCCGTTAACGGGAGCTCTGGTTGTCGTGGTTGGTGTGATGGAATTGGACAAGATGGACGAGAACGAGTGGAGGTATCACGGCGAGGGGAACAAGAGCCTGGTGGTCTCACACGTACAGGTGAGCAGCTAGCACCAAGCTAACATAAGTTCAGATAAAAGCAGAAGGAGTGTTTGCATCTAGCTTCAACAGCACACACTTTTCTAACGTTACATGTGCTTAATCTCAGTGTCGTTGGCGATGGAAACTTTGAGCAACTATCTGGGAAAATCTGTTTATAAGTGAAGGGTGAAAGGTCAGCTGCCAGGTTTTTTTATTTAGCCATCTTCATTACCATTAGCTTGTTTGCTAGCTTAGCCGGCTAGCTAGTGAAGAGTTCAAATGACTCCAACTAATAAAACAATATTAAACAGTGACAACAACGCTTAAAATAAACACTAAATATTATAAATGACATATAAAGTAATGTGCAGTTAGAGTGACTGACTGTCTAGTTTGGGAAGGGTCTTAAATGTTAGGATACTAACGAGCTACTTTAGCCGCTAGCAGCTTCCCAGTTTCTGCTGGGAGTCCGTTCTGTCTAACGGGACTTGCTGTTAGTCTGAGGCGGACTGCTGACACTTTCAAGTTCACTTCCATGCGGGTGAATCCTGAGCGGACAGACATACGCTGCTGTGACCCGGGCAGGGTGGGGGGGGGACCCAGGGACAGGGACAGGACGGTGGGAGAGCCTCATTCACGGGACTGGTCTGGTCATGTTGTTATTGAGCAACCGGTGACATGTTAATATAGGAGTGTGACATTACAGTGTTGTAATCCGCTCAGTTAACTTGTATATTGATTTATACTTTCAAGAATGTAATCTTTCTCTACTGCTTGGCAATAAATAAATGATGCTGTTAACTGACTTTACATGTACGGCTGCTTGTGTTCAGACAATAATTAACAATCAAATTCTTCAGTGAGTTTGTTAATGTATTTTATTACCAGCTAAATCAATATCTTATAACTAATATATATTTCAGCTATAACGGAACCAAATGACTAGGAGTATTTGATGATGTTGTGAACTTAGGCAACACCCAGCAGTGGTGCTATCTTTTTCTTTCTTATCATTGAAAAGAATAAAGGTTTTCTGATTCCTCTGACCGCAGGTTGTGATCACTTGGAAATAAAGTTGTAGTCATACCTAAACGGTACAGTTCTACACCTTACTTTGAAACCTATTAACATATTGTCCCAAAACTATTTTTGTGTTAGTGATTTTTATTTATTTATTTGAGCCCCACCCTTTTTGCCAGTGCTCTACTTTGTTGGTGCTAATGCAATAAGCTGGTTTGAGGTTGAAAGTGTGAGAGGAAGCACATTCAAAATGTGGGTTTTTGCCCATATGAGTGTTTTATTTTTTCTTCTAAATTAAGTGTGTTTCTAAGGTCCCTAAACCACATCTATGTGACCGCTATTTCAATAGCATAAGGAGAATCTTTTTCTTTGCAATGATGAGAGTATAGCACCAGAAACATTGCTGGGTATTGCTTGATTTGATAACATTATCAGATACTTATAGCATCTTTTAGTTCTGTTTCTAGCTGGATCTGAAGTCATTTAGATAATAATTGTAGATATTAATCTTTGCACTGAACAACCAAAGTCTTATACAATAACAAAACAAATCAACCTGCATGCATATTGGTATTGCTCGCTTATTATAAACATTCCCATCTGAATTAATCTCATTGATAGTTATTACAACTTGTTACATAATTAAAAACCGTTTTAAGCATTCTGCAATTTACAGTCGTCGGTTTAGTGCTGGCATGTTGTCTTTACTTTGAGCTCTAGTTATTTACATATTATTACTTTTACATATTAAAATTCCTCTTTCTTGTTAAATATGTTGCCTTGTTTGGTTTAACAAATGTTTTTGATGCATTGGTTTGACTCTTAAGCAGGTTAGGGACACACTGCTTCGACAGGGAGGCTGTCACTGACAGCAGGAGCGAAGGACAGGAAATAGATAAATACGTGTAAAGAAACATCCTCATTTAAAAGAATTGAATTCAAAGTCTGAATTAGAGTGAAACTAAGTTGCCCATAGAAGTCTTAGTTTAGTTGCTCCCACTGAACATTTGCCTGTTTGTAAAGTTTAGACACAATTGAGCTGTGAGGCATGTGAATACTACGGTGTAAACAGGTTCCTCGCACTACCTGATTTCTATGAGCAATTTGTTTGTTTTGGGTGCACACTCACTGCTGAAATATTTGCACCGAGTAGTTCAAAGATTCATTCATAATGTTGGAAATTAAAATGAGTCACCATTTGAACATTGTGCAGCTTTGTTTTTGTGAATGTCTTTCTTCTTAAACCCAGTTTTTTTGCACAGTTACAGATCAGAAGACTACATTTGTAATACTGTTATTATATATCTGTACATTTCACTTCCAGAAGATTATTCCATACATCTTATACATAACACAATATTCTGCTTCAATACATTATTGTTTTGTGTAATGAGTAACACGATTATGACGACATTTAATATGACATCAGCCTTTTACTGCTTCTTTTGAAAAGTTTCAATACAACATTTTAATGTCATTTTCATCAATTAGGTACGGCCCTTTTTAAGATGATCTGTCATCATATTGCTAGGTTTATGGATTTTCTTCACTTAAAAACACCCATGTGCTGACAGACAGTCATTGTTGTGTACTGTTACCGTAAATATACAGTGTGTTGTGTTTGTAGAGTAAGTACATAGAAAGAAACACTTGTCCAGACTTACTGTTTGTGCTGCACTGTGGGAACGCTGCATCAGTATTTTAACCCACCTCAGGAATCTCTGGGAGATGTTCCTGGATTTCCCTCAGATCTTAACCAAGCTCCTCTTCTGTTCTTGCAGCTTTCCATAGTTCTCCGCCTGCTCAAGTATCCGGCCGAGGACTCAGAAAACCCACCACAGGTAACTAAAAGTCCGAATGTGTCTCAGGTCTTTTCAGAACATAAAGGATCGTCCATATTACTGCACTGGAAAACACATCTAGATGCATATCCAAAGAAAGTTGTGGGTATCACTAAGTTTAATGTGTGCTTGTTGATTCCAATTTATTGCATTGTGAACTTCTGGTATTTCAACATTTTTACATTAAACACCCAATTTGTGTAGTGTACTGATACTGTCAGATCGAGTCTGACCTTTTATTGCATCACAGCAGCTCCATTTGCAACGAGGACAAATATAAGATCGCCGGACCTTGTATCTCTGATTTGATGGGAACAATTACTATGTCGTTATGTTAGGCTGATTCATAGAGTCTCTAAAGGTTGTCCAATCGTTGTGAGCTCCCATTTCCCGTCAAATTATAAAAATGTGTCCAAGATTGATCAGATCATCCAGCAACTGCTCTGTTAAGTGGATGAAAACGGGGCCGGTGGTGTTTCTGTAATCCTGCTGAAAACATAGGGCTGGGCAATATTGACATATGTTATATCCCAACATGTTTTAATCAAATAAAGAACTCTGTTAAAAATGTTCCATGGCTGCACAGGGCGATCCCACACTGCACCTGAAAGCACACAACAAACTGGTTTTCTGGTAAATATGGCAGCTGGACTCTGTGGTGTGAGAGCTCATGTTTTCCTGACAAAAGAGGTGACATGTCAGTAATGTAATAATGCCTGTTGGGCTGATGGATACATGGCTGAGAGGAGAAACATGTGGCCTGGGTAAATACCTGTCGGCACGAACTGAAGTTTAGTGTAGTGATTTAGCCCTTCAGTACATTTTCGAGCCAGTTGTTGTATTTACTGTCGGCAGAGGATCTTACATCTAGGGATGTCCCGATCTCATTTTTTAGCTTCCGATCCGATCCCGATATTTCCCGATACCGGTTTTCCGATACCGATTTCCGATATCACTTTTTGTGTTGGCAAACAGCATTTAATTTCGTATACATTAAGAAATAGACAGACACCCAAATAATTTATTAGACGACAAAAACCGGAGTTTTCCACAAGTGAAATTGGCTGGTCGTCCCCTGCTATGCACTCCACAATCAGCTCAGTAATCTTGCGAAATCTCTCGGAGTCTCGAGGAAGTAAAGCCTTTCGTTTCAAGCTGTCCCGCAGTGTTTGTTGATGGTCCATCAGTCGCTGTCGCTTTACAGTAGGCGGCGTGTTCGTCGGGGTGGTGCTTTTTAAGATGTTTTATTAGGTTTGTGGTGTTGTAGGAGACCCTGTTAGCACCACCTCGTGAGACTTCCACACCACAGACTTTGCATGTCGCAGTCGGCGACTCACTTGTAGTTATTTTAAAATGATGCCAAACTGCAGACATTTTAACTAGCTAACGATATGTGTCCGTTCCACTTTTCCAACTCGATAATGGCGGCTGATGCAATAGAACAACAACGTAACAACGTAACAATGGAATCATGGGAAATATTAACTATGGATCGGCCATGACATTTAATTGGATCTGCCGATCCCGATCCACCTTAAAACCCAGTATCGGGGGCCGATCCGATCCGGGGATCGGGACATCTCTACTTACATCCTGGTCAGGTTAAAGGTATTAAGGCACAGTCCCTGATCCAAATGTAAACTACTGTGGAGCCTGCCCAACCCTGACATTCAAATGAGCTCATAGACTTTCCTCACAGGGACTCGCAGTAGCTAAAGTTATCAACATTTTCCAATGCAGTTTAAGATTGTTTTACATATCTTTTTTTTTGTGTCGACACGGCAGGACAACTGTAATTGTTTATTTAATTAATCTATGACTCTTTATACAAGGCAACTATAATAATAATTATACTACTACTAACCTAAATGTATATAGCGCCTTTCAGGGGACCCAAGGTCAGTCACCTTAAATAACGTTTGGAGGGTTGCTCTACTTCTGAGAAGTTTTACAAACCAGTGAACTGGTGAACGACCTAACCTCTTTATTTATTCATGATTTCAGTATGGACAAAATATGTGTATATATAAAATGTATACTTGAGTGCTATTTGGACGTTTTGTACTTTTGTTTACATTTTATGCTATTTTATTATAACCCTACAACTTTCAGAGACAAATGTCCAACTTTTTAATCTCATTTATTTCACATTTATAAAAACACTTGATAATCTTATATAATGCAGTACTTGACTTCAAATCAACCCATTGTTTCACGAAGTACCCAACATTGTCAAAACAACACAATTGAAATGCTCTTGCATGTATTTGTTAGTGATGAAACAGGATAATATAATAATATATAACTGAAAAGTTCCGCTCTACATAATACTTCTGCACCTTTTTACTTTATAAACATTTAGTTTCAGGACTTTTACTTGTATTGGAGTATTTTAAGACCATAATATTGCTACTTTAACTTAAGTAAAGGATCCGAGTACTTTTTAATCCTCTGCATCTGCTAATACCGTTTAAATAAGTACAACATGATGTATCAAGCCTGTGATCAGGATCCGGTCTAGAAAGGAAATGAGTTCTTCATGGGACCATGCTACACCCTTCCACCAGTTTCTCCCCAATCCTGCTAAAAAACAACACAAACAAACAGGACCTATTTCATTGAGGCGATGAGCTGAACAATTTGAATAAATGAAAGAATTGCAGCATTGTCCCAGAGCTCAGACGACTTCCACAATGTAAGAGAGAACAGAGTCCAATAGTGATCAGCTCTGTGCGGCTGGTCATCCACAATCACATGTTTGTGAAACGGATGATAAGTGAGGTGACCTCCTGATCCTCACAGTGCCCCAGAGATGTGACATGCTGCCCTGACAACAAGTCTCAGAACAGGTTCTAACTTGTAATTGACCTCCCGGTGTGTTTTCCTGCAGACGGTGGAGCAGGCCTTCAGGCAGGTGCAGAACATTGTTGACTTCAGCTCCAACGTGATGAGCTGCCTGCTGGGAGAGAAGTTCGTCCACAGCGGGGTATGACACTGTTCAGAATCCAATACTAACCTACTGCAGACTGCAGAATGACATCTTTCAGCAAATGTCCAAACTTTTGCTGAGACTGACCCCATACAAATATAATACATGTGCAATATTGGAGATCTTAAACCTGTGAATATCTCACTGTCTGAAAAGACGCAATGCATTGTGGGGCAGTTGAACTAATGTCCAGTAAAATAGAATAGATTAGATTTATTGATGCAAAATGGTTTTATTACAGCAGCATTCTGAACATTATTATTCCCTTTTGGAATAAATGCTCCCATGAGAGCTGGGCGATAAACCAGACTTCCAGCAGCAGACATTTTACAACAATAAGTTACAGTGTGGATGTCCGGAGGCTTTAAGCACATGAACAACATTCCCTGGGTCAGCTGGTGCTTGACTTTAAATGTAATTATATGATGAATGTTCAACAGCTCCTTTATTTGTCTGATTAAATGTGCACCGTCAACACGATTTCTATTAATTTGTGTGAAATATTGTACAGAGCCACTGCCAACAAATCACTGGTTTTTATACAGAAGAAAACAGAACCGAGATCATACACTTTAACATTATAATAACTTTTAGTAATAAAAGGGATTGTGCTCATTTCTTTACAGGAAGTGGTCAAACTGCCACTAGAGTTTGTTCGACAGCTGTCAATCAAAGTTCAACATCAAAGACCAGGTACAAATATTTTTATTAATATTTCTATGGCAACTGGTATTGAAATATGTTAAAGGAATATACCACTCTCATATCTACACAGTGCATCCTGGTGAATACAAAGACATTCAGGTTTACTTACACAACATGCCTCTCTTTGTCTGTCAGCGTGGCGCTGTGATAAGGTGATGGACATCTACAGCGGCTGTGCCCTCTGTCTGCCCAACCTGACCTCTCCAACCCTCCACCAGCCAACACACACTCCTACACTCTGCATCGAGATCAAGGTACACACACACACACACACACACACACACACACACACTTCTTGTTTGAAGGCATGCCATTTGTTTCTCCCTCTTTACTATTGGCACTGCAGTGTTTCATAAAAGAAGAAAACAAAATTCAAACAAGTCATGGAAAAAGAAGTATACACAAAAACAAAGTTTAATTAAATGTTAAATAATATTGTTGTTTTAGCCTGGTTTCAGTTGTATCACTCAATCAATCTGAGGCTCTTGTTAAACATAATGTTCCCCCTGCTTAAAAGCAACCACATCTTCAGATATTTACCCTATAAATAATTGTCACTCAGAAAATATCCCATGAGTGTGACTAGTGTGAATGTGCTACTCAGCTGCTGTTTTTGTGTTTGTTTTTAGCCTAAATGTGGTTTCCTGCCGTACTCCAAACATGTCAGCCAAGATATCAAGACCAAAGTGTGCCGCTTCTGCATGCACCAACACTACAAGGTAACTACAGCTGTGTTCCAGTACAACGACACACACTACAGCGCAGCACCTCTTCATTTGTAATGGCTGCTGAACGTCACTTTCACAGACATCGCCGGAGGCATTTCATTTCAGCTGCTAACATCAAATCTGTCAGTTAGTTGGCGACAGACTGAAGTACACTTGTCCGTGTTCTTCCTGCGGCAGGGGTAATTGATCAAAGATTGTTAAAGAGGAAAGACCCTTCACCTCAGTGGTTTACTCCTACCATTACCATTGGTCCTTACTGAAAGGAAGAACATATATTATTGAACCAATTTTGGTCTTTACTGCGTTTGATGTCATTAACCGTCACACGCTTTTCTCTCTGCGTTCCCTTAAGTGTAGAGGGCAGAGAGAGAACCATACCAGTCTCCTACCAGTTGTAGCTCTCTACGTGGATATAGATATACTTTATTTATCCAACACTGGGAAATTGTTTTGTCACAGCAGCATTATGACAGTAGATGTAGAAGAATTACAATAAAAAACACATCAACAATATCCATACATGTTCTCAGTAGAAAATACATATATTCAGAGGAGTATATACACACTATTAAATTAGAATACTCTACTATATATTTAGTAGCTTGATATATTCGTGTAAATTGTGTTTATCTTCTCTGTTACTATCATCCTGGGCGCAAGTGTGAACTTCAACGGTGGTGTTCCTTCTAGGCTCATTTAAGCAGAGTGTCAAATGACAATGGCCTTTAGCACTGTTAGCTAATAGTGGTGACTAGCCCAGCTCGACCAACGGGTCTCTCCGCCCCCTCAAACAGCCAACCCTGGGGAACAATGCCGTCTGTGAGAGTGGGCTGGGTGTTTCTGTTACAACAACTCAGACAGTCATTGTCGTCTTTAGTCGCAAACGTCAGCCTAACTTTCCTTAAATTATATCAACAATTTAAACGTATAGACCTAATAGTTTTGAATCTGGAATTTCAGTTTTGGGATCAATTAGCTTATGAAAATAAGCTGTGCCATATGTTATGTTCGACAGCGGCTTCAGTTCAATGTCCCCTTTTTAATCAATAATGAGATATAAAGCTGTTGATTGGATGCCCCAGATTGAGGATGTGGATCTGGGCCAAAAGAGTACAGGGTCACACTTTGTTGCTGTTTCTAATACTTCTATCACTCCTAATATTTCTCTCTTCGTCACTTTGTGTCCTCTCTCTCTCCAGGTGGCCATGGGGACGTGGAAGAGACGCAGTCGGTACTGTCCTCTAGATCTGTTCTCAGGGTGAGATGGCCACACCAACACTACAGTAATACTGTCATAAACTGTTTAACAATAACCCATCATCAGTGTTTTGCAGCTAAACTTGATGTTCTCTGGTTTCTCTCGTGTTGTTCAGGAACAGACAGAGAATGCACTTTGCCATCAGACAGCTGATAGACGAGCCTCAGAACAACTTGAAAATCTTCAAGGTGAGACGCAACAACAACCAGGGTTGGACTGGTTATATAAATAGTGATTGTAATGGGTCCCACCATTCGGTATCACACTTCATTAAGCAGGGGCTCCTGAGTGGAGCATCATTAGGGCTGCATTAGTCAGAGCTCTTTTTCAGGCACTGTTTCTAGTATACACATATTTACAGAAATGTAAACTCCTTCCTGTGGCCAGCCTCAGGAGCAAACTGGTGACCTTTTTCAAGATGCTGAAAATGTAACTACTAAGATAATCTGTTTTTGTCTTAGAAGCAAAGCTGTGACAAATATTCTGAGGTGTGTGTGTGTGTGTGTGTGTGTGTGTGTGTGTGTGTGTGTGTGTGTGTGTGTGTGTGTGTGTGTGTGTGTGTCAGGGGGGTCGGTGTATATTCAGCAGTATGGACGGCATTGAAGACTCGATGGACCTGAACTCTCTGCTGCATCATCTCAGACCGTACTTCCAGTACGGAAACAACCGAATCAACAGTCACATGACCAGCAAAGCTCTCCTGACCGACTTCATCCAGGTATCACCAACACACAAATATATTCTGCTTATTTTCAGGTTCATATTTGTATGTTGTGCGTCTCCTGTGACATGTCTCCATGCTTTAATGTTCAAACAGCTCTTTATTGTTCTCATACTGCCTGTGCTGCAGCACCTCTTTTCACCCTCTGTCTGAAACCAGAGCCCAGTCTGCTCTGATTGGTTAGCTGGCCGGCTCTGTTGTGATGGTCAACCGCTTAGAGATGTCCCGCCCCTTGGCTTATCACACAGGCCTTCTGCTTAAAATAAGAACCTTTCACCAAAGTATAGATGTTAGAAGTGGGCTTCCTTTGTCCAGTCTTAGTTATTTTTTAAATACTTTTTCGGGCAACCACTGCCTTTATCAAGTGAAAGTGTTGGAAGGGGGAGACGGAGGGAATGACGATTCAGAAATGGTCCAAGGGTGGAATGGATCCCAGGTCCTTTGCATGGGGGCCGAGCCCCAGTACATGGGCCCCCAGCTCTAGAGACTGATCTGTACGACTGCCCTAACAGTCTTTGACTGAGTGAAGTCTCTACCGTCAGACACTCACAGGGCTCTCTCTCTCTTCTTTCAGGTCGTGGTGAACGCCCTGCTGAGTGCTGGAGGAGGAGATGGAGGCGTGGGGACGGACAGACGAGGAGAAGGACGGAGCTTCTGTGAAGCGAGTCTGTTCAACAAGGAGAGGAGTCGCCACGGTGAGAACCTGCTGCTGGTTTCTGTCTTTAAACCGTGATCGCCTACAGCTCAAAGGGTCTGTAGGCTGAATACATGTCATCTACTAGCACACAATGTGCACTGTTGGATCAAACATTATCAGCACTCATTTATTTATTATCCTTATTAGAGCTGCAGAAAATTAACACTGTTTTGAAATATTATTAAACGCTAAAAGTAATTTATTATTTTTTGGTTCCAACTTTGACTTCTTTGCCGTGTTTTTTTCTTTTCTTCTTGTGGTTCAAATGATCCGTGACCTTGCACCCATTCACCATTTTCTTTATTGACGAATCAATTCATTTAGAAAAGAATCTGCCTCTTTTTTTTTACGTTGTTATAAAATGTTCCCGCTTCCCTTTTTTTCTCTTCACTAGAAACACATTGAAACACAACCTGACATAAATCAACAAGCCAACATTTTTAACACTTTTGTATGAGCAAGCTTTGCACGATATATATCTGTTGTTTCTGGTGTAAATTGTAGCTGTAACTCTGTGGTCCAGTCCAACAGATTTGGGCCTCTCCTCTCTTACAAAGGTTTTTCTTGTGCAGCATCCTCCCTCCGAAGTGTTTGAGCTATGAAAGAAGCACTTGTTCCTTTTTAAACACAAACATTTTGCCCATAACATCTGAATCTAATCAATCTGACCTGAAGAAGTGGATGAGAGCTAAAAGATGACCTCTCTCTGTCCGTGTTGTTCTCAGGCTCTCAGGGTTCACCCAGCGACAGTGTTTTGTACAGAGTTCGTCAGACGCAGATGTTGGACACTTTGGACATCGAAGGTCTTTACCCTCTGTACCGCCGCGTGGAGCAGCACCTGCAGGACTTCCCCAAGGAGAGGTAATGCACAGTTAATACAGATCAGAAGAAAGCCATAGTTACAGTGTCTATTCAGATACCTGTCTGGTCTCTTGCCTCACCTTCTTCCTGTCTCTGCTCAGAACTCGTCTTCAGATGGACGGGCCGTACAACGAGGCCTTCCTGGAGAAGCTGCATAAATGTCCCAGTGAGGACGACGGCTCTCTGGAGTACGCCGTCTCCAAGGTGAGGCGGAGAGCTGAACCTTGATCGGGTTCTCAGTGAAAGCAGGGAGAATGTCACTGAAGAGAAACCTTTCGCTCAGTGATGATATTGCAGTTCCAAGTCAGAAACTGAGGGAAAACACTGTTTATTAAAGAGTGAGACCTTTCTCACTAATAGCGTCACCAATTAAGGTCATGCAGAGACAGTTGAAGCATTTTGCTGACTCAGTAACGGCTACTTGTCTGAATGGGGAAGTTTTCCTGCTGAACACCCACAGGTCTAACAAGAGTGTGTTTACCTGCCCTGACTTCAGGTTCATCAGTACCGAGTTGCCATGACAGCCAAGGACAGCCAAATCATGGTTGCCCTGGTGCCCAGCTGTGAGGAAGAAGAGGACGATGAAGGGTAAGGGTTGAGCTCTGTTGATCACTTCCGAGTGTCATTAACTGTCAGGGATGTTCACAGATGACCTCAGCTGACTGAGTTGCCCTCTGAATGGAAACGGATTCTCACCAAAGTATGATTTACATCATGTCGGCTGCTGTCCTCTTCTGCCACAGGGATTGAAGAAGTATTCAGATATAGTACTACAGTTAAATTAGTAATACAAAATGCATGAATACACTTTTACAAATAAAAGTCCTTGGTAAATACAGAAGTATTAGAATCAAACTATACTGATAGTACAACGTAAAACACTAGCCTTTTTCAAAATACTACTACGTATTAGTAGTATTAATAAGAGATGAATCAGTGCAATGATGCCGCTGATACAAGGGGGCGATTTGAACAAACCTTTATACTTCTGGGTTTCCTAATCGATCATTTGATTTTGATTGACTAAACTACTCATGTTGTTACATATTGTAGGTAAGTACAAGTTTAGAAACATATAGAATAAATTACAATTTTGACACTTATTATTGACGTGTATCTTTAATATGAGTGCTGCACCAGTTGGGATAGACACACTATTATATTTGTTAATGATAAAACAATAACTGATAATTGTCAACTAACAGTTTTAAATGGAGATTTACCATCATCAAACTGGTCCCTGAAGGCTACTGACATTTATATCATTTTATACATTTTGAAAATGTCCTCTTAAAGGTGGGGTAGGTAACTTTGAGAAACCGGCTCGAGATACACTTTTTGTTATATTCCATGGAATGCTCTTAACATCCCGATAGCCGGCCCGGCTAAAGTAACTGGATGGCCTACCTGCCTGTCAGCCTTCCATCGGGGCACAAACTTATCTCGTGCCCTCATTGGTCATGTGTGCGTTCGTGTGTGTTGGAGGAGGGGCTCTGTGAGGAAGTGGCAGATTTTGTCCGGTTGTGTATTTTCAAATTCTAGCGCACTCGAGCTGGTTTCTCAAACTTACCTACCCCACCTTTAATAAAAAAGGGTAATGCATTTTTTTAAAGCATATTCATTGTATACCGTTTTATATAATTGTAAACTGAATGTGTTTGGGTCTTTTTTAACACCATAAAGTAAAATGCATGGATAGTGAGAATGATTGTTGTTTCTAGCCTTCATGTAGCATCCACTACAGAGCGATCTGAACGGTAGGATTGTACTGTTTTTCTGAATCGGTGTGTAGTACCTGATGGAGTCCAGCATATTTCAACTGAAACATAACTTCCTGTGTTTTCCTCCAGTCTCCCCGGTCAGAGGCAGCACAGGGACTTCCTCTCCTCCAGACCTCCCGCCTTCTCTTACTCCGTCTCCATCTTGGATCTGGACCCCAAGCCGTTCGACAACATCCCCCGCCAGCTGCGCCTGGACCAGAATATCGTCTCCTGCTACCTGAGGAGTAGCTGTGCCTTGCCAAAGGGCGCTCTGCCCTTGCACTCTGGCATCTTCACTGCTGCAGAGAGGGAGGACTGCACGCTGCTCTTCCACCCCGTGTGAACACCCGATAAAAGACAGACGACCCTGAAGACTAACTGACACTGCTGCTTCACACGGAGACGCCATGTTGATGCAGAGGTCTGAAATCACTTTAGACCACGGCTGTTAATCTGGAAAACTTTACTGCAACACTTTCTGTTTACTCAGCTCATGTTAAGCAACGTTGTAATCTCCAGGAAGTCACCACTAACTCACCAAACAGTTTAAGCGACTTCCGGATATTTCTGTTACTGATTCTGGAGTTTTTTTCTCCAGAAACGTCTGGATCCTGTCGGGAGGGGAATCTGAAATGTCTCTGTTCTGTCATGATTCATATTTATTAGAAAACTTACAGGGGGCTTCGTTTTTTTTCTCCCACTTTGGTGACGAAGGGTTCGGATCAGCCTCCTGACAGGGCTTTTACAGTTGTCATGAGAACAACATGATAGTTTACGTTCCCCATGGCAACATTCTGAGAGAGAGAAAGAAGAGGAGAGTTAAAACGATGGAGAGCAAATCAGGTAGTTGACGTACGTATGATGTCATTTCCTGAATGTAGGCGGGGCCTCTGGTCGAGGCAGAGCCAATATGAATGTCCAGGTTGAACTGTAGCATCACAAAGTGCTGCAGGGATGTTTTTTAGGCCAACCCAGAAGTGAACCATTGCATGGTTCCCTCGTCAGAAGGCCAATAGGATGTTTCCATTGGCTTTTATATTATTGCACAAAATAAGCTATGTGGTTAAAAATGTTAAGTTCAGCAGGATAACCTTCACAAATGTGCACCAATTTATGAATTCTTAAAGAAAAATGCAATCGGCAGACGTTTGCAACAAAAGCCTTAACCCTTTGTGTGATAAATCTACAAGTACAAACACCATCTCCAGTCCCATTGAGCCACTTTTTAGCAACCGCCTTTTTTAAATGTATTAATAGGACGGGTAAAATCGCCAATATTCACCAGTGAAGTATGAATTTACACATCCAATGTTGATGAACAAAAAGTGTAAATCTCTTAAACTCTTAACCACAGACCTTATTTTGGGCATCAGACCTAAACATATTCATCAAATCCATTGACTTTAAGATGAGGGAACCAGCAACTCACTTCCTGGTTTTCAGATTCATTACTGTTGCTCCATGGTAACAGAAGCACTGGTTACCATGGCTACAGCCACAGGGGAAGCGGCTGAGAGGTTTCAGTCCTGCGCTGGACTCCATAAAAGTTTTCAGTCCAACTCCTCTCTCCGACCCCTTTTCATTGGAGAGGTGACGCGTTAACTGGCTGTATTGAAAACCTTCATGAAGCCGGTGGGAGGAGGAGCGTCGCCTCACCTCCATGTTTGTTGTTTTCCTTTGACTCCTTTTGTTGGCGGCTAGCTAATATGTTCTTTAATCACGCATTTGTGCCGCAATGTTTTGGGAGTTGAGTGTCATTAAAGGGTCAGTTCACCCACATGGAATCACAACTTGGATGAGATCAGTTTTAGTTGTCCAGGAGATTTCCCCCTTTACTGCAAAAGAATGGAGATTATGATTCTCACAGCTTTTTATGAATCACTTAATCCGTGTCATTGATAATCTTAGGGATGATACTGGAGACAGTTTTTACACACTAACATGATTAATCCCAAGGAAAATAGTTTGAATAAAACTAGAACACAGTTTCGTTTTGTGGTGAAGGCCGAAATCTTAATCTCATGTGAACCTGGACAAATAACAGAACACTGCCTGGAGAGAAGAGACAACACTCTTTAGAAGGTACACCTGTACGATATCAGCCCGGTTAGTCTTTGAGGTTAAACTGCTGTATTTTTCATGAGAGCTGCAATGATGAGTTTGATACATCCAAAATGCAGTAAGAGCCGATCACATGTGGTGGTTTTCTGGTTTATATTTAAGTGAATATATTTCAAACTTTTCCCTGAAAAACATGGCATTTTAAGACATCACCTTCACATTGTAAGAAAGTTGGATATTTCTCACCATTTTCTACCAGATGAATAGATAATGGTAACAATCATTAGCTGTAGTCTTTTGAGTGTACATATTGAATTCATTTGGGTAAACTGACCTCTGACCTCTGACCTCCCAGCTCTTGTACTGTTCTTCAAACGAAGATGTTTGTGTCCAGCTGCCGTTTTGACTTTAAACCTCTTTTTGTGTTTGAGAAAAAGCACATTATGTTTTAACTCTTGTCTAACACTCCTGTGTTTAGTTACCTGGTGAAGTAGCTTTGCGAAGGTACGGTTGCATTACACTTCTGTGCTGCTGATATTTCCATCATCTCTTATTCACAATTTGAGCAGAAAATATAACCACAAATGTGCTATTTGGGTGCAGAAACCGGTCAGAATTCACCTTTTGACCTTTTGACCTGTGGGCCAATCAGAAACACGGATGTAATGTGACCGTATGCTTGCAGAGGACGGTAAAGCTGCTGGCTAACAGTTTCCTTCACGCTGCTGCTCTGCTGGGTTTTGTGCCATAAGTGGCTTGTTGTGCGTTCGTCCATGTGCCTAAATGTTCTGGTAGGACTGGAGTGTGGTGTGTGGGGGGGGGGGGGGGGGGGATGGGATGGTGCGACTTTGTTACAGGTTGCGTCCACACACAGCGAAACAAATCTGTTAGTTTGTTCACACTGACATCAGATCAGTTCTGCTGTGGACGCAGCCGTGGACTCTCAGTACCTCAAACTCCTGACGACCCGAAACCAAGCTCAACAGGGTCGTCTGATGTTTGCAAAATGATGCGTTCAGGGGCGCTGGGAGGTTTCTGAGGGCATGTTGATGACTTCACGGGGAGATGAGATTTAAGCGGCTGAGTGCTGATGTTTGTGTTCAGATGATCTCGGGTCTTTTGTCTCCTGGTGATGTCACCGCCCTCTCCAACCAGCAGCGCTCGGGGAGGCTTGAAAATAAACTGGTAACACTTGACTTCAGTTCCTAGTTACAGGGTCCAAGCTCCAACGCCTCCATCAGCCAATCACACATCTGAAACAAATCACACTTCAAGCCTGAAACTTCAGACGGAAGAAAAACACTCCTTTTAACATCCCTGTGACATGGAGCAGAAATTCAGTTGAATCCAGACACTAAAAGGGTTTAAAACATGTCATTCAGAGTTGCCTTCAACACTTCTTTTTCTAGAGGCTTTGATTTTTAACCAATCACATAACCCCTTATTGTTTAACTCCTCCGATGGTTGTCGGAGGAGTTAAAGTTGGAGAGTGGACCGCAGTGAACTGAACCAACCACTGATCGTTCCAACTGTTGAACTGAAGATGCAACAGGCAGCATGACGGGAACGCAGAGGCTCATGGGAGTTAAGAGTGAAGAGGGCGGGATGTTTCTCGAAATGAAACTTGATGCTATTTGAATTGGATTCATTTTGAAACTTCAAATATACAACCTTTATGCCAAAGCATCTGATCACAACAGATAATTGTTATGATCTTGTCAGTGTGATTGTGAGAAAAAGGAGCCACAGTTTGTGTCTCTTACCAGCCAACGACTAGAGTGTCCCCGTTATCAGATTGCCAACCATTTTCATAATCGATGAATGCAAACAAATCTAACTCAAATATAGAGTTCCTATTTTATATCATATTAAACTGATATATTATTGCTTTGTGAAAAGAAGAAAAACATCTTAGGTTTTGAGAAACGGGGACAGAATAGTTGTTTAAATCTGACGTTGACCAAACAATCTAGAAAATAATGAGCAAATATGACTGACAGTTTGGGTAGGTCAGAATTATTTAGTTTGATATATCAGAACTTTGAGATAAAAGGTTTTTAATTTGTGAACTGTAATTTCAGTTTCCGTAGCATAAATATAGACGTATGAATTTCAGCTACCATATTAGTGCGCTTGAGAAGCTTCAAATCTCTTCTGTTATTTTGGGTTTCTTCTGTCAGGAATAACAACACCAAGATACCAAACAGACACAAACTGGGGCTCGAGAGCGTAGAGCTGCTATATTGCAGAATATTTTCCTTAGATTACGGAAGAGTTTTTGATGCAGGTGAGCTGCTGTGTGATTGGCCGGCTGCCTCCGCCTGCTGCCTGAGCGTCGCCTGCAGACTCATCACCGCACTGTGATACTTACAGACTTCTAATAACTGCGTGTGTGTGTGTGTGTGTAAATAGCTGAGAGAAGAAAAACTATTTGAAGATACAAAGGCACCACGGCTGTCTTGCATTTTGTATTTAAATTATTTATTTTTGTAGATTTTGACCAATGAGCTTGGCTATTACAACTGTCACAGTCGAGCTCTTTCTATTGAATAAAGATTTCTAAGGGACTAAAACATTGCTGAGTGTGCGTTTACTTATTTGTATATACATATAAAAGGTTCTTGTAGGTATAACAGAAGAAAGATGTTATTATGTTGAGTGAGTTATGTGTCCGGTGAAAGGCTGACCGCCATGATGACGGCCTCTATGGCGGCTTCAGGTCCCAGAACCCTCAGCAGGCTCTGGAAGGCCTCCGCAGCGCCCCCTACTGCCTGAGAGGGAAACAGCTTCAGGGCTGAAGAGAGACGCAGGGGGAGAAAAATGATGTCATGAAAAGTCAGTTTGCATTTAATGATTTGCCAACACTTTTAAAAGTAATTTTGCAATTTTTAAGTCACAATTCTTGAACAAATTATAATAAAGACGAGAAATAGAGAATGGTCATTTTGTAAACAAAGCAATTACATTCAAATAATTGCTAGAGGAGCTTTATTGATTCGTCATCGGCTTAAAACAAATAAAATTGTATTTTTATAGTAATTATTCGATCAGCTTCTTCCGAGCTGTAAAATATGTTAAGTGATATTTAATTAAACAGTGGTTTTTTATAATTTCGTGTTGAAAAGCGTTACAGCTGTTTCAAGTTGACACTCTTTACATGCCCATCCAACCTACTGATTCCTTTTTTTAAATGTGTTATTTATCTGGTAGTTTCAAAGGTTTATTTACAGACTTTAAAAAAAGCAAACTGGTTTCAGCTGCCTGCAGACACTGCTCAGGCTGAAAAAACCACATCCTCTACATGTTTTTGGTTCTACTTACAGAACTCAAATCAACTATATTTTGACCAACAAGTTTCATTAAATACACAACTGAGCATCAGTAATAAATAAAGCATTAACGGACGGTTCTGTTTTATACAATTCATAAATTGTCTAATAGATTATCTGGTCTTTTGCTACATTGAAGACCCTATGACTTCACTGTTTGTCTCAATTTGAAGAGAAAACCTAAATCACAGTAACCGCCTGATATGGTTTCGGTTGAGCTTTGTGTCTGTACTGTAGTCGACAGACAGAGTGACAGGTCTCACCTTTCTCAGGGATCTTTGTCAGCAGCTCCATCTTTGGAGTGACTCCTCCCTCTCTACAGACCTCCACTGACCAATGCAGGATCAAGACACAGCTGCAACAGAAACACACAGGGAGAGGTCAGAGGTCACATGCCTGTGTTACTCTGCTCCATCAGTACGAGACTGGCCGTTTCTCAATGTCGAGTAAACCTGCTGCAGAGCCACTATTTCAAGTATACTACGTCACCGAGTGGCGCAGAATGCTGGGCATTTAACATGCATTGTGGCCCAATCCCAAACCACTCCCTCGACCCTACCCCTCCGTGATGGAGTGAACTCCGTCTGTAGCCACACTCGCAGCTCAACGAGGCTCCCTCCTGTCAGATGGAGGGAGCAAATACAGCAGCAAGCTTTGGGACGGCCTCCCCTCTCTCCGGCAGAAACAGGAAATGCCGTAACTGTATGTAACAACGGTTTCAAATCAGCATCTCTTAGACAAAAAGTTTAAATGAATAACTCAAATAAAACTCCAAACATCTTTCATTGTGTTTCAAAGCTCTTTTAGTTTTAAACCTGATGTTTATAAGCTTCTTAGTTTTTGCAACGGTCTGTAAATGTACACAACTTTATAATAAAATGCACACATTTACCTTTTTCTAGACTAAACACAGGTATGATCCTAAGTTAGAAACATATGAGGTCATCATGAGGTTGTTAACATCGCAGTTTATCAGTGGATGTTTGCTGGAACTAGGCTACTTGTAAACAGCGTGTTTCCTGACGGACACACACAGCGTGACTCCGGTCAGGTAGAGACCGGTCTCAAGTCAGCACCGCTGCAGACTCGCTGTTTGAGGGCTTGATAGACCACTCCCCCTCCACACTCGTTGCTTTGGAACAGCCCTTAATATGGCGGACCCTCCGCGTAAACGCGCAAACGGAGGGGTAGGGTGTAGGGGGCGGTTTGGGAATGGGCCTTAAACAGCCCTTCGGCTCAACATTGAGAAACGGTCTCTGTATAAAGGTATTTACCCAGGAAGCTCGGGGTGATTCAGGGTCATGACCTCTGAGCCGCTGCCTGCAGGAAGAGAGACGACAGAGGGATACTTCTCCTGCAGAGACAAACAGACAGAGATTTAATTATCAAGTTATTATTCATTGTTGTAATTGTCTAGGACATGGAGACACCTGTCCTGTCTGTGGTACTCAACAGCATTATGATATGACATCACTATGTTACACTCACACTCAATCAAAAACATTGTACGTGATAAGCTATGGGCGGGACATCTCTTAGTGGTTAACCAATCACAATAAAACCGGCCAAAGAGGCGCTGCAGAACAGGCAGTATAAGGAAATAAAGACCTTTTTGAACACTAAAGCATGGAAACGTCTTGAAAACCTGAAATTGAGCAGAATACAGGGTTCCTTTAAACAGTCAGAGAATTGTTGATTCACTGCTTCTTTCAGCATACATGAAAAATATATGTAACTTCTGTTAGACTCATGTGACACTTGTTATGCTGCTATGGACAATCTCGCACAAATGCACATTCTATAGACAGTCTTGCACTAATGTACATTTCTCAAAAATATTGAAGTAACTGTTATTTGATTTGATTGTTGTGTTTTTATTTAGGTCTTAATGTGTGCACATGTACAAATGTGTCTTTGACTGTGTATATATACATATACATATACATATTTGCGCACATATTTTAATATACTTTTGTTTTTATATTAGGGATTGTGGGAAATGGTATTTCGATCTCTCTGTCTGTACACACAAACTAGAAGATTGACAATAAAGTTGACTTTGATTACATTTTCAAAGTTGTCTCAGTTGGCCTGCAGGGGGCGCAACAACATCTGTATAGTAACCTGAACACTGGGCCTCATCTGGCAGGCGAGAGGAAACAGGACTAAATACTTTGAGTGTGAGGTCGACTTTGCAGCTGAAATGTTGATAAATCGAAGTTGTTTCAGTTCCCGTGAAAACTTCTTAAACATTTGTAAAGTTTTGATGGAACCGAGATCTCAAATATATAGATTTTAGAAACATCCTGGTGTTTCTTTAGTGACATCTGATAATGAACTGTTTTCTTTAACAGCCTCTCCCCTCTCTTGAACACACACACATTAACAAGGCTGTTTTCCAGTAGCTTTGGTTAGGGGTGTGTCCAGGTGTCTCTACCTAGAGGTATGTGTACCTGTGTGTGCATTGTCTATAATATGTGTGTCTTTATTTAAAACCTTTAATCTGTCATTAACGCACAACCCCTTACCTCTTTTTCAGCACAATATGTATGTTTCCTCATTTTGGCGAATGAACAAAAAGCATATAAAGCTGCTGGGACACCAAGTCTCTGGCGGCAGCTCTCCAGCTGCAGACAAGCAGAGACAGAATCACCTGACCTCACATCTGCCGCTTTGACTGACTTGCAGGGTCTTGCTCCCCTAAAGTGTTTTTCTTAGTTATCGTACAGGTTGGATGAATGTTGGTGTTAAAGTAAAGTGAAGTAAATGATGAAGGAATGTCCTATGTGGCAGTAAAGTAGAGAACTTCCTGTCGTCTCTACTCGTCTCACTCATTCTGGTTGCAGCTTCTCCAATGTGAGGGTTAACTGCTTTTCTTTTTGGAAGCTCCTTCAGTTCCATCTGAACAGACGTCTGCAATGGAACATTGTGGTTAAACAATTACTGAAATATTTGTTCTTGTTATTTCTTTTTGTGACAGCCATTGTTATGTCGCAGTGATGTTATGGTTTAGTTTACAAGTAAACTACCAGCTGTGAGTCTGGATAATAACATGGTTAGTTTCCTCTTGAACTATTTCATGTAAAGTCTTTCTCCTCATAATCCCTCATTTTTAAATAACATTTTTTACAATCCTTTAGTTTTTTGTTGTGTCTTTAGGACTTTTCCTCGACGTGTGTTGTGTGGTTTTATTTATACACTGCTGCCGAACAGAGAAAAGTCTTTCACATGAAGTCTTTTATTTACTCCACAGAAGAGAACCAGCATTCATGTTTAATAAACCTGTCTATCTCATTGTTTCTGATCAACTTGATAATATTGAACTTCTTTCTGCCTGTTTTACTGTCCTCCTTCACTATCCTGCGGCATGTTGGCAGTGTCTTCCCTTAGACAGTGAGACAGGTCTGTCTCACTCTCTTTTTATTTATTTATGACTCTCTCTCACTCCCTCTCTCTTTTTTGTCCCAGCTGCAGAACAAATCCTGGCTTTCCCTCACAGCTCTGTTAGCCTGTTCTGCTCAACACAACTGCCCTACGATCTGAGAGACACCGAGAAATAAAACAGACACACACACACACTTTGAGTTTCATCACACAGCACACACACACACACAACTCTCCTGGAGCTCCTGCAGAACCGGAGGAGAAAAAAAGGTGGAAGAATTTGGCCTCAAATCCTGCCGCCGCCTGCAAACTGCTGGTAAAGTAGAGCTAATGTCCGTCTGTCTGTCGCTTTAGCTCCTCCCCTCTCTGTCTGTCTGCCTGCCATGCAGCGGTTTGTAAACAGTTGTTACAGTTGCTGTAGATGATCTTCTTAAAAAAGCCTAACTTGAAGGATAACGTAGGAACGTCTGTGCTCTTCCTGGTTTTGATACAGCACTCTCTGACTTTCCTTTCAGCTCACTGATGATGTTCTGTGTTCAAAAATAACTCTTTGGGGAGTTTTTAAACTAAACATGGTAGCCCACTTCTGCTCAGGTTTTTAAATGTATTTTTGTAAACCTTGCTTTCAATTTAAAGAATTTAAATAGGAAGATACACAAAAACATAATCACTTACGAGATGTTGAATGTGATTCACAACAGCATTATGTACGAGCCAACAACCGAGTTAGAACATGGTCTGTAGCTGTGTCTACGAGACATGATGAGACACAAACCCAGGGCCTTAAGCCTAATGTTAAAGAGGACATATTATGATACATTTCAGGTTCATATTTGTATTGTGTGTCTCTCCTGTGACATGTCTCCATGCTTTAATGTTCAAACAGCTCTTTATTTCTCTCATACTGCCTGTGCTGCAGCACCTCTTTTCACCCTCTGTCTGAAACCAGAGCCCAGTCTGCTCTGATTGGTTAGCTGGCCGGCTCTGTTGGGATTAGCTAACTGCTTAGAGATGTCCCGCCCCTTAGACAATCATGTACAATGTTTTGGAGCGTTAGCTTACGTAGTGATGTCATTACGTTACGGAAGTAAACAAAGGAGTCCAATGGAGGCGTGTCAGGCAGGGGGGAGAGTGTGGGAGAGAAACTCCCTCTGGAGGGAACACAGGAATGTTAGCCTTTGAAGACCACACAGGAAAGAACAACCCCATAAGCATAATGTCAGCAGAACTCCCTCAGAAGCACAGAACACAAACTTCATCAAGTCAGAGGACACGAGGCAGGTTTTTTAAGGTCAGATGAGTCTGTCCAGGCCTTATAAGCTCTTCTCCACTCAATAAGTGCATCCATTGTATCTGGCCCTTCTTTGTTTTTGGACTCTGCTCAGGAGGTGAAACTAAATGCAGGTTGCAGGTATTTAAGAAATTGGCGACACGGTTGTTGATCATGAATTTTCTGCAGATTTGACTCCACATCCCAGCAAGAAAGAAAACAGTTTGACTACTCCTGTATTCATACTGTAGAGAGCAGAATGAACAATACTTTAAACAACATGAAGCGTTCGTCCAACACACACCACTTGTGTGTTGGACACGCAGTTGTTTCTCAGAGCAGAAAACGATTTAAACAAAGAAAAGAAAAGTAAATCAATATGCTGCAACCACGAACATCTATGTAGTAGTTTGATGCTCTGGATCTCTGAAGATACTAAATGGCTCAGTATTCTGTAGTTTTAAGAACTCATTATACAGAAAAAGAGGCTGATCGATTCATTTATAGATACAAAAACAAAACAGATGAAGTGATTTAGTGAAGATAATTGTTAGTAGACAGTTGTTTGCTGTGAACCAGCCCACAGTGAAGGTGAGGCTGTGGATTACGGTTATGCATCATTAGTAATATCTTCACATTTGTGATCAATCAGAACACAACTTAGGCTTAAACCCTGTCTGTGTTTCATTAAACTTCACACAAACAGCTTCAGGTTGTTTTGATCCTCTGCTGGACGACTCTCCATCTGAGCCTGCTCATCCAGAAACTGAACGGCTAAATATTTTCCATTTCTCCCCCCCTCCCTCCTGTTTTCTCTATGTAGATCTCTCTCTCTCTCTTCTTACTCTCTTTGTGACCCAGTCTGCACTGAACTCTGGTTTCTTATTGGCCTATTAGAGTTGAGGTAGGAGGGTCTCAAAGCGTCTGTGTGTTCAGACCTCCAGTCTGTGGAGCTGCAGACCTAAGTTTTGCTTTACTCTAAAGGAAAATGTGAATGATGAGAGTATGCTAGTCTAGTGGATAAGAAAGACCCACTTATTATAATGGTTCGTTTGTGTGCGGCAGACTTGGAAATAAATATTTTGAACTATAATATATATATATATATATATTCTTTTTATAATCACAAAGGGTTTATGTTCTGTTATTTAAGTCATTCATATAAGGCCCCATTTAAACTTTTCATCTTATCAAACACTCTTGTCTCCGTACTAACAATGTAGAACCTTATTTACCCTCATCACCACAAGTGTTTACATTTTTAAAACATAATGCCCCCCAAAAATTCAGCAATAATATTTGAGACATTTTCTTAGTGTACATTTTAACATTAGATTTGTCCTGCTCGTGCTCATTACATTGCCTCTTTAGAGAATGAATGAATGAGAACAAAGGGAAGAAGTGACTCTTCTGGTAGAAAGGTTGCGCAGACGCAGAGAAAGTGCCACAAAAAGTTAGCAAACAACTGTCTCTGGTTTTTAACTGATGTAGTGATTGTGTCCATCCGATGAATATAGGTCCAAATATTATTGCTATTTTTTATCTCTGGTTTGGTCTTCACCAACTGTTTGGGCTCCATCCAAACAAATCAAAAGCTCCTACGGTTTAACAGCACTAACAACTCCCATCATGCATTGGGGCACAGCTACCACACATTTATTATTGTTATTCAGGCTTATACACAGAAGTAGTTCAATCTGCTGCAACTATCAGGTGTGTGAAGGTGTGTATTTGAATCAGATAACTGCTTTAATAATGACAGGACTGCTGTGTATAGACTAGTCATTACACACACACTCACACAAACGTAGAAAGGGAACCGGCCATTAGGACCCCAGCAGAGGGCTATATGAGGGCAAGCATCCGCGCTGACAGGTCTTTTCGTCCAAGAAGCTGCTGCAGGTAAAAACCTCTGTCTCGCGTTTGTCTTTTTTCTGCGAGTGGAGAAACAACATTGACTCGTCTGTTTTCACCCTTAGCCATTGAGAGATTGAGAGAATCAAATGTTTTTTTTTTTCCTTTGTCTGGTTACCTTTTGTCTTTTGTAAATCTCAACCTGCAAAGGAATTATTGAAGTCTACGGCTGGGTATAAATCCCATTTCTTTTTTTAAACAGGTATGGAAAACTGTATGGCTGCTTCTGTTAAGACTACAACTTAATATTTAAGAATTTTGCCTTTTTTAATACACAAAAAAGGGCTTTGTAGAAAAAAACTGCTTTGACACGTTAGGTATGAACACAAGAATATAAAATGTCCTTCTTTATCCAGACATAGTGAAGAAAAAAGCGATGTAAGGTTCTTGTGAGGAAACCTGAATGTGGTCTGTGCTGCTCTGCAGGGATGAGGTGGTGGCTGGTGGCGGCCTTCTTGTGGCTGCTTGTGATCCTTACCCTCTCAGAAGGACAAGCCACGAAAAAACCTCGTAATGTGGACCGCCGGGCAAAGAAGAAGAGGGACGGACACGGTAAGACTCTGCCTCATAAAGAAAAGCAATGATATCGGTTGCAAGATCAAAAGATTGGTAACAGTTATGTGCGTCCAGTCCAATGTTACCCTAGGTAACTTAGGTTAAAGACTGGAAGGAGGAGAATATGCAAACCTAAAATAACCTTCCAAAAACGTTGAAACTGTCTTATTAAATGTTGCATCTTGTCCTTTTATCAATGGCAGAAGTAGAACTGTAAAAAGCAGGGATTGCGGTTAAACTAGCAGTAAATATTAGACCAACAGCTGTACTTTGTGACTGTATGCATGCAGCATCTTAAAAGTCCAGCTCAATGTGGGGTCAAGAGGTTTGAGCTCATCTTATGTTTCTCTTCCATCACAAGTCAAATGTCAGTCTTGTTTTCTGATGTAAAATGCCTCTAATGACACAAGAACAAACCGCTGTTCAAGTTATAACACATGGAGTCCCACAGGGAAGCATCTTGGGCCCCCTACAGTAATACAAATAAAGCCGGTATTTGAAGGATCAATAGCTTGCTCATTGACAACAAGTTGTCTATTGATATGTCTTAAACATAATTTTGTATTCCATTTATTTTTTATATCTGCTTTCTAAATTGACAAGACCATGTGTTGCAGGTCTTGGGCGGGCCAGATCGGGCCCCTCTAAACCACAGAAGATCAGACTGCTTCCTGGTCCTACTGTCCCAGAGGAGCCTGGAGTACAACAAGGAAACATAGTATTCCTGGACTCCTACAAGAACCTACAGGAACAGCACTCCAGCTACAACGTTATCCCAGGTCAGTTAGTAACACCACCTTAACCTAACGAACTACTACAATGCACTAATTACACCTTTATGGTCAATATTATTTATGATTAATAGTTATTGTACTTCTGCAAATATACATACTAATGGTTTCAAAGATCTAGGATTATATGGGTAACACACCGAACAAATAGATATGAAACATTAATTTATTATTTTCATGATACATTTTATTTTACCCTTAAATCAGCAAAAACATTTTCCCTGACCAAGGTCAAATGGTTAAACTCTTTTGTTGTGTCTCATTAAAGTCTGAAAACCCAAGTATTCATTCATCAATCATATATCAAAACTAAGAAAGAAAATAATAACATGCAAGTTTCAACGTGACGAGGATTTTCAGTAGACCAGCAGGTTTACATTTTAAACAACTATTTCCCTCTTTATTTGTCTCAGTGTTTAAGATTAGGTGTAAACCATCATGGAAACAGGAATCTTTAGTAGATAACAAAAGAGTTTTAGCCAATAAAAAGGGATGAAAGACTGTGCAGTGAGTCTTCATCCTGTTCTCATAATGAAGCTGCACATTCCAACATGAACAGAAGGGTGTGGGAAAAGAGCTGGACAGAAAATAAGTCTCACACAGAGATGAGGAAAGAGTCTTTAAAGAAGAACCTCAAAGCCACGTAGAAGCCCCTCAGTTTAAAACAATGAAGTCAGCATTATGTAATTAGAAGGGACGCTGGTGTGGTATGTTGCTGTTGTTTGAGATCTGAGTACATCTGAGGTGTCTCAGTAACAAGCAGACACAACTAAATGAGATGGAACAACAACAAAATAGATCAGACTGCAGGAAATAACAGACACAGAAAGACTAGTTGATTAAACGTTTAAAGATGAATTATGGATCTTGGGAACAGAAGCTTAGTGAAATAAGCAGATCTCAAGATGAACCTCCAAGATTGTATAGTGGAGGTGATCATAACCCAAGTAACAGAGGAAAACATTTGAACAAAATTAAGTGAGGTCAAGTTACTACTGTAGGTACATTTATATCTGTTCTTGAAAAGCAAATCAATCCAATTACGTTATTTATACTTTTTCGATATTCTGAAGAGGACTGTATGAATGAACCCTGGTGGTACATTGTGCCAATGCATCTTTTTTGCACCAGCCTTTCCTGATTTGTTCCCCAGTTTAGTTTAAAAAGAGTGTTTCTTAACAAAAATTGCAACATTTACTTTATGTTACATATTCTAATGCACGCACAAGAAATAACATGTTGGGACTTTGGGGCTCCTTAGTTTCACAAGTGTCTTGTTTTGTTCCACCAATACCCTTAAACCCAAATATATTCAATTTGCAATGATATAAAACAGAGGAACGCAGAAGATCATCCAACTAGAGAATCCGAAAAACATAAAGTTATTTATATTTTTGTTTAATATAAACAAAAAATATTTGTTTAATTTAATATTTGTTTCACTCCTAGTAAAAACCTAAAAGCATGCACTGGACACCAGAGCATGATAGAGCTCAGGGTCTGATGGTTGCTATATTATTTACTCAAAACCCTGCAATTTACTAGGATGATAAAGATATTCAATGACAGCAAGACAATATTTTACAGGTAAAAGAAAAGCTCTAAAGTATGAGTGCTCTAGCAGAGATGACAGGGTGACAGTCGCACTGCTCTCAGTAAAAAGGACAGAGATATGAGAGACAGTATTTAGGAGAAATAACCTGAGCCTCTTAACTACCTGTGTTTCTATGGACGTAACAAAGAGCATACCATTAGAAAGGATAGATGACAGACAGGACAGACACAAAGAGCCTCTTCCTGCTGTATCATAGTGGTTTACAGTCTCTTCTACTGACTCACTGCCAGGCGCAGCCTCAGCCTGTCCCAGGTCTGCTGCTGAAAGGGGGAGTTAAATCAGAGGGAGGAGTGGAAACGCTACAAATCACTGCTTTGTCTGGTTATGATGGTAAAGTACAGGCTTTACATTTGACTAGACATATAGCAATTACTGCAGGGTCGGTTAGGATAAAGATGTGACCACTAAGATTTAGATCTGCCTTGTTCTAGACCACTGAATCACGCATTTACATTTTGTTCATTGATATAATTATGTCTGCTGATGGGCTCATGAACAGCTATTCCCTCATTGAAAAAGGATAAGAATGTCATCCTTCTTCAAAACGGCCACAAGAAACACAATTGGCATTAGATGTTTGAAGCTTTGCATGTTTTTGCAAATCATATTTAGTTTTTATAAACCCAAAAAAAGATTCTATTCGTTTGCCTTCCAACCCGATGAGACAATCTATCATAATCAGATCATTCCTTTTTATAAGTCATTTGAAGTTGTTTTCCTTCTTTTTTGTGTGGTTCTGTTCGTGTGTACTGTCAAACATGTTTTCAATAAATGGTGCTGTGTGTAAAGTGTTACATAAAAAAGTTGAGTCAGGACGCACAATTGTGTGGGAATATAAAGTGGAGGGTTTTTTTGTACGCTGGACTCCACTGCCCCATTAGTGATGTTATTTGTTTTGCATTGTGCGCTTATAGACTGAAAGAGAAGATTTATCTTGCAAACTGAAAACTGTCATAATTGAACAATAATCAGATTACATTTGCTTCTTTGATATTTCACCCACTGTATGAACTGCTGATAAAGACTTGTAACTAAAATAGTAACTACTGAACTGACCGAGATGATGTGTGTGTTGTTACAGGTAAGCAGGGCCAGTGTGTGTTTCAGGGTCTGACCATGTTCGACCAGGCCGTCTGGTCTCCAAAGCCCTGTGTCACATGTCTGTGTACCGGAGGCCGGGTGCTTTGTGACGAGATCACCTGTCCCATAGTGCACTGCCACTTCCCCTACACCCCCGCCGGGGAGTGCTGCCCCGTCTGCATGGAGTCAGGTAGAAACACAACATGTGGCAATGCCATGGTGCAACATCAAGAGGCAACAGAGATGAGAAATGTTATAATAATAAGGGATTTTTACAGCGCTTTTCCTAATGCTTAAAGACGCTTAATGTTATCAGAACTTTACATCTTAGAAACTCAAGTTTTACTGAAAAATGTTTGTACAACATAATCATAAGCAGTTCTACCCTCAGATTTCAACCATTTTTTTTAAATTTGTCTACCAATTGTTTACCAGTTTTCATCTCTGAGGCCTCAGCATGCTGCTTCCTTATTCCATCATGGCTTTAAAAATGTGTTTTTCACATTTTTAGTTAGTCCAACACACATGTCTGTATTGTATGAAGATATCACATTTTGTAAACATACTCATTGCTCACAGTCATACATTGCATAGTCATTGTGTGCATGTATGAAGGTGAAGCAAGAGAAAAAGTCATTTTCTCGACAGTATGACTTATCACTGTGTGTAGATGTAGGTAGAATACAGCATTAACATGATGTCAATAGCAATATAGACATGTACCTATCTGTATAAGTACATTTTATATAATTGATGTTTGCTGTGTTTGGGGTTACCTATCAAGGAAAAAAACACTAAAAGCTGGTTCATTCACACTGAGGTATCATCGGGCAAAGTGCCAGACATCTTACATTTATCCCACTCAATCAGCTGGAAGCCGATAAAACAGCAACAAGTGATTTATCTTAGTCAGAATTATTTTGGCCTATATAGGATTGTTTAAATAAAAAAGGACCAATAGCTTTGAGTATCTGCAGTCACTATGGTTTAATTATCAAGCTGTCGTGATTGGGATCATTGTTGTTACGTAAAAGACGACACCAGGTCCTTTAAACATTGCTTTCTTATCTTTGTACAACAAAATGTAAAACCCTGAAAAATGTAGATTATAGTATACCTCATCCACCTATCCGAATCAGTATCAACCCATTAAATGTTATTTAGCTGACGTTGTATTTAGATCGACTTACAGTAAGTGCAATCACCCATGAGGATACACATTCAGAACATCAAGAATCCTACGAGTACATTAGCTTCGAATAAGCCAGACCTTCTTAAGTCCTACACAGATTTATTTTTTGGGACCACTATCAGTATTGGTTTGGTACACCCTACACTACCACTACGTTACTTGCTTGTTATAAAAACACATTTCATAGCTTTAATTTATATTCTGCACCAGTTCACACCAACACTGACCAACACAAAAAGACCAACTTTACCTCACTGTGGTCATACCAGAATAGTGTAATAGTTCAGACTGGTCTACAGCAGCCGTCTGCTCTGTAGCGACAACAAGCTGGTCTGTCTGTCTGTGTTATGACACTAACACACAGCCGTCTGTCTGTCCACCTCCTGTCTGTCTGTGTTATGACACTAACACACAGCCGTCTGTCTGTCCACCTCCTGTCTGTCTGTCATGTAGCATTCTCTTTTAGTTTTCTTTATTTTTTCCTCCCCTTTTCTCTTCCTCTACTTTCACCTTTTTATTTCCTCCGCACCACTTCCTGTCCTATGATTGGCTGCCCCGCACCTCCCTACACCCACCGAAGACTATGACCTCAGCCTTGACCTTTCTGGTGACTCCCCAGTTCCCAACGACCCAGAGGACCATGTGACTCCGCTGACCCAGGAGGAGATTCAGAAAATCATCTGGCGGGAAGAAGAGGAGCACCGAGAGGAAGAGGAGCGCCTGAAGAAGAAGGATGAGGCGAGGAAGATGAGGCGAAAGCAGAGGAAGGGGCAGGCGGAGAAGCAAAGGAAGATAGTGGAGGAGAAGAGGAGGGAAGAGGAGGAGGCGCTGAGGCTGCAGGTGGAGAGAGAAGAGGCGGAGTGGAGGAGGCTGTTGGAGGAGGAGGATAGGAGGAGGCAGGAGAAGAGGAGACAGGATGAGGAGGACAGGAAGCAGAAGGAGGCAGCAGAGAGAGAAGCTAGGGAGGCAGAAAGGGAGCTAGAGGAGGAAAGGAGGTGGCAGGAGGAGAGGCTGAGGGAGGAACTACTGGCTTTTGATCAGGGGGAGGAAGAGGAGCTGCATGAGGAGGTAGAGGAGCTGCATGAGGAGGTAGAGGAGGAGGTGTGGCTAAGAGGAGATGTGTTTGTGATGCCCGATAAAGAAGCCGAAGAAGAACCAGACCTCCTCCCTGCTCCGATCCCAAGACCTCCTGCTGCGACAGAGGATGAGCTGGAGGAGGCAGAAGAGGAAGGGGAGGAGAAGGAGGTGTTGGTGAACAGAGCAGACCTCCCCCCAGGCTGCGACATCTCTGACGTCACGCTGACATGTGACAACGCCAAACTCACCTACTTCCCCCCTCTGTCTATCCCTGAGCTCAAGTCTCTCAGTCTGGAGGGTAAGTCTGCACCACGACAAGACGAGGAATGTAGAGCCAGATAGCTTCATGGAGAAAGGTCTAAAACTCGTTCACAGACACAACTAGTAATTTCATTTGAAATGTGTAAGAGGATTTAAAAATAACAAAACTGTTGATCAGGTTTAGCCTAATCAGTGCGTAAAGGCTAATGTTGGCATGGTTTATTTTCTTAACCATCATCAAATCCTATAAATGACCAAAACCTACATTATGTTGGTTCAATCGTCAACACTTGTTAACCTCCTGCCTAACCCTCTGACACAAATGTGTACTTTGTGATATTGGGCTACATCGATTAAATCTGATGAATGATTCATTACTCTGTCCGTGGCAATGTCCCAATGTCATTAGGTCCTACTAATTTTTTTTTAAAGACTGCCTTGGCACTGTATAAATATTTTTTGTATTTGAATGACTGCAGCTTAGATGGCAGCCCTGTGGCCTGTACGACGAAGCCAGTTCAACAGACCCTGGATATGTTTGAGTTATCTGGCTTAACTAACCCTAACAAACAAGATCTCGCTAAACGGTCCTACCACGCTGGTTATCAACTCGGTAACTCAACCCAGGGTTTCTCTGTCCGGCTGAGAGCGCGTTCACGTGAGAGGAGCGGGGTTATCAACATTTGACCAATCACAAACATGGACAAGCGTACTGACAGCGCAGCATCATACTTCCTGATTGAATAGTAAACTATCATGTTAGACAAATATGAAGAAGTTAAACTTTAAACATCCATGACTTAAACACTTTATCCAGGATCAAAGCAAGGTGAATACAAAACAGCTGGTAAAAAAATTAAAAGTGTTTGAATTTGTACATTTTTATGATATCACTGCCCCTAAGACACGAGTGGATCTGACTTTAATTACATTTGACTCGAGTGTTTCGTCAACTTAATGTGTTGTTTTAAATAATACTTCTGCATACAATAGCTATGTGACATTAAGTGTTGCACATACAGGTATGGCTCGAGAAGCTGACTCAGATAAGGAAATATATGATACATTACCGGAAACCCAGAGTTAACCCTGAAGTTACCTCGCTAAGAATCCTGCTTCGTAGTTCAGGCCAAGGGTCTGCACATGGGGTTTGTCGTTAAATTACAAAAATAAAACAATTATTTCAAAAGACTTTGTATTATACATCTAAAATAATGGAAGATTAAGATGTCTGATTATTTAATCAGAAAACACCATTCAACCAAAAATACATAGTCCACTAACAGAGGTGTATCTTTTACCTTGTAAATGAAACTTGACTGAGATTAGTTTCACTGTGAGCCTATAACACAGCGTATGAGAAAATGAGCGAGGAGAGACACAATAATCAGTAAATATTTGTAAGACTTACAAATTAGCATCACATTCAGGCTTTTTATCAGCCTGGAATCAGAATTAAATAGTATCGGAACCCAATGTTATATATTGCATTTAGGAACAATATCAATACCACACGCATCAATTCGAGAAATACAAAGACAACCTGCTTATTTCCCTGCTCTCAGTAGGCAGTGACTCTCATTAACACTCTTCTGACCTGCAGGCAACAACATCCCCAGCATCCCAGCAGAAGCCTTTAACGGCATCCCCAACCTGGAATGGATCAACCTGAAGACAAACAAACTCACCTCTGACAGCATTGATCCCAAAGCCTTTGAAGTAAGACGCTAAACCATTGCAGCCCTTCAGAATAAAACCACACTAGTTTTCACTCCAACCATCTACCTAAGTTTCAAATGCAGCTTTTTTAATCAGAGAAAAGTGTCATTTAAAGTAATGATCAACAATCAACCAGAAACCAAATACATATGGTAACATTTCTGCTATGAAAGCGCTACAATATTCACAAAGACCTTTACGGCCCGTCCGCACAGCGGCGTGCGTTGACGCTTGCCGGCGGGCGTGTCTGACACTCGACCAACAACCAATCACATGAATCTCCCGCCCCTGACACACAAGCAGCGGTTTGATTGGCTAGAGCTTGTACTGGCATATGATTCGATTGGCTGACGCTTCTGCCGAGGCGTCAAAAGTTGAACATTGCTCAACTTTTGCAGCGAGCCACGCCAGCGACGCTCCGCGTCGCTTCCCACGATGCAGTTCGGCTAAAAGTGACGTCACCCCATTCAAAGTGAATGGGCAGAAGCGTTGGAAGCTTCAACGCACGCCGCTGTGTGGACGGGCCGTTAGGCTTCACATAAATAAACAAGAAAAGTAACTTAAACACAAAACAGTTGATGCATTTAAACACTTAGGAGCTTGAAAATGATGTTCATGAAAATTGTAAATAAGGCAAACAAAAGCTTATTTTGAAATGTGCATCAACAGTATGTGTGTGTGTGTGTGTGTGTGTGTGTTTCAGGGTCTAAAGATGCTAAGGCGTCTGTACTTGGACGGTAACCTCCTAGAATCCGTGCCCGCTAACCTCCCCCCCACCCTGCAGGAGCTGAAGATCAGTGAGAACAAACTGAGAGGAATCCAAGAAAACAGCTTGGAGGGTAAGTGCCACTGTATCCCATAAGCTTCAAATGTCACTACCCATCAATTAGCTATCTAATGCCTGTTAAAATGAACTTTGATCTAATGCCTGTTAAAATGAACTTTGATCTAATGCCTGTTAAAATGAACTTTTAAGCTCAAAATGTTGCACTTGTGTGTGGGGGACCTTTTGAATGCAAAACCTTTGAGACGTCTCTGTGACGTAACATGCAGGAGACCCTCGATGGATTGAGCCCTCCCGAGTGCCATGCTTTCAACATAATTCAGAAATGGTTGGTTAATCTTGGCTAGACTTCGCCTCTGCCTTCTGCAGTGTAACACATCTCCCACCAATGATCATTTTAGGGGGTCTTAATTGTTTAGCCCTTTGACATTTTGATAAGCTGTAATGGCAAAGTAATGCAAGAAATGTTTGTTATATTAAATGAAATAACTATTTACTTTTCTGTTGTGCAAAGTAACTGTGTGACTATTATCTTCTGACAGATGTTTCCTTACTGCACTGATTCCAAGACACATTTCCAGAGAAAAACAATATGTTTACACTGTATCATTTATTTCCATCTGCAGATCTGAGCAGCCTGGTGACTCTGGAGTTGGAGGGAAATCTGCTGAGTGAGGGGAATGTGAATCCTCTAGCCTTCGCTCCTCTCATCCAGCTCTCCTACCTCCGGCTGGGCAGAAATCACTTCCGCACCGTACCACAAGGCCTCCCCAAATCACTGCTGGTATGAAGTAATATCTGTTGACATAACGTCTGTGTCTCTGCACTTACATATTCATTCCCGACACTGGAATTCCAAAAGGGGCAGCATATTTAAAAGCTTTTTTGCCAACCTTGAGGACCAACAGCAGTTGAATATTGCGGTGCAATAACCATTTATTATGGTTCAATATTTCCCGAAAAACGTTATTTAAAAAAATATTCACAAAGGACACTCAAAGTAGAGCTCAATAAATGTATAAATAAACCCACCAGCAGCATATGCTTTTGAATTAAGTCTATCTGGTCCCATTTCCTGAGGCCTTCTTAAAAGCTGCTGCAGTCAGTTCATCCTTTGGGAGTTGAGATTTGCTGATGCATCAGTATTTTCTTTTTGGCTCTAAAGTGTAGGACTCCTTTACTGAGTAAACTCAGCTTCTACCTGTGGGAAACCAGTCCACCCAACGTGTAATTATGGGCTCTGGTTAACCACAAACTGCAAAATACCAGCCACATGCTGCTGATGTAAATCCACCCTAAAACTAGCCTAGTTTCTACACATTACAAAATCCCAAAACCTAGAACTTTGGAGGTGTTAGTCCTAGAGATCATGGGTTTCCTGTAGTTATCACACTAATAGCACTTTATAGTAAAGTGTGATTTTGATAACGATTTAAGAATGATGTAGAATTACTAAGCAGCAGTCATCCAGAGTGTCTGGTATTCATTTCTCAGCTTGGTAGATTATGTAACCCAAGAGTCCCAACAAACCACAGACTAAACCGAAAGCACAATTAACATAATAGTTTAAAGTGGTAACTCATTAAAAACTAGAAAACCTTTAACATTTTGGGATCCTAACTTGACTCAGAAACTAAATTCCATGAATTTGAAAGCAAGTTTCCACTAATCTATCAATTTTACTTTCCAACCTTGATGTGAAACTTTTTTTCCGTCTTTCAGGAGCTTTACTTGGAGAACAACCTGATCGAGGAAATATCAGAGACAGTTTTCAATCAGACTCAAAATCTGAACGTGGTTTCTCTGAGACACAACAGGCTGGATGAGACCAAGATTGCCCCGCTGGCCTGGTTCAGCCACAGGTCGGACAAAAAGAGACTTCTTACTATCACCCATTATTTTAAATTGCTAATGTTTGTCCATCATTTCCTTACACACCATTTCTTCCTTCATATTCCTCTTTCTCTGCAGAAATCTGGAGTCCATTGACCTTTCTCATAATGACTTCTACCTGGTTCCATCATACCTGCCCAGATGTCTGGTCCACTTAGTGCTGTTGGGAAATAAGATTGAGAGGATACCTGGTAAGTGGACAGTGTTGATAAAACACCTGGCTGACAAACCTGACCCACAACAGATATGAGAGGTTTAACTGTTGGACTGAGGACTAGGGTTGCAAAGGGGCGGAACATTTCCAGTACATTTCCATGGGGAATTTTGGAAATACTCCATATTGGAAACTTTCCATGGGAATTTATGGGAACTAACTGGGAATTGAGGGTAATGTAATGTAATTGTATCATATCCAAGCATAAATATAAACATTTTGTTTTGTCATAAGAAAACATCCATGCAAAATGGATGAAAAACATGACATTTCAACAGATTTAAACAGAACAAGTTTTAATTATTTCATTGAACAATAATTTGTTTCATTGAAGAACAAAAACATGAATGTTGAGTTGGATATTACTTCTAGAAATCATCTGTGCATGTGATGGAGGAATGCACAGTGCCTGTAGGGGGTGTGGTCTCAAAAGCCATGCAGTAAGCAGTGTGCTATGTGCATGTGATTGAGGAATGGCATGGATATTCAAGTGTACTTGAATGGCATCTGTTTTGTTTTAGTCAGATAGATTATGCTAAAATATACTTTACCCAACTATATTTAAGTTCCCTATGAAGAGCCAACCTTCAATTATTTATTTGTTTGGTTTATTCTCATAAATACCCGTTTATTCCCATGGAAAGTTTCCATCTTTGAAAATTCCCGGAATTTTGCAACCCTACTGAGGACTTCCTTTAACAACTTCTAGGCCTACCATATATGAAGAATGACATACCACTATATTTCTCATGTCGCTAATAGATTTAAGGAAAACAATTGAAACAAAGGCAAATGGCCTGACATTACCCGGCCAAAGTGATAGTATCTCGAAACGATTTTCTACTGCAGGAACTCACTGAAACATTACCCTTCATTAAATCTGAATTTCCCCAGGTAGTGCTTTCCTTTCCACTGCACTCTGCCATTGTTACTGGATGAGCTGAAGAAGGACAGACTACACTGTTTTATAAAAAAAAATAAGATCAGTATTCATAGAGCTCAGCAAACAGCTACCACACATGAATATATAAAATCAACAGCGGTCTTCTGATAATGATGATACACTATTTCCTCCCAACACCTCCACAGGTTACGTGTTCGCCCACATGGACCCGGGTTTAGAGTACCTCTACCTCTCGTACAACAGACTAGACGGGGAAGCGATCGAGCCAGAGTCATTCTTCGGCTCGTACCACTCCATGGTGGAACTGTGTCTGGATCACAACCAGCTGATGTCTGTCCCGTCTGGCATCAACGAAATGACCAACTTACATTTCCTCCGTCTCAACAACAACAACATCAGGTATGAAGCCATCGTCCACCAATATCCATCGATTAGGGTTACAGATTTGTATCTTTAAAAGGAAAACTTCCTTGGAAAATATTGCCCTTTTTACCAGGATTTGTGTGATTTCTTGCCATGAATTAAGTTTAATTTAAAAATAACTATTAATTAATGATCATAAAGTTATACTTATTACAATAATAGGATGTTACTTTTTATGTATGGTTATATTTTGTAGAAAAACAACAATTTCTCTCTTTCTTTTTTTTTTTAATGGAAGAAACAACCGAATTTCACCCTAACTTATTTTCCCATCAGATCCCATTAGAGGTATCAGTTTGAATGATTAAGTGTGAGAGGTGTGTGATAGGCTGATTTGTGCTTTGCTGTACAAATCTGATTTGTGATTTTGGGTAATGACTTGACAAAGTTAACATAATGTCTTCCTAAATGTCAGCTATGTACTATACATCAGGACTGGTAGAAATGATGGATACAACTATAGAAATGACTATTAGAAGAAGAAGAAGCTGCTGACAGAAAACCAAAACCGGGTGAGTGAAGATAGAGTAAGGGAAAAAAATGTCAATATAGTCCTAAAAGATCAACAACACAGAGTCCCCCAACAGACCTGAGCGTGACCAGACGACTGACTCACTTCTCTCAGCCCGCCAGACAATATTAAAGCTAAGAAGTTCACTGAACGGAGAGTCGTCTTGACGACAAGAAACAAAACAAGTTGAAGTTTCCACCTGAGGGTCACCCTGAATAACCTCATTAAACTCACATTGGTCCATGCAAGATACACACAGCTAGTCCAGGCTGTAGCATGGCTTTATATAAAAGTAACCATTTCAACACTACACAATTCAGCAAATGTACTGCCAAGATGGTACTTCAGGTGTGAAAGTGTATTAGGCCTCCAAGCAAATATTGCTATTATTTTAACATAAAAAACCAACATCAATAATGTAAAGTAGAACCCTTTTTTAGTACGTTCAAATCTTGGCTGCAGCATTCTAAATAAATTATTTTTTGTATAGATGTTTTAGATAACTTGGTAAAAGAAGGCAATTTATAATAAAACATCAGCATCATATAAACTTAAAAGTGGTCTCCTTTTTGGCTATACTCTGAAGATGAAAAACGTATATATATTACCTTTATAGATTTGGAACTGTTGGTCCGACAAAACAGGTCTAAGATAATAGTGATGGTCATTTAAAAAATGTTTTTCTCATATTTAAAAAATATTTGATTGGTGATTATTCAAAAAAAATAATTATCATCATATTAATCGCTAATTGCTACATTAGTTGCAGCTTCAGCCCTAGACGTACCAAAAAAGTGCATTTAACTGACTGTTCTAACTGCATCCTGACACTGTCTTCCAGGAGTATCCCTGACGAAGGCATCTGCGACCCAAACCACAGCGGAGACTCCACTATGGTGGCCCTGAGACTGGAATACAACTTCATCGACCCCCAGAGGCTTTCACCGTCAGCCTTCTCCTGTGTACGCTCCTCTTCCAGTGTGGTCTTAAAACCCCAGAAAACCAAATGACCACACAAAGGCGAAAAGACAATTGTGTAAAACCCCAGAAACACTGGGGAAAAGATTTTGTTTTTTATTTGTCCCATAAGAAGTCAAACATAAAATAAGATACATTTCCCCTCCCTAGCTTCCTCTGATGCTGTGTTATTGAAATGACACCCAAAATCATAAGAAATCACATGATGTACAGGTAGAACATGGAAACATATACAGTATAATTCAACTCGGTTACTGCTGATGTAGTTTTCATGTCCTGTCCCGTCATATCCTTGGACTGAATCCTTACAAGCTGCAAAAAAAAAACCCTACTGATTTGACCTCTCCTTTGGCCCTAATATGTTTTATGGTAAATTGTTTTTCACATGGCTCACCTAAACCTGCTATCGAAATGCCAGAACACCTTCAAACTTTCTAAATCTAACACATCTGTCTGCTTTACTAAAATGTCAAACTCTCTAAAATGGAAAGACCTTCTGCACCATACACCGTAAAATGAAAATGCTAATAAAAAGAAATGGAAAGAATTCAATGAAAGGAGACCACAAGCCAAACACGTTATTTTTTAATGACCTCACCACCTTCATGTTCCATTTCTCAGCTCTATTTCTTCCAATGCCTTCTTTCATAAAAACTCTGACATGGAAAGGAGGAGTGGGATCACATGTGTGCCACATACTTTGAGCTCTTTGTGTAAAATATGAAGAGCAGCCATAAAGGATTCATTTAAAGTAAGTGCTGATGGGGAGATAATCCTACAGACGGATACAAAAAGACAGAAGATGTTCAGTCATGCCTGACAAGTTCCTCCATCTTGTGCACTTAAGTGTATAGAGGCAGAAGGACAGTAACTTCCTCTTCCTTTTGATTAATACTACATCATCAGACACATCACACATGTACTATCAGAATCTGTTGTGCTTTAATTATATTCACCGCATTTTTTATTAACCATGTGATATAAGAGACATTCGATGGTGCACACTACATCTTGTATTTCACCGTGTCTCATCATTGAAAAGGAAACTATTAAATGCAGTTGTGGTGTTTATCAAGCACCCAGGAAGTGTGTTTGACATTGAAGCAAATGTTCCTAGTGGCCAAACGGTTGAACTACAACTTCAGTGTCAGTCCGTGATGTCATTGGGCCCCAAAATACTTTTTCCCATCGTCTAACAATTGGAAGGAGATGACTGTAAACAATTAAAAATAATATATATTTAAAAAAAACTAAATCAACTACCCAGTACAAACACTTTTTAGCGCTTATTTAAATGATTACAGTCTCAAATATGTAAAATGCGCTGAAAGGCGAATCCAGACTTATTTCTCTCTCCATTAATTTGACTGGTGCCAGTGCGGATTGGAGGCGGGGTTTAGAAGAAACAAGTGCCATGCTCTACCTCTCAAATGCTGTATGGGGTTCTCTTTACACATCCATGGTGTTTATGCCATCGCAGCAGGTTTTCTATGAACTTTAATGGAGATAAGTCTAGCTATATGGAAACAACCTTCTAATGCATGTGTTTAAGATGTAGGAGGATCTAGTGGCTCCAGAAGTTTGACTGTAAATTACAATTCTAAAGTTTTCTTTGAATGACGTCCTCAGTGTTCTATGTCTATGCTTCAACCTTCAACCTGTGTAACTGCAGTATACTGTATTAATTACTCAGCACTGATCATGAATAAAAAAGGCTTCTGCTGGTTTAAAGAGATGTCATTGTGTATAAAAGAATATATAATAGCACAACTATGACAGAAAGAGCAGCTGGTAGCGTTCTTTTAATGGGCAATATCTTATGAATAACGAAGTGGAAAATAGTCATAGACTATACAGCCTCTTGATCTGAAAGCAGACTTTTTAGATGAAAACAATCTGAGCAGTGATTCAGAGGTCTGGAACGAGGCTGACACCTAGTTTCCACCGGGTCCGTCTGCGTCGCGTAACGGCTGCGCCGCGGTTTTGGTCCGGCCTCATACCGGGCGCGTTTCAGAAGCATTTCAGAAGCGGAGCGTCTTGCCTGCCGGCTCGCAGTTTTTGTTGATTTGTGCATATATCCTGGACAGGTTACTTTGTACAGACAACGTTAATAATAATTGTAATATTCCAGTTATAAACGACATGAATCAAAGATGTGTTAATGTATTTTAGTGGTAAAATCATCATAATTATTCTATATATATAATTTACACAGTGCCTGTAAACCGGAGGAGAACGCTGGCATTTCTCCTCCTACTTGAACGACTACGGAGGGATAGGGTCTGCAAAATGAGTTTGCGTGTGTGTGTATATATAGGCTATGCTATATATGCTCTGAACGTTCCACTTTACCGGGTCCGTCCACTAGTTTCCACCGGGTCCGTCTGCGGCGCGTTAACGGCCCCTACACACGGCGGCGTGCGTTACCGCTTGGCGGTGGGCGTGTCTGAAGCTTGGGGATTTTTTGGGGACATACAAAGCAAAGCATTCATGCTACATCCATGCTGGCTAAATATACTGTCTATGCTTGCTAGCTGTCCATTCAAACGAAGTACACTGGCTATAAACTCCCCAAACAGGCGAAAACCTACCAGTTTCACCCACTGTCTCTGCCACCTCCCCCCATGCCTGGCTCCTCCGTTTTGTATCCCTGTATGTAAAGAGGGACTGGTCATATAGTACCAGGTGATTCCCTAACGCCACGATCATTTCCTCCTCCATTTTTTGACATATGGGAAATAACTGCGGTCTGGCTCTCCCAACATACACGCGGTTTGATTGGCTAGCGCTTGTGCTGTCAGATTTGCATACGCGGGATTTGATTGGCTGACGCCTCCGTCGAGGCGGCAAAAGTAGAACATTGCTCTACTTTTGCAGCGAGCACCGCGAGAGAAGCTACGCTTTGCTCCCACAATGCAGTTCAGCGAATCATGACGTCACCCCATTCAAAGTGAATGGGCAGAAGCGTTGAAGCGGCAACGCACGCCGCCGTGTGTAGGGGCCGTAAGCCTCATGTTTCCATCTGGAAGTCTGTAGAGGTTTTCTTTTCAGGATTAGACGCATGTTGACACTGAATGCAAATACTCAACCTGCCTGAAGTCACAACAAGATTATATTCCATTGAATCTCCTGAGCCCATTTACAGTCTGCACATCCAGTACCTTGAGGATAGTATTCATTTATTTTCTTGTTACCAAATTTACACCTCAGTCCTTTGGGAGGAGATGGAGCCATGCTGACTATTGAGAATGATTCATGATCAAATGTGGTTATCTGGACATCATTTTTCCTCTGCCCTCCTGCATTAAGTATTCAATGGAAGCTGCAATTATCAGAACTGAAAGCCAACTTTATCATAATATTTTCCTCTGGAAGCCTGAGGTTGAGGATCAGTTACTTCAGTAGCAGACAGATCTGAAGGACGATTGGAACAGAAAAGTTAAACTGTTAAACTGTGTTAAACCTCAGCTCCTTCTTTGTTAATGTATATCTAGACAATAATACTTTATAAACTAAAAGAAGAAAAGCAATACAACAAAAACTATCAGTAATGTCTGGTCACTTTCTAGATATTGGCAGCCGACATCTCATCCTTCTTCAGCTGGAAAATGTTCTTGCAATGAGCCAGAGCTCAAAGATCAAACGTTTTCCTGGTCGAAAAGAGAAAGTTCTTCTTGTTTGCCAATGTGAACAGCTGCTGCATCCATCAGTATCACATATCAAACACATGAAGAATCCATCTAATGCTCATTAGTCACATAACCTCTCCAATGCTTCTCAGGGTGAAGGCTTAAGGCTCAAGGTAATAACGAGGTTATGTACTCAGCAGACATTTCATCAGGTCAAAACATTCACCTCTATAGCAGGATGAATTCCTTAAAGGATGAATTTGGTTTATTGTAACGTGGGACTTATTTAGACTTGTTTGTTTAATTCTGTTACAAAGTGACATGTAACAGTGTGACATCACTATTTTACACTTGCATTTCCTTTGGCTAGTGCTCCAAGGCATTGTACCTGATAGGCTAAGCGACGGCACCTCTTTAAGCGGTTGACCAATTACAACAGAGCCGGCCAGCTAACCAATCAGAGCAGACTGGGCTCTGGTTTCAGACAGAGGGTGAAAAGAGGTGCTGCAGCACAGGCAGTGTGAGACAAATAAAGAGCTTTGTGAACATTAAAGCACGGAGACATGTCACAGGAGAGGCACTACATACAAATGTGAATCTAATATTTAGCATAATTGAGCCCATTTAAAGAAGTTAAAGCCTCCAAGCAGAACGATATGAAATATTTAAAATGCCTTCAGTAAAATAAATCAAGTTAAAGTGTTTTATCCATTCCAATACTTTCACTCGTTTATTTGATCATTTAGATAATCCTATCTTTTAAAGTTAGAAAGAAAGTTAAAAAATACTCTTTAATGGACACGGTCATCATCTATAAATGCAAATATCCACTGACAATGGGCTACGTTACTCCTCATTTTAAGAGGTAACATGCCACACAGTTTGGAAACCATTGATCTCAACTAATTATTTTGTATATCAAACAAAGTGGGGGTTAAATACAATGAATTGTTAAAAATGTCTCATCTAAAAATCTAACTTTTTTGTGTGAAAGTATTTGTTGTTAACACTTAAACCTATATGTAGGTTTATTGTCCATGGGCTGAATAAAGGCCCTGGTGGCCCAAAACATACTGTACCTAAAATCAAAAAAACATAGGTCTGTAAGTTTAAAATCATATTTTAATATGTTTACTGAATAAGCACATCATGTACTTCTGGAATCTAAGCTTGTGCACAATATTTTTTATCACGATCATAATCTTTACGTGGACTCATGTTGAGTTAACATCATGGTAAAGTCGACCTGAAGGCTGTGTAACACTCTCAGCAGTAGGTAACACGCCCTGAGTTATGACCGTGTCACTGCTCTAACTAAATGTTTCCTGGCAAAAAGAGGCTACAAAAAATCACTAACGCACACCAGTGCTGAGGCAACTCCTTGGCACGGTTGCTCTGCAAGTTGCTCTGTGACTAACAGCATTTAAAGGGTTCAGATGGAGGAACATCTTTTTCTCAACATAAGAAGCTCCATGACAGACGTCTGAAGGGTTGGAAAGTATGATATCCTGAGTGAACAGACATCCTGAGCGCAGACCATCTCCCATCAGGAAATAATCTCTAAATTGTAATATGCAGTTTGAATACTGTGACTCCAACAATTACGCCATATATTATTTCAGTACCACAAACCAGTTTCCGTCTTTAGACTATTGAAGCTACAGTTTGAGGTTTCCATTCACAAGATTCTTGAGAACAGAGATTGAGAGCACAACAAAAATCATGAGCAAAAACTAAAGTTCAACCATTCAAAGTTGACTTTTGTATCTTTTTGTTTGGACAGACTAGAAAGATGTCCAGGCAAATAAAATCACAGGAAATACTTATGGGCTATTGGTCCTTGAAGTGTAGAACAAAGCCTGTGTCCTGTCACGCTGCATAGAAAGCAGAAAACTGTAAGGCGGCTTACATCATGCTACAATTAGATTCCTGCAACATTTGGGAAAATGGTTCCTTTTATCTTGAAATCTGGCTCATAGCAGGCTATTGTTTAAGCACGACTACAACTAAAGCTCTGAAAATGAGGGATTAACCCTGAGGTTTTAACAGGGAATAAAAGTGAACTTTGTAATATCAGATAACAGTACTTTACAGTGGACTTTTGAAATGGACGGACTGTCCATTACTGGTGCCTTCAATTATTCATTATTGATGCTTTTCATTTGAATCAGAAATGTATATATTTTTTATTTTAAGCTTTTTAACAGATACCAGTAAAGACTCATTTAGTTAAGTCAATCAATACTTCCCTAATAATCAAATAATAATACAAAAAACAGACCTTCTTTTCTAGTTACAACAAAGCCTGGACTCAAATCTCAGAATCAAACCAAAGACCTTTGATTACAAAATACATGTATACTGAAGACAAATGGCAATCTCTATGAGGTTAATTAAGAGTGACAGCAAAATAGTTTGTTGTGTTAAAACTAGAAAACTAGAACACTAAAGGAAAAACATCTAAAGATACTTTTGCTTAAGATCCTCTATGTTTATGAATTTTTCGTCAAAGAGTATGTTAAACACGAGATGATCATTTAACCAGATCTCCGATGGATTGGAAAATATGGTTTCTCCAAGAAGATGCACTGAAACCAGAACACAATCCATTTGGTTTCGTCTGACTGCCAGACCAGGGCATATTTAGATCAGCTCAGCAGAAAATAGCAGCACCAAATGTAAAAAGGAATAGTATACGGATAAACGAGCTCCTGTTAGCTTTTCCATTCCTGGGAGGTATTTTTTGCCTCAAATGTAAAGATTTAGGCTCTCATGTTGTGCCTTGTTAAGACTCATCATGCAGAACACAACACAGAACATATGATGTGGACTGCATGTTGCAAGCATCATCTCAGTTTGTCTTCTGCTATTCCTTTCCAGTGAAGAAAGATATGTATACAAAGACAAAAAAAGCCACCAGTTCTTACTCACTGTTAGGCTAACTTAAAGAACCTTATGTCGGAAGACTTATTAGCTTTATGTATTGGTTAAAGTAAAGTCACAGCTTTATGGAGACGTGAGGAGAGCATTACAGAATGATTAGCAGTGCGTGGTGATATTAGTTGGTGTTGATGTGAATGCTTTGCTTGAACTACAAAAGGTTGAATCCGACTTAATTGTCCATATTGGCTCCCTTACAGGGAAAACTGTTTTTTATTTATCTGCAATCTTGCCTTACTTCAGTGGATCATAACATATGAGGTTCTGAATCACTCTGGAAATAGTTTCAATGACAAACAGACTTTTCTATGGATGTCAGTTTCTGAGCCACAACAAAGGCCAACATGTGGTCTGCAACAGGCTAGGGTGCTTGTTTTTTTGGATTGCAGATTATGCTCCGAGATGTCTATATATGTTTCCTCACTTTGATTGGATCATTGTTTTTACAGAGTGTTGCAGCTTCTTTGTATGTTGACATTTTTGAATATATTTTCAGTCATTTCTTTGGATAAATAAAAAAAAGGGTTAATTATTCTGTGCTCTTAACCATAAATATATTCTGCTACCTGATGACAAGCATCACTACATCTCAAACATTCTCCTCCTGCTAGTTGCTTCACAAATGCTAATTTAGATGAATTAAATATGAATTCCCACTCTCCCTGTTTGCCCCAGTGCCAACAGGCCTTAGTGTAGGAACCGTTCATGTTGAGGTAAATATTTGATGTGGCACCAAGCTGTGAGGGTGGCGACAGACCTACCAGTTTGTCCAATATAAAGACTTCAAAAGTCTGAAGCTAATGATCCTGGCATCACTTCAAAGCTCCTGAAGAAAAGCGCATGAGTGAAATCCTAACATTGGCATTTCAGCTGTAGACCCAGAGATGTACAGACGGTGTGATCACTGAGTCACAAGCTCTTCACGGAAACACAAACTCTTACCCCAACAGCGTGGGTTTTCCGTCAGTGGGGGTGTTCAGTTTTTTTTATTATTTCTAGTGAGAGAGGGTGATGCTGTTCTCCGTTCACTGGGAATGTATTGACTGAGGATCCAAAGCTCAGCCTTCCAGCTGGACCCTGCTGCTGCTGCTCTGCTCACTGCGCGGGGTTTAAACCAGGACACAAACACCTGAGGTAGGACACTCCTGGATTTAATAACAACATAAGTGACCTAATCTTTTTGATGAATACGTTTTAGTGAAGTTTTATTTACTAAGAATGTATAATCTCCAATGTATATACACGTTTTACTTCTGCTGTGTGCCTTAAAGGTGATGGAGTTGTTACAGAGGAGCCACTAGGATGCAACATTTATATAATTATTTGTATTTAACCAACTCATCTGTGTCTGTATTGTAGGAAACATTTATCTATATTAAGATAATATTTCAGGTTTATTTATTTTTCTGACTGAGTTCGATTTGCATGCAAGATCAATTTACAGGAATGTTTTGTGGATGTCTGTGGATCACCTTTTAAGTAAACTATCATTGATATCTGAAGGGAAGATGAACATTGATTAAGTGCTGTGGTCTTTCATGTGTTACTTGCCCGGAGTCTCAGTTCAAGTAGATCTCATTTGACAAACATGCCATTTAATTGTCCAAGGGAAAACAAGTTAATTCCAAATAGTAAATACAAACACATGATGGAAATCTGCCAGAAACAGCTCAGATTTCTAAAAGTGGTACAAAGCAGATAGCTCTTATACTAGTATGAAGAGTGCTGAAACTATGAGTCAATTTGTCAATCAACAGAATCGTATCTAGTAATAGTTTTGAATCAATTGAACATAAGCATATTTTAAAGCAACTATTTTTGCCATGGCACATATTCGCTAATTCCAGCTTTCTTAATGTGAGATATAACAATTTTTTCTGCTTTATATCATTGTAAACATTAATATTCTGGGATTTTGGACTGTTGGTTAAACATATACAATGGGTGACTAGAGCTTCCTTTTTTGTTTACATTTAATTGACTTAAATACTATCCCAATAATCATAACAACAATTGACTTTTTGATCATTGGGACAAATACTGTATCCGAGTCCTGATGGAGACAGCAGGGATCAGAGGAGGATAGAGGGTGACTATACTCTGTTTGGATGTTTTTAAACTTCAAACCTCTAGAAAAATAATTCAGACTGTGAACAAAAGCTCTTTACTTTCACCAGTCCGACTGGAGAGAAGACAGGTTTAATGTATTGGTTGGGGCTTGTTTGATTAGGAGACAGGAAAACACAATAAACAGCATAATTATCTCCAACTCCGGGCCAAGTTGTAAAATAAATAACCATGTTGCACACATCAAGAAATTAAATGTGCACATGTGGAAGAAAAGGGAGTCTGAGTGCCCTCAGAGGAAGGGTCTACGCTGAGCGGTATGTGCTGATGCAGCAGGATGCTCGACCACCAACACATAGTTGTGGGAGGACTGACTCCTCAACTGAAGAATCTTATAATCCATTGAGATTACTAAAAGCACGCAACCAGACAACCTCTCTCTGCTGACTGTATGAATGTGTAACAGAGGACCATATATAAATCTTTTTGTGAATCACCAATGATGCTGAATAGGTGAGAGCTGCAGAAACATTTATGTTGGCTGCAAGAACTTGTTTCCAGTGGAAGTTCTCAGAAATTCATGGAAACACTAATAGAAAAAACAGCATTTACTGAAACTGATCACTTAGGGAAAACAGAGCCATTTCCCACCACACACTGTTTTAGTAATACATTCCTAAATCAGGATTATTGGAGGGCTGTAACTCAACTAGAGCACTAAAACAGTTTTAGTGGATATGAGGTGACATTTGCACTGGGGAGAAAACAGTTCATATACAATATGGCTCCAATACCCAAGAGTGTTGCTACCTGCTACCTACTTTAGTACAGTTCTAAGATACTTGTACTTTATATCCATTTATTGATACTTTTTGTCCTTCTCCAAAATAATTTTTTTTAACTTTTAAATGTATTTGGAAAGTAAAGTTTCTTGTTTACTATTTAGTAGGCCTTAACAATAGTTCAATATGATAACTATAAAGCTTTCAAAGAAATCATATCGTAATGAAATCGTGTATCAAGATGAATTATTATGCCGTTTAAATTGATAACATGTACATACTAACATATATACCAGGGGTGCCCAACCTTTTTTGAACCGAGAGCTACTTTTAAAATTGCCAGTCTGCCGAGATCTACCAGTCCAAATAGAGAGGCGTAGCCATTGTAGAGGAAACTTCTGTGTAGCTATGCAGTGGGAGTCACCGACTCAGGAAGGAGACACGGTAGGAGCAGTAGCTTTGATGTCAAACACATGATGGTTTATTTGGAGTTATGGCCGGATGGATTCACATCACAAGTCCAAGAGTCAGAGGTTCTGACTTCACGGTAGAGTTGCCACGTCAATTCTGGAGAGCCTCTCTCTTGCCAGCCCATCTAACTGGTTTCGCAGAGAGTAAACAACATATTTGAGGAGATAGCCTAAACAGTGTGGGAACACTGAGCTACCTGCGTCGGACACCTATGACCTCGAAGATTTCACCTTGGAGTCCACAAATACAGAGAAGGAAGTGTCCCAGTGTACCCACAACACAGACCATCTGTGACCCAGTATTGACCGGTCACAGAATGGGAACAATAACATTATTGGCTAAGCAGCCTGTGTCCTTAAAGAAGGTAAACAGACATCAAGGTTTGTCCTGTATGTCACATCTTGGCGTCTATGACAATTATTTCCATAACAGCCATTACTGACAGCCTACTACCAGGTAAATACACACTTCTACTTGTATAAAACTGACCTTTGTACGATTAATACCTCATAAAATACTGCAGATCCTTTATCTTACCTCTTTCTAATCTACACACATACAAGTATTTAACTGAAGTTACACAACAGTGTTGTTGATACAGAGTTGGAGTTTATTCACACGTCACATACTACAGTGGGTAATGTTTTCAAGAAACATTGAACAGTGCTGCCACATATGACACAGGGAAAAAAGAAAAGACTCTGAACCCTTTCTTTGCCATTATATAAAAATAGTGTTGCTACAAAAGTATAAATGAGGCTTACTAATAAGACAACTCAGATCTGAAGCTACTCAGGAATCTGCTGCCAAAGTGCAATAAAAAAGACAAAATGAATAGAATCAAACCCTTTTTTTGTTGCATTTTAGTAGAGTATAAAAAGAAATGCCTTTAAAATAGCAACACTAGTTTCTTAACCTGAATTGATAATAGACTATAATCAATTTAAACAGAACAGATCTTAATGTTTGCATTCTTATACCATTTTGTACAATAATTATCATGAATAAGTTCAAACAAACTAAAACTTACAGCTGATTAATAACGGTATCTAACTTGAGTTTTTATTATATCAAAAACCTGTTGAAATGCTACTGTTATTTTTACTGTCCCCCAAAAGCGCATCGGCAGCCTCCAGGAATGCTTCTTTCACAACTTCGCCGTCTTTGAAAGACTTCATGTGTTTCGCAAGAACGTGACTGACACGATAAGATGCTCTGGTAGCAGCCTTGCTCTTGTTGTTGGGCCTGGTGAAAATGGACTGCTGTGCATTTAGCTGTCCTTTCAGGCCCCTCCCCTTTTGGAGCGTAGGGCAGAATTAGGAGGGAATTCCGTCTCGTAGCGTTTGGAATCTTGAAATGCCGCTCCTAAATGGCCCTTCTTCGATAAAGCCACGCTCGCATTGCAGATGAGACAGATGGACTTTGAATTGGAATAGATACAAAAATAATCATCCTCCCACTCGGAGTGAAAATTATATATTTTGGGCTTTTTTGCTTCTGCCATAATTGCGGTCTTGTGTGTGTGCGGACTGTCACTCCTGTTGACACGGACAACGTCAGCGAACTAGTGCCCACCAGCCACGCCCCGACACATGGGGTCACGCCGGCCAATCACAAAGCTTTGATGCGTTCAAGTGCATTATTCTGGTACAGGAAGATTATGTTACAGGACATTAACGATAAAACTGAATATTGTTGTTCTATTTTTAGACACATCTCGCGATCGACTGGGAATTTCCCCAACAGGTTGGGCACCCCTGATATATACTTTTATAATAGAAACTGGATTTAAGGATGCAAAATATAGTGACAGCAATTAAGTAATGTACTCAAGGGAGTTGCTTTCTTTCTTTGGGTGTGTCAATGTGATATTATTATCACAAGTATCTGTGTTATTCTGCCAAAACGCCTTTTGTTACAGTATGTCAGCACTTTAACAAGGGAATAACTGTTTAATATAACAGTAACATTTTAATATATTGTCTGGCCTTATAAAACCGTGATGTTTGGCAGGTATGGTACAGTTCATAACACAGTTACTTTCTGTTTAAATAATTGATTCCTTTGGATCACTTTTTTTTAACTAAATACCTTAGGAAGGACTAAACACACACACTTAGGGATGTGGCGGTCCAAATACAACCCTTCCCTCAAAACGGCATGCAGTGATTATCAAATTGTTTTAAATTTAAATGTAAATATTTTTCAAAGACCAGTAGATTTTAATCTATCTAGTACTCAAAACAGCATCAATTAGACTTAAGTCCAAAAAAGTTAGGAACAAACCCTTTTGTGTGTAGCACAATTAAATGTTGCTCTTTCCAATCTTTTGTGAGACAGCGACCATTTAGCGGTTGGATTTTCCAATCAGATTTCCAAATAATCTGCATCTAAATGGAACTGTGTGTTCGAGTTATACAACAACGCTTTGCTCCAAGTAACTACGATTGACCCAAGATTCAAGTTTGGCTGTGTGCAAATTACTTTCAATCTAGTTGGGTTGGGTCCACTTGTATTGCTGCTAAATTCTGCACTTACAGAGACCTCTTAAGACAATATGGGTTTAGATCCTGTGAAACTCTTCCTTGTTCTTTTTACAAACATTGTATATAGTTGGTTGATTGCTGTATGCATTTCATAACTATCCTGAGAAAGATGGAGAGGAAGCAGACAAGTTCCCTGATTACGCTTATTATAAAATGCCATTTACACATGCCTGCTAGTGAAACAGTCATTCAATAATTGATCAAGGTTTTCTGTAACTGTTTTAACTTTAAACAAGGCCAAAGCCTGTACTGTGGTCCAGTTAGTGTTTACTTCCTGTCTGTCATCTTCTGTTGATTTCTCTGATGTCCAGGGCTCTATCTTTTCTTTTTCTTTACTGTGGACAGTTTAGCCATCTTCAACCCAACGTTTGGTGCTCTCCGCAAATATAAAAATGAACATTCAAAAAGTATTCACGATATCTTCTGATGGAGATAAACTATTGTTTGTTGTCCAGTATTCAACTAAGCCGTGTAATAACTCATTATATCCACAATGCAGAAGATTAGTTTTCAAATAAAATGTTGTACCAATATTCAATGATAGGACCACATTTCTACAATAAGGTATACAATATTAAAATATCGTGATATATGATTTTCTGTTTGTTGGAATAAAACTGATGGAAAAAAGAAACAAAAACATTTCCCTTCCTAGCGAGGTTATTTCCTCAGTGTCTCGTCCTGCCTCTCACTTTAGAGCTAACCTGACCTCCTTCTTATCCCCAGCTCTCCCTGGTTGCTGTATCTCGGACCCGCCCTCCAAAATAAAGCCATGAGGGTCTTTCTCCTGCTTTGCCTGCTGGCGATAGGCAACGCCAAACCCTACGAGCCAATCAATGTCATGGAATTCATGAAAAACTATGACGTCATGATGGCTGATTCAGCAGATGAAGAGAGCGATGAAGACGAGGATGATGATAATGACGATAATTATGAAGATGGGAACTGTCCCTCTGACTGCCGTTGCTCACCAAGAGTGGTGCAGTGCTCCGACAAAAGTGAGAGAACACCGCGATTGATATAAATGGCTTGTGTTTTTGTTTGGTATCACTGTTGTATTGCCTTGTATCCTGCTTTAGCGTTCAAAGCACTTTATACAACTGTTGTCATTGGTGCTTCATAGATAGTTTATATTATTTTAACTTTACTATTTTATGTCAGAAAGTGACAAGATGAGTAACAAATACTGCTGATCGTTTTATCCATCTTGCATCAATGAAAATGTTAATTTTAACTGAGATGGTAGCGTTTGAGTCAAAAACACAACAATGACTTCTTCACCTGCATCTCAGTATTGTATTGCACACATTGTTGTAGAATGAGCTCTCTCATCACTTTTAGTCCAACTCTGGTCTTCAATGAGGCATTTTTTTCTGCCAACAGGTCATATCTCTATTCCTGAGAAGATTCCTGAGGACACTGTGATACTTGACCTCCAGAACAATTACATCACCGAGATCAAGGAGAACGACTTTAAGGGCCTCAACAAACTTCATGTAAGAGGAACCTTGAGCACAGGTTTAACCCGCACACAGTGATGAACACCACAACCCCCTTAACATTAGACAGATGTAAACAAAAGACATGTCCAGAGTTCAAGACGTAATGAATGAAAAAATCCATCCGATCAATTCAAGCCAAATCTCCTGCACGCATCTAAAGCAGAAATATGCTGCAGGAAATGTTGTTAAATTACCATATACATCTGTAAATAGGAACGCCAATGTCTTTCCTACAGAAAATAAAATAAATGTGTGCTTGGAGCAAGTGCAATGCAAGCCATTACACTTTCTGTATAGACTTGCTTGCTTTTTTTCAGACGAACATACAATTTAACAATGTTTTAAAATAATTTTTAGAATTGGTCAATTGATCCAGAGTAGTAGAAGTATAGCATTTATTATTTGAAAATATTTCCCCCCGACTCCTACACCCAAAATGTGCATCTCTTGAGCCAAAATCAACTAAATAAGCCCTAGACATATTAGAAACAGAACTAATGACTTCCTATTACTTCCCTCTACAAAATGCCAAGATTTGGTTCAGATCTTCAATCACTCCCAATCAGACTCAAATTCCACGAAATGACAGCTTTCAAAGTTACCAGATAAAAAGAAACGGCTCTCTAATATCAGTCAGAATGTAGCCTGCAGCCTGACATATTACAGTTCCTTTGTATGAAACTCATTAGAAAATATGAGGTCTACCAACAGGTCTGTCTTTGATTTAACAAATGTTTTTTCAGCTGAGAATAAACCACATTAAGGCCTAAAGTTGAATAATACTCTGCTGTATCAAAGCAAACTAAGTAAGGACAGTATGACGTTCTGTGGTCATGCATTGGCTTGTCATCAAGAGCTGAGTGGTGCAGCTGACCTGAACCTGAATAGTTCCCTTTAAATGTGATTAATTTTGAGCAAAATAAAGAAACTAGAGTATTTTCGAAGCTAACAAACAGCTTTGAAGTAAGCCGAGTTTGACTGTCAAACATTTGTCAAAAATGAGAAGACATCTTCTTTTCGTATATAACATAACAGACAAACATTTATTTTTGGGAATAAGAGATTACTTGGGGCTCATTATACTCAATATATACTGTACTGTAAAAAGTAATATTGAATGTACTACATTTAATTTTTCCTTTCTCCTACATCAGGGCCTGTTTCTGATCCACAATAAGATTTCCAAGATTCACCCCAAGGCCTTCAGAAACATGGAACACCTCAGACTGCTGTACCTCTCCTACAACCATCTAACTGAGATCCCCGCAAACCTTCCTCCCAACGTCATCGAGCTCCGTTTCCACGAAAACAAGATCAATAAAATCCAGAAGGAGGCGTTCAAAGGCCTGAGGAAATTGCATGTGCTGGGTAAGACCTGACTTTAGTTTCCTGTATTAATCAACTCAAGTGGGGCAAACAAGTATTTAGTCAGCCACCAATTGTGCAAGTTCTCCCACTTAAAAAGATGAGAGGCCTGTAATTTTCATCCTAGGTACACTTCAATTATGAGAGACAAAATGAGAAAAAAAAAATAATCCAGAAAATCACATTGTCTGATTTTTAAAGAATTTATTTGCAAATTATGGTGGAAAATAAGTATTTGGTCAATAACAAAAGTTCATCTCAATACTTTGTTATATACCCTTTGTTGGTAATGACATAGGTCAAACGTTTTCTGTAAGTCTTCACAAGGTTTTCACACACTGTTGCTGGTATTTTGGCCCATTCCTCCATGCAGATCTCCTCTAGAGCAGTGATGTTTTGGGGCTGTCGCTGGGCAACACAGACTTTCAACTCCCTCCAAAGATTTTCTATGGGGTTGAGATCTGGAGACTGGCTAGGCCACTCCAGGACCTTGAAATGCTTCTTACGAAGCCACTCCTTCGTTGCCCGGGCGGTGTGTTTGGGATCATTGTCATGCTGAAAGACCCAGCCACGTTTCATCTTCAATGCCCTTGCTGATGGAAGGAGGTTGTCACTCAAAATCTCACGATACATGGCCCCATTCATTCTTTCCTTTACACGGATCAGTCGTCCTGGTCCCTTTGCAGAAAAACAGCCCCAAAGCATGATGTTTCCACCCCCATGTTTCACAGTAGGTATGGTGTTCTTTGGATGCAACTCAGCATTATTTCTCCTCCAAAGACGTCTAGTTGAGTTTTTACCAAAAAGTTCTATTTTGGTTTCATCTGACCATATGACATTCTCCCAATCCTCTTCTGGATCATCTAAATGCTCTCTAGCAAACTTCAGACGGGCCTGGACATGTACTGGCTTAAGCAGGGGGACACGTCTGGCACTGCAGGATTTGAGTCCCTGGCGGCGTAGTGTGTTACTGATGGTAGCCTTTGTTACTTTGGTCCCAGCTCTCTGCAGGTCATTGACTAGGTCCCCCCGTGTGGTTCTGGGATTTTTGCTCAACGTTCTTGTGATCATTTCGACCCAACGGGGTGAGATCTTGCGTGGAGCCCCAGATCGAGGGAGATTATCAGTGGTCTTGTATGTCTTCCATTTTCTAATAATTGCTCCCACAGTTGATTTCTTCACACCAAGCTGCTTACCTATTGCAGATTCAGTCTTCCCAGCCTGGTGCAGGTCTACAATTTTGTTTCTGGTGTCCTTTGACAGCTCTTTGGTCTTGACCATAGTGGAGTTTGGAGTGTGACTGTTTGAGGTTGTGGACAGGTGTCTTTTATACTGATAACGAGTTCAAACAGGTGCCATTAATACAGTTAACAAGTGGAGGACAGAGGAGGCTCTTAAAGAAGAAGTTACAGGTCTGTGAGAGCCAGAAATCTTGTTTGTTTGTAGGTGATCAAATACTTATTTTACAGAGGAATTTACCAATTAATTCATTTCGAACCGAACCGTGACATGGATTCTTTCCCCCCATTCTGTCTCTCATAATTGAAGTGTACCTAGGATGACAATTACAGGCCTCTCTCATCTTTTTAAGTGGGAGAACTTGCACAATTGGTGGCTGACTAAATACTTTTTTCCCCCACTGTATATGATATAATCGATATTGCAATTTGGACTAGTGCAATATTAAAATCGCAGCAAGCAGAATACTTGTTGAAGGATAATGTTTTGAATAAAGTATTGTAGAGCTGTAGAAATAATGAGTCCTTCAAAAAGTACTCTAAAGACTAAACAAAACACATGTTACTGTATATCCTCTTAGCACACTTTTTTTTACAGCCTAATCATTTTGATTTAATTTTCAATGTTTATTTGAAGAACGAATCCATGATGATCAATCCCTCCTATATCGTATTCACAATGTCAGTCAAAATAATGCTAACTAGGATTTTATCATATCATGCAGACCTAGATCAGGTCATTGCCAAGGAGAAGTTGGCAGCTTTCTATTCAACCCAAAGACTGCAGCAAATCATTTCATGATTCATATCTGTTGTGCAATCAACCATGTGTGTGCACTTTTTTTTAACACATGTTCTTGTCTCTTAATTGAATATGTTAGAAGCAGTTATTTATCCTTTTTAAAATTAGGTCTGGGACAGCTGCTCCATTTCAGAATGAAATAAAACACGTTATAGTAAAAAGGTGCAATAAGAAGATAAAAGTAAAATAGAATAAATATATTTATACAACAATAATACATTACAATTTAAAAAGTGCACATTGTACTACAATATTTAACAACAACAAATATGTAAACACTAGGGATGTAACGGTTCACAGAAGTTACGGTTCGGTTCGTACCTCGGTTTGGGGGTCACGGTTCGGTACAACAAGAAAAAGCAAAAAAAAGTCCCAAATGCATAATTCCAGGTTTGTTGTTATTTATTTTTTAACAGTAGTGCAAGTTTCAGTTTAAAAATAAGGAACTCTGACATTTTGAATAATTAAGCTTCCGTTATAAATTTTGGTCTCACGGCTTTCATGTCTATTGGCTTCTTAAAAACAGCGGGGATAAACTGTTGAACTGCTGTTGTCTTTCGCCGGGCTCCGGTGATTGGCAAATCTGGCTGATGCCTTCTGATATGATTTAGCATGTTTGGCGTGTGTTGCCATTAGCATACTGCACCGCTATCGAACAACGCTGACACACCGTCCTCGTCCGATCCACCACTCGCACACTCCATCGTTATTGTAGTCCACAGGGAACCCGAAATGTTCCCACACAGCTGATTTAAAAGAAGCAGGTGGGTTCTAGCTTTGAAGTTCTTTGGATATATTCCAAGTACACAAAGTTTGACGTTCAAAGGGACATTAATGTTAAACATCTCTGACAGACACCTAATAACATCCTTCCAGAAGATTTAAAATTGTGGACATTCCCAAAGACAATGAAATAAAGTTCCTTTCTCATCCAAACACTTAGAGCAGACATCTGGAATATTGGCAGACATAGGATGAAGTTTGACAGGAGTTATGTACATTCTCATTAACCATTTATACTGAAGTAATTTGAACCTAGTATTTATTGTCTGACTTTGTGCTTTTAGGCAAGCAGCATTCCAATCTTCCTCATCAATATCCTCTTTCATATCCGTTTTCCATGCACTTAATTTATCTAATGCTGATTCAGTGTCAAATGCAACCATCATGTTGTAGAATTTAGATACTAGGCCCTTTCCTTCCAAATTTCGATAAAGGTGGTACAGACATTATCTGTTTATGTTTTGATGACATGTAACTTTTTTTTAACTGTAAATATTAAAAAAAGTGCTTTTTAGGAATTTTATATCATAGCTTATCACAAGAAAGCAAAACTCCGTCTGTATATAGATCCATCATTTTCTGAATGCCTTTTGTATTCCATGATTTAAATCCTCCATCTCTTTTCCCAGGTGTAAACCTGTAGGCAACCTGTTCATTGCCCCAAACAGGAGTACATTGAGACAGCGTAGCTGTGTCGCCTACATGTTTGTGTGCAGCATACCAAACTGAGATCGTATTCTTAAGAAAAGGGTTTTTTGTACGTTTCTTAATATCTGAAGAGTAAAGATATATTTGTAATGTCAGATCTGGATATGGAGTTGATGTCTGCTCTATGTTTACCCAAGTCGGGGTGTTGTTGTACAAAAATAATATGAAGCTGAGTTTAGTTGGGCAGCCATATAATACCATATAATACCATTTAAGATTAGGGAATTGAAGACCCCCCCTCTCATAAGGTAGGTATAATAGTTTAAGATGGAGTCTGGCTTTTCTGCTGTTCCAGATGAATTGACTAAATCATTTGTTAAGCTTTTCGTAGAACATATTTGGTAGTGGCAATGGAAGCGTTTGAAAATAATATAAAAATTGAGGTAGGATGGTCATTTTTATGATATTTATTCGTCCGATCATAGATATAGGCAAGTTGGACCAGCGGCTTAGTTTTTCAGTCACTCCATCTACCAAGGGATCATAATTAGCTGAAACTATTGCCCCGGCCACACGAGGACGAAAACGGTCGTTTGCGTTGCTGTTTAGTGTCATATAGACCGTTCGGCCACACGAGGACGACCGAATACAGCACTAAACGACTGCGTAAACGATAACGGGTCCCAAGGTGGATAGAACGGCATACGCAACGCTCTGGGGGGTCCAACGGCTCCGTGTGTACGCCTTATACAATCATTTTCTGATAATGATGAGGCAATAGCCCCGCCTCTCCCCACCTCTGCTGCTCACCCCCGCGTCAAAATAAACTGCACACTGAATTCAGATTATTTATCTTTCTCTCGATATGGACCTAAACGCGAGTGAAGTCTAATCTGACAGGACGGAGACACGCAGCTCTGCTCACCTGCAGCTCCTCCCGCTGTGATGCGGCGGTGAACGGAGTAAAACACACACTTCAAGTCCGATCATCACCCTTAGCTATTTTAATTACCTCTCAAACTACCTAAACTAGATATAAATATGTTTATTTTTACTGTCGGCCGGGTCACTCATTACTGGATCAGCTGCTGCATGAAACAGACACTGGCGCTGTCCGAAGAGAGGGAGGAAAAAGAGAGGCTCCGTGTATTTTATTATTATAATATATAGATTTGTTATTCATTTGTTTTAAAGCTCAATAAATAACAAAGAAGACCTTTGACCGGCACTTTTATAATTTTGTCGGAAGATTTAAACTTTAATACACGTTGACTGGCGAAAAACTCTGCCCGGTTCCCTCGGCCCCCACCGCGGAGAATAAACAGAAGGGCAACCATGACAACCATGCTTCTTCGCTGCTTTTGTGGAGGAAGTTACAGCGCCACGTACAGGCTCCTGCATATGTACTGCAGCTTCTCCAGCGGTTGGAGCTAAACGGAGCTGTCTCGTGTGGACAGACACTATCCGGATGACTATTGCGTGTGGACGGAAGCTTTTTTGCGATTGCGTTTGCGTTAATCCTATGCGTTTAG